ATAATATTTCGATACATCCCTCCTTGGGTCCTTACGACATAACAGTTTAGACTGGCGTGTCGTGAGTCCCAGCCTCCCGGTCGCTGTCGTTGTTGAGACCCACTTTTTCCGTCGGTAGCAACAGGAACTGCCTTTTGAGCTGATTTGTTGTGGGACATCTTCTTGGTTGAATTGGATTGACATCATGACTTCGACAAGTTATCCGGAGAAGAAAGGATGGCTAGACTGGTATTATCATAGAGACTCTATCCTCCATGACCAGGGTATATGAGATAGAACAGCTACTGAAGTCCAAGATTATGGAGCACGAACATAGTTCGTTGCATATTATCCAGAGCGAAAGTCTCTCATTGAACTTAACCAATTAAGGTATATAATCAGGGAGATAGAAGCCTTCAGAAAGACATACTGCTGGAAATAGCTCTTGACCGTTCAGCAAAAAGGTTTTTGGTTCCCATTGGGGAGAGTGGTAGGGCTAAGTCCTGGGGGGCGATTGACACATTCCACACCTTGATCACCCTTTGTGAACTGCTGTGGGTATGAAATGGTCGAATCCAATTCCAGGCAGACCGATGCTCAATGTAGTGTTTTTGTAGTATGTGTTCGACGATGTTTCGAGTGTTCCGTTGTTTGCACTATTCGTCTGTCCCACAAGAAGATCAGACTTCACCAAGAATCGAACTCACGATATGCGACCGTGACGGAAATAGCCCTATTCGTTCAATCAAAAATTTACCAGATACCTGGTCAGTCGGGACGCTTTTGCTACTATAACTGCAAACTCAAATGCTAACATATACTTTGTATTGCCTGCAATTCTTCATGTGACTCCTCTGCCCATGAATATTTAGAGTAGTCCGGTGCACGCTCAGGTATGCTCTACGAGAAATAACAGGCAGCATGTACCTGGGCCTAGGTGTTTTGCCTTCCAGCAGGGTTTGCATCAGCAACAAAAAAAAAAAACGCTTTCGGGCTATCGCTGCGTAGTTCTGTATTTCAGACTATCTATGATCATAGGATGCATTTGCTTTAGCAAATTCTCTATACATATCGACGTATTCAATACTTCATTTGCATCATAATGCAGGACATCTCAGCGCACGGCAGGAAGCAGATTGAATGGATCAGCGAACCTCTGAGCCAAAATACCTCAGGTACCTAGCGCTCTTCTATATGCTCACTAGTCGATAATGTATCCAGGAAACTAAAATCTCTGGTGAGCGAGCAATTCTTATAAATTGACTGATGAATAGGGCGCACTCATCCATCTCCTCACCACCTCGGGATAGCTTCGAGCATAGTTGTGAAACACGCGCGATCCCACGGTCGGAAATCGTTCATCCTCGCGCAGATACTCGTGGAGCTCGTCGGTCAACATCCCATGCTGGGCGCGAAGCTCTTTCCTTAATATCTGCAGAGCATCCTTCGTCTCTGGCGCGGTGGTCGGGATATTCAGCCCCAGCCCAGTGCCAATGGCATTACTGTATCACGGGCCGCTGCCCGGGGCAGGGGGGATCACGCGGTGCCAGGCGGTCTTGCAGACACCGTACGTCACCGCATCTACGCCCTTACCGACCACGTAGACCAGCGTCCCAGGCACAGGCGGACAATTAATTCAGATCCGCTGGGCGTTCCGCACCTGCAGCGAAATGTGGTCAGTCAATTGAAAGATGAGGGCTGCAAACGCGGTCTCCTGGTGCGCACCCAGGGCCTGCACCGCCGCCGGATCCGCGCCGGCCGGCTGAGATGGGTACTTGATCATTCGTCCATGATACTGCTGCTTGGCATCAAACAGTTGGTCTAACAGACTGTTTTTAATTCCAATTGCTTCGGCAGCCAGCTTGCGGATGGCGGTCGCCACCCCGGTTCTCTTCTTGATGAGCCGTTGGACGAGAGGCGCGAATTCCGGCAGGGACGACTCGGAAGGCCACTGAGTTGGGCCCAGCAGATTGCGGTATGAGAGATCTTCGATTTTGCCGTTGACCTCGGTGGCCTATGTTCTCGGGGCGGAGGAGGTTGAGGATCGACTATAGGTGGGTTTTCAACGGTACGAGGGTCGCATGGATGAGGCCTGCGCTTGCGGCTGCTGGGCTTGTTTATCGAGGGTCTTGAGGTACTGGCACGGCGAAGCTGACAGGATACCATTTCAAAGATTATTCAATACTCTCATAGACAACAGACTGACATCGCCGTAGGTTCTCGGCGTAGCAGTTGTTGTTCTTCTTTTTCGTTTGTGCAACCAGTACGGTTGCACAAACAGATCAGACGGAATAAACCTGACAAACAATGCACATATTGAATGATCCTTATCAACTGACTCACGGTGCGAGGTCAGACCTATATTATTTGTACAATAAGCCCTACATCATTTTCTTCAGTACACGGTTCGGGCTGGAAACAAGGTTCGAATGAAGTTATAATGACGACATTAACATTAGCACTTGTCCCATATGTAGGCATATAGGAAAGACAAAAATCACTGTTCAATTATATAAATCACAGTACGTACTACCCTCATGTTCAGTAGATACTGAGTAGAACTCATTATTATTATTACCATTACATTAAGACACTACATGCCCCGTACCCAAGGCCCAACTCGCCATCCATCAACAAACTTCAACGCTCGGAGACCATAACCAACAGACCCGACCTTGCACGCCCAAGCCAACATCCCTCATCATCAAGTCAACTCATTCCTCGGCGTCCCCATGAGCTCACTAACCGGCCGCAAACTATCCCCCATCTCCGAGGCAGCCTCCACATCTGCCGCCGGGAGCTCCGCAATCAGCGTCTCCGCCCCGGACACCCGCGACATCCGTGACCCGTCAAACGGGGATTTCGGCTGCTCAGCCATCGCTGGAACACTATGATACAGATGCTGCTGCTGCGGTGGCGGCAATGGTAGCTGTGCAGACGATCCATCTCCGCGTCCCCGTCGCTGCCGACGGCGGTACATGAACAGCAACGCCCCGGCCAGTGACAATGCCAGAACGCCTAGCGGGACTCCGAGCCCGACTCCCACTTTCTGGGCGGTGGTGAGGCCTCCCTTTGCGATGGCTGTGGGACTTTCGTTGGGGGTGGATGACGATGTTGTCGCTGATGCTGGTTCTGCGGATGCGGTGTATGGGTTAGCAGTGATGGTGGTGGAGGAGGAAAGGGTGTTTGTCAATACGGCGGAGGTGGCGGTGGAGGGGGTGTCGCCAAAGTTGTAGGAGGTCGGTGCTGGGTCATTGGTGTATCGCGGGTCGACGCCGAAGGGAACACTAGTCAGGTTGGGAAGGATGAGAGAACCTTCGTCGGTGAGGGAGACAAGCTCGAATGCACAGCCTGATTCTGTGTAGTGGTCTCGGGTGGCGTTCCAGACGTAGCTTTGTGTGTTGGAGACGTTGGCTTTGGATCATCGGTGTCAGCGGTGCTTGTGTCTAGGGTGACTGAGGGAAGCAAGCATAGGGCTGAAGGACCTACATTCTAAAAGGACGGCCGTGGCGCACATTTCATAGAGAGAGATGCGCGGGGAGACCGTGTCCCAGGTGACATTGACCAGGTCTCCGACTATGAATTCGTCCACGTCGGTGGTAGGGAAGGTGAAGCCCTCGGCGCGGACGAGACACTGTTGCGAGGTCGTGAGAAGCCATGAGAGTAGCAGGCTACTCCTTGCAAGCCTCGAGAGTGCCATCTTGTGAGAGTTACCGAGTGCCATATGACTAGTCGCAGCAACCAGCAGCGTCGTAGGGTCTTTTAATACGTGGACTGCCTTCTAGCGTAGAATCAGGTAGTCAATAAAAGGGTGCTCCGCCTCAACCATCGCACAGGGTCGGCAGCTCGTCTGTCGTGGTCGGATAACCGGTTTCCCCGCTGTCTACGCCCGCAGCCATCCTAGACTGTGCTCAATTTAGCCATCGACAGGGATCTCTACAGCTCGCCTGTATTGCCTGTCTACCATTGGTGGAAGCTATAAGATAGGCAAGGGCTAGCGCTCACTAAGAACACACCCCTGTCGTTGGGCTGAGCCGGGATTCCCTCCAGCTCAACAAAGAAACTGTCCACCTGGATGATTTCCTCGACGGTTTGGGTGGGATTCTGGGTTGATCATATGCAGTGTAGTGATGTAGAAAACAAGCTACCGGAGACTGTCATGAGTGCTTGTTGGCTGATTTCAAGGGTGTATAAAACAGAAATCAGGGTTAGCTGCTGGCCTCTTCCCATGTGGGGTTCCAACCAATGGTCCCGGCTTAATCTAGAGATAAGAGGCTAGTGCAAGTGAGAGGTCCCATGACAACACACTTCCAGCTAGAACAGATTTTTCCGGTGGGCTGTCTGATATTTAACTACTGCTAATTAGTGCACGAGGACCATTGGAACGATAGCACATGGGTAGTGTGGCTAGCTGGTGGTTGTTCAACCAATAAGACAAATTGCTCGCACTGTCCCGCACGACGAACGGGACGGGATACTCCTTGCCTGAGGCAATGATACATGGAGAACGAAGGAGAAAAAAACAAAAAGATGGAGCTGCGGGGAATCGAACCCCGGACCTCTCCCATGCTAAGGGAATATTATACCACTAAACCACAGCCCCAATTGTTGAAACGAGGCTCCTAGTTTGGTTCCCTGTTCTTATTCACTGCTAGAACTGGCGCAATCGGCCAGAACACAGTCGGAGTGCCTTTGTCACCATGGACTAAAACTGTATGTTCTGGAAATTTGTGGATCCTGATGCAGTATACATGCAGGGCACTTCACACTTCTCCTATACTACTAGCCAGATAGGTTTACCATAAACATACCTTCCACTGGAATGATTGGGCATTCTTGTGTATCCCTTTACCCTTGCCTAGAGGTATATATTGCCACAAAAATGCCAACACTAACCCGATGCCACTGGAATTCCGTAGTGTGAGCTAGTAATGAAACACTAAGTCTAATTCATATAAAGTCTAGTTAATCTATTCCACAGACAGCATGCAGTTGATCATGATCTCATCACACCCCACCATTCAAGCCCTCTTCACATCCCCCACCGCAGCAGCAGCCTCAACATCAACCATCTCCGCTTCTCCCGGACTGGACCCCCCGGACCCCACCTCCCCGCCGTACTGCCGCCTCCTCAGCCCCGCCAACGACACACTGCCCCCATCGACAAGATACATATACCAGTAATAAGTCCCTGCAACACATGTCGTCAGCAAAACCCACGTCTCTCCGTTCCTTCCCACCAAGCACCCAAAGAAGAAAACCTACCAGCGAAAAATCCACCGCCGAGTATATTCCCAATCAAGGTGGGGATGATCCCCTTCCAGATATACAGCCCCACCGAGAGGCCCGGGGCATCCAACCAGATCCCCAGCGGGATGAAGGTCATGTTCGCGACGACGTGGTCGAAGCCCATGGACACGAAGGCGAAGATCGGCCACCAGATGCCGATGACCTTGGACGCGAGGTCGCGGCCCTGCAACCCGAAGAAACAGGCGAGGGAGACGAGCCAGTTGCAGCCGATGCCGCGGAGGAGGATCTCGTGGAAGGACGGGGTGAGCTGCTTCTTGGTGGCGTAGTCGATGGCCTCGGATTTGTAGGGGTCGGCGGTGAAGATGCCTCCGTCTGGGGTGAACATTAATATCCAGGTCACAGGTTGGGGAGGAAAAAAAAGGACGCACAGCCGAAGATGATGGCGACGACGAAGAGAGAACCGCACAGGTTGCCCCAGAAGGTGACGAACCAGTGCAGGAGCATTTTCCACCAGGGGAGTTGGCGTTGGAGGGCGGCGACCGTTGTGAGCTGCCAGACCTTGGGGTTAGATTTCATGCAGCCGCATCTCCCAGAGGGGATCGAGAAATACCATGAAAGAACCGGTGCAGAGGTCAGCCCCGGTTAGGATGATCATGCACAGACCGTAGGGAAAGACCAAGGCGCTGATGGTGCGGAGCAACCCCGGCGCATTCTCCGTGAACCACGGCGAGGAATTGGTGCTCAAGGAGGTTCCGCAGGCGAAGGCGAGCAGAGAGCCCGCCGATACGGCGCTGAAGAAGACCTTGTCCAGGCGCATGTGGCCCTTGCTGGCGCCGGTGCGGGCAATGAGCTCGACCACCTCGGCGGGGGAGAACGAATCCAGCTTGATGGAGGACATGGTGAGTGGGAGGGAATTGAGGGAAGCACACTGAATTGGAAGGCAGGGATGAGCAGCGAGACCGGGTATATGTATGCAGTATTATTGTGAGTGTGAGCCCTTGGTATGCGACCGGTCGGCAAATTCCAGGCCAGACCCCCACAGCATTCAGCATTATGGACCTCTCTGCGGATACGAGCAAGACCGAGGCAGCGAATGGGCAGTAGGATGGGTGGTTAGATCGTCGGGGAATCCTCTCGGCTAGGAATAAGGTTCGGATCCGGGCATGCAGATCAGAGATAAGTCTCGCAATCCGACAACTCACAACGCTGAAGCTTATCTAGTCAGATGGGGGGGGGTCTCCGCGGAAAGACGGAAGGGCCACACTCTTGACCCAGTTACCCCAACACAGTCCCCCTCATAGGCCCATTCTGGTAGCGAGAGGGCTAGTCGAGGACCTAGGGGAAAACTAGTCATATATAAGCAAAGGCTTACTGTACCAAGCTATATTAAGCGGGTGCTCCAGGAAATCTTTTCTTTTGGTTGTTTGGTGAGCCAGATCTGCAACTTCCACACAAAGTGTTGAGAACCTATGCATAGCGCTCTGTCCCATAACCGTGGATAGTTCTGCCGATATTTTTCTTGTTTTGTTCCTAAAAACCCGCGTGATATACAAATCATATTGACCAGAGAATTAGCACTACAACCACGGGGTGTGAAAGATAGAGCCTTCGCCCACTCAGCCGTACTTGAGCCACGTATTAAGCAAGTGACAGTCGGACATGTTGGCGCTTTGAGCGCAGGGTTCTGCCGCCTCCTTGCAGCCAGTTGACTCTCACCGCCCTCAGACAGATTCAGCTAGGGAGATGTGCTACGTAACTTATTGCTTTCACTCCTGTCTGCTTACGTTCATACGGACGACCAACAGTAATAGAACATACTCTCAGCACTGCTTCAAGAGTGCTATCAGGAAAGTAATATAGGTTCAGACGACACATGGGTTAAGCTATTATAAAACACAATCAGATCTACAGCCGTCAGGGATCGAGCCACGCCGCAATGCTTGGCTTTCCCAAGACAGACCCTACTTTGAATAGTGACTATAGCAGTACGGTGGTTACGGGGTATCGTCCATACGGGGGAGTCCGGGCGGCAGGTTCCTAGGCCCAATGGTGTCACTTACCTGACCCCAGCTTGAATTGCCATCCAGTGGTCTGGGCTAATGGTGATGACTTCCATCCGTTTATTAAATGGAGCATTGACTCGGTGCGTAGACTTTCCGCCACTATATACCTCGCGGGAGATAGTGCAAGCTCCTCGGATGGAGGTCAACATCGCTGCTAACATATGACAGCCGTTCCGGCTGCGTTTCTGGTGAATCAGAATTTGATTTGAGATACGGACAGAGTCTATCCAATCACTTATGTCTCAGCCTTCATTTGTTATCCTCAGTATAGAACCAAAGCTTACTTGCCTCCGCTTTCAAAAGCCTTTCTGATTCTCTTTGGACGACGAACTCAAGCAGATCATCATGCTTGGCTTTGACCTTGTTAAAATCAAGCTGGTGAGGCACCCATCCGTCATCGTCCGACCGCAGCAACTCCTGAGTATAAGACTTGAGTTTCTGCCAGTCTTCATATGCAGCAAGCTTGAGATTATGCCTCTGTAAATCATCGTTCGTTCGTGGATGAGTAAGAACAGCAACCCGGAATCCCCGTCTGACCCCAGTTTTCGCATATCTGGACCAAGGAATCACGAAGGGGTATGATTCCATCCTTTACCGTTCTATCGCAACATGTTAATTAATTGTTGGTGACAAAATCTGAAATATGAGTCGTGAGCATGAGTCAGAAGATGACGGTGATTATGTGTAAGGAGCTTGAGTTCCTGTATTTCTGCAACACAAGAAAGTGATTTTTACCTATGACAATTGCATGAAACGCATATAACACTCCAACTCAAGAACGCCTGCAATGCTATCGTTTCTATCAAAACAAAAAAGAAAAAAAAAGAAAGAGTACCAAGAAGTAAAAGCACTTGGAAGAAAGGAATCCAGCATTAGAAGACAGCCTCAGCTCCAATGATCTCGATCAGACCTTCGAGTACACATGTCCAAGGGGAACACTTGCCTCAATATCAGTTTTGGCCTTTATACCACTGGGATACCACGTCAGGTAGATAATCATGACAATCGCCATCGGGACAGAATCCAAGATATACATCGTCCATTCGTGTTGCAAGGGATATCCACTGTTCCCAAGCACATATTCAATGATGCGAAAAATTGAGCGGATCATGATCAAAGCACTCACAGCATAAAGCATGTATAATGTCTTCTTCCATGGAATTCCCGGTTGGAGAGATTCGGGAGTAGGATTGCGGCGGATACGCCTCTCAAATACAATGGCTGAGATCCAAAAAATGGAGAATGAGATAAGCTGGATCGCTAGTCCAACAACGACACACACTTTTCCCCATTGAGCATAACCCAAAACCGAGAGAGAAGAGGAATTGCCTTGGACGATGAAAGACAAAACATCGCCCCAGACACAGGTCTTTGTCAGACGTGAGACGCGGATGACCGAAAGATGTTCAGTCCCGACGCGACGAACTAAACGGCCCAGAGTCATATAAATCGAGGCGGCGAATAGAGTGGGAGCGAGTAGAATGAAGATGTTTGCCAGTATGTATGGCCCATCGTGGTCGTGTTACTATGTGCGATGGCGCGACCGATATAGCCAATGATTTCAACTGGGAAAGAAGAGTTAGCTTTTAAAAGCTTGGTAGGCAGATCCATTCTAAAGTGTGCTAACATACACAAGCCACCAAGGGTGAACGCAATACAAAACCAGGTTCTAGTTGCGAACATCTTCCGGGAATGAAGCCCAGTCAATCCCATGAAAATGACCATGAAGATGACTGCCGCAGCCAGTGAGGGAGTATAGTACCAAAAGGTGTATGAGCGACGAACAATTTCTGGCATGTTGAGCAATCGGTGCGGACAAACCGGAGGGTTGGGGATAGAGAGAAAAGCAAGAAGCAAAACAAAAATGCAGCAGAATGCTACGTCAAAAAGAATGAAAGATCAAGATAGAGACCACGGAGTGAATGCCTTGGGATCGGTATCAAAAGAACAGAAATACTCTATATATATCTAAATACTAAATTGGGGATCGTCCATATCCAGAAACCTGAGTCTGTGGCGTGTCTTGAAAATACTTGTGTGCCGATTGTAAACAGCCCATGGGCCTACCTATAACCAGCGCTCAACCTAACTCCACTTGAACGTGCTAGGCGGGCGGGTTGCTCGAATACGCGTAATAGGTTTTTCTTCTTCACTTCAAGAGAACGGTACACTACACTGTGTGGCAACATATTTGCCCAATGAAACCCGGTAGCGCCAATCTTAGCCTTCTTATATCTTATTTACCAGATCAATGTTATCTCTCCATGTCACATATCGAAAGCGTTAAGTACTGTGAATCTTTTCTATTGTGCAGCGATAATGCACTACTTATGGAGAATTGGCAAATATATGATTAACATATTGCCTAGAACAAGATTAGTGGGCTTTTATGAGATATGAGATGACCTCCGGTGTACAGATAATAAATGTAGTATACCCGAACCCACTTAGCTGATGGATTCCTGTTGGAGCCCGATACTCGGGTCTATGCGCGTATGCACGGACCACCCGTTACTGGTCCCTTGGACGTTCATCTTTTTGAAATTCTGAGTACGTGTATAGGGGAAATCTTCAGCATACCTCACAGTGCGGGGTACGGAAAATTCCATAATTTAAGATAAGGATTTTTCCGGTAGACTCCCTTACGTGCCGCGTGGAGCCATCTTCAGACAGGATCTCTCTTCCTCAGCCCTCTTGAACAAGTCACCTCCGCATCAGACTATATCACCAACGTGCATTGTCTCAACCGTTTGACCATTCTCGACCTCCGCACGATCATCACGAGCTTCGGGTGTAATCCTTCTAGGGGCAGGCGGTGGTGAAACCCACGCAGCATATCCGCATGCCACTGCTGGGCGACCTCCCCGTCGGCGGTGATCAGGGCATTGCGCACGATGCGCTTGCCGGTGCCAAAGGGGCCTTTGGTCTGGCTTCAACACCGGCTGATGGAGTCGGCATTCTGGACGAACAGCTGCCGGATCAGGACCGGATAACGAAGGTAGATGACAGGCAGGCCCCCGATCAGTGTCCATGAGATCCCGTCCTCAGCCGCCGCGTCGAACAGGGCCCCATGGAGGTGTGGTAGAACTCATGGGATCATTGTTCCGACAAGAGGCCCAAGGTCGGAAAGCAGGGGATGTACGGGACATCGGGCGGAGGGTTGATCCAGCTGCCCAAGATGATGTGGAGCGCAGCAGAAAGTGTCGATAGCATTGTATTTGCCGCGACGGTGACGATGTTAAAAGAGTAGGCCAGATGAAACTGCAATTACGCCGGGTTTATAAATGTGCAACTCAGCTGTGGGAAGTCAGGAGGGGAGGTAATGTGCAAGGCATTGCATTTGTGCAACCCGCGATCTTGTTTATTCCAGATTTTAGAGTTAGGTTTTGAGTAAGCCCAAAGCCTGATAACTTGAAGCTTCAAAAGTGATTATCGGCTCTGTGCCCGGTGTCCACTCACCTGGACAGGTCAGACTTGCATCATGTCTTGCATTTTTATTGGTCTTGTTGGAGTTGATTGCCTGTCGTTCTTATCCGATAGACCACATTTTCGCACTTTCGCAGCTGCAGGTGGACCACGGCCAGTTACAAGCCTTCCCTCAGCTCACTTTATCTAGCCTTGGCTTTAAAAGGACTACAGTTAACTTCAAGTGATAGACGGTGCTTACGCAACTAATAACTGAGCGGCTGTTCACAGAATCACGTGAGACCGACACTAATTGTTATCGTTATTGTTGAGTTATCACTGTCAAGTTCAATCCGCTTCCGCAATTCTGTCCTTTGCTCTCATCATTCACTCACTCACTCCAAACCTTCCTTGCCCACCATTCAATACAATGGTACACCCCAAGATATCCTTGACAGGGCTCTTAATTGCCTCTCTTCTATCATTCACCGTGACCTGGCGGGTCTCGAACAATCGCACCGTCACCACCGGCATCCCCGCGTCAGCCCGCCCGGATACCATCCGCCAGCTGCTCCAAGACCAGCCACTCTTCATCAGATTAAATCCGGTAGTCACTGATATTGACCTCGCGCCCACCGCACCCGAGCGGTACGAGGACGAGTGGCTCCAGACCACAGCAGAGGCGGGAACCCGAGCCGCGCCGATCCAAACCTACCTCCTCAGCCAGGTGATCACGGTGATGCCCGGCGCAGGCGAATGGGGACAAAAGCATATCCACTTCGAGACCTGGCTACGCGACACCCCGACCGGAGTCAAGACCCGAGCGGACGCCCCCTTTGGCGTGTCGGTGGCTAGCCACTGGGCAGTTGAGCCAACCGCGTTGCTATTGTCCGACCCACCGAGCCCACAAGGCCCACAAGGTAAGAGAAAAAGGAATGGAGAGGCGACGAAGTTCGGACGCTGACGCGAAGACTAGAATGGCGGCTCACGGTGCAAAGAAGAATCACATGTGTATGGTGGATGATGCCGTTTGTGGCCTACACATACGACGAGGTCCACGCCAGCATCATCCGGGATTTGATTGAGCTTGCCAGCTGATGGATGGCCGGTCACCCATGTGGTGCCTGTGGCTAAAGTCTTTTGCGGAATGATACCTAGTATCTGCCTTGCGACCGTCAACTTGGATGGTTGCGTTGGACTCAATGCAGGTGGGATACGCGGGTGAATGTAGAGGTGGTATGTGCATACATGGACTGCTGTATATGCTCAACATGAACGTTAGGTTGGTGCGCGGAATTCAATTAAGCAATCAAAATCCAGTACTATCATTCAATCCATCATTAGGTAGAATATAACCCACGTAAGACACAGCCAACCTAGGGATGTGCAGGATGGACGCAATACTCCTCCCCGGCGTATACAGCCGATCAGCAAACCCCAAACCCTCAGGATTTAATTCCCCAGTACTGCCTGGTCCGCGCGACCCACTCGTCAACCGACATGGCAGGCTCGGATCCCACCTGAATATTGCCTTCACCGACCCTCTCCCGTCGGGCCGGATCATATGCGGGGACGTACAGCATCTCGTGGTCCGGCGCACAGACATCACACAGCTCCAGTGTCCCCTGGCGCAACCGCTCCAAGCAAGCTCGGTCAAATTGGACATTCTGACATTCTTTGCAGACGTAGAAGTCATTTGCGTACGACCAGGTGGTCCCGCATTTCCCATCACACTGGGCCTGGAGAGGGCCCTCGAGCTTCCCATTCTGAACATCCTTATCTCCTGTTGCTCCGCCGAGGAGCTTGGGGACAATCATCGACCACGCCGCCAGGGCCTCGTCGTCCAAGTCCACGAGCATGAAGTGGAACGCGAGACGGAAATATCCGTCCGGATCGTTCAGCGGGTCCGTGTCCGAGAGGATGTCAAGGCCGATCTTGACGTGGGCGCGTAGCACGGCTTGGGCTTTCCCCAAGTCACCCCGCAGGGCATGGTAACGGGCGAGCAGCCGCGCGGGATACTGTTTGTCGGCCCAGGTGAGGTACTCCGCGGTGCTCAGCTCCGCGAGTTGCTCCAGTTTGGTCAGCCAGAGGGCTTCCGTGCGTTCAGATTGCTGCTGCTGCTGCGCTTCGTGAAAGTAGGCGAGGGGGAGCCTCCGTCTCACCGCATAGTAGACGTGTTCCAGAGGGTCCGTATGTTCCATTTGCCAGAGACGTTCCCACTCCTCGATGGCATTCATCCTACTTGCAACATCCTGGTTGGCGTGTTCGTAGCGCAGCAGCGCATGGTAGTACATGAGAGTTCCCTGGCGGCCCTGCTGGACCTCCGCCCACTCGTCGTCACCCGCCTCTTTGGCCTTGACACACTGATCTGTCGCATGGGCGATTGACATGCGATAGTGATTGCAGGCCATATCAAAGGTTTCGATGTTCGTCCGGGCCAAAGTGAAGAGGATGTCGTGGAAGTCCTTCTCGTCGCAGAGTAAGCAATATGCCCTGGTGAGCTGGTTGAGTTCCGGGAAGTCTTTTGGAGTGTCCCTTGAAGACTGTAGGAACTGTAGCAGACGGCTGAGAAGGGATCTGCTGCGAGCCACTCGCCACTTCCAGCGATCCTCTCATCCAGGAGTCGCCGGAACCTGGACTGATTCACCCGCCAGCTTTCGCTCGGCCTGTCGAGGGTCCTATCCAGATCCTCCAATTCCTTCTTCGTGTGCTGATCTGTATCTCGTTTCTTTTCTAAATCCAAGATTTCAGTCACGGTGACATTGATCTTCTTGGTTCCCTCCTTAGTCTCAAGGATGCCCCTCTCGCTGATCTTCTGCGATTCAATCCCCAGAGTTGCCCGCATCTGGGATTCTCGCTCGACCAGGCTTTCCAACCGAGCCAGCTGCCCGCTTACGCCCTCATCCTCACCAAAGGCGAAAACCTTGATAGTGATCAGAACCTTGTGCCTCTTCAGCACCTTGATCGACAGTGCACAGATATCCACAAAGCAAAGCAGTTGGTCGTTGATGATCCTCCGCAGGGCAATGTCCACCGCATCGGGCGGCACACGCATATAGATCTGGAGGCGGTCCAACATATCCGAAACCTTCCGGAAGAGTTCCGCCAAACTGCTAAAAACCCGCTTGTATCTGGCACCGGTGTTGATCAGGTATGCGACCGCGTTGAAGCAAAGGCTGCTGGGGGCGAAGACCTGCGTCATCACAAGCTCAGCTGTTCTGTCTGCCGGCGTAAGGGTGGTAGTCTCGTAGCCTGGGGGCCCTTTACCATACTCGCGCCTTGTGCGGCAATCCCACCCAACAGTCCAACAAAGGTCAACGTCTTGTTCATTACGGTCTTGAGCTCTTGGTATTTGGCATTCTTTTCGTTTACCTCATCTTGCTTGGCGCGGATCTGGTCCAGAACCTCCTCGATGGTGTATTTGGTGGGGGCGGTCTTGAGGTCGGCGTGGGTGGTCTGCATGAACGAGGTGCAGACCCGGTCCCATGCCTCCTGCAAGTTGTACTCATCCTGCTCTGAGTGCGCGATTGTCATCGTGCTCGTTCTCGTTGCGACTGACGGCAGGGAGCAACAGGTTTCAGAGCGTTAAAGACAAAGTTCAGGCACACGGTGACAGAATCGTACGCTCTGCTGGCCATGAATTGCGGGTTATATCCGGTGCATCGCCCGTGTCGCTCTCCCTTCGCAGCTACGGCTGATGGAGATCTCATGACGCGCGTCCGTTCTCATAACAACTATCCAATTAGACCTCTTAATCTCTGGATAGTTACATCGACTACTGCATGAGCGACTGTTATGACCGTGCTGATTTGATGCGGTCGTAGGGGAGAAGGGATAAGCGAGGCGGGTCTAGGAAATTTCTACCGACGGGAAGGAAGTGGCGTGCGGATTGGCCTGCCTTACAGTACTTTTCCAGCCAACGCAGGGAGGAGCCAAGGAGAATTGAAGCAAGTCCTGGGGTCTAGAAGGAGACTCGACGTAGACAATCCACCAGCAGATATGCATAGCCGTCCAGATGTGACCGGGGTGAGAGATTCCTACCGCTATCTCCACAAGTGGCTGCCTGAACTACTAGGTAGGTTAGGTAGCCAGCCAGGTCTCCGAGCCTGAGCCTCTGTCAAAATAGGTAGTATTGCTACTACAAACTAGCCACCAGTTAGCGGTGGGGTGATGTACTTGGATATGTTGTATTGAGGAATGGAGAGAGCATGATGAGATAGCAGACATGATAAAAAGAAAGTGAAAATGATTGGAATCATAGGGTGGAGGTTGAATGCTACTAGTAGTAATTGGAGTGAAGCTAAGCTTTGATGTTGAGTAACATCACTGGCTGTGGAAGGCGGAATAAGATGCAACTTACTGAGGGCTACTACTGGTACCTAGTACCTAGTATCGAGTGGCTACTAGGTTACCTACTTAGTAGTGGTTGGGCTTTTTCAGCTTGGAGCGCGGAGAGCCCACCGTAGTGGATGGAATGAAGGGAGAAAGTCAGCAAGAGGTTATGCCATGTAATAAAAAAAGAACTGTGCTTGAAATTCAATGTTCAAAGAAAATACGTTTCGCAAGACTCTGACAAATATTCCGCGAGCCTGAATACAATACAACGAGAGAAGAAAGACGACAGTGGGATCATAGAAAGAGAACAGGCTCAACAAGATCGTTAGCGACTGAGAATAGGGTTATATTAATTACTAAAACTCAACAACGAGCTTTGTACCTCGACCTTCCCCCTTGCGAAGTGTATCTAGACCTTCAATTATCTCGTCGAATCCGCCCTTAATCGTCGTAATAGGTGGAGACTGCAGTTTCAGGCTGGATAAGTTATCATAGAATTTGGCGATGACTTCGCGGTCCGCCGGCCTCACTGGGAACACGGGACCAAGGGGCGCCAACAACTGGAACTTGCGACCGAAGGCAGTATAAACCATGAGGAAATCATAGGTCACATTTGCCTTCCGCGGCTTTCCTTGATCAAGAAGTGTGATCACTTTGCCACCCTCCTCTCGAAACACATCAGCACAGAAGGCGGCGGAAGTGCCTTCGGAAAAGCAGTCCAGAGCTTTTGTGATGTTCGGATAGGATTTCTTGATCTCGCCAATGGAGGCAGATGTCCGATAGTCGTAGACTGCATCGGCACCATAGCGCTTTGCGAGGTCGAAGGAACGTGGCGAGGCCGTGACCACAACAGTGTATCCTGCTCTCTTGGCCAATTGAATGGCGAAGAGACCGACGTTCGAGCCGCCTGAATAGATGAGAATGGTCGGTTGGTCACCTTGTCGAACGCTGCGTCCGTTCTCGATATCCACCCGGTCAATGCCTAGATACGAAAGACCCAGCATCGCGGTGGCGGCAGGCACTCCGTAGGTGGTGGCTTCGCTCAGGGTCGTTCCGTCAGGCACCTTCCAGGCCAAGTCTCCATCGACTTTCAGGTATTCGGCGAATGAGCCAACCTCGGGATACAAGCCCCCGTGGACAAAGCCAGCGATTCTGTCTCCAACCTTCCAACGTTGTCCTGAATTCTTGCCGACCCGAGCCACCTCGCCCGCATAGTCGCAGCCAATGGCGGAGTTGCGTGGGGAAATGAAATCAATGTCTTTGAAGTCGATGGGGTTCAGCGCGACAGCGCGTACCTTGACCAAGACCTCATTATCGGGGATGCTTGGGATTGGGACGTCCTTGACCTGTGCACCCTGCCCAAGAGGACTCCGAATAGCGAGACTCAGGAGACGCTTAGGCAAGAGTCGATGTGTGATGATCGCTTTCATTAGGGCGGGTGACCTTTTGGCAATGTTGTGATCTCAGGACGAAGACAGGAAACACTGAGCAGATTGGACCACTCGTGCGCAATACTCAATCAAACTAAAGAACTGACGGAGACCAACGTGAAGGTAGGTATTTGAAAGGTTGACTATTTGGAAGGTCAAACGAGCCTCAGGTCGACGGACGCAGGGTATAATCACCAGGCGATTAGCCCATGGCTCGTTAGAATTCGCAGAATCCCTGGAACAGCAGCGAACTATTGTGAAGCTGCAGCGCTTACAAACCACCACATTGCTATGATATGAATCCCGCTTGAATCGCCGACTTGGAAAAAGAAAAAAAAGAATGAAAACCTCCAATTCATTTCACTGGACATCATTAGTTTTGGCAAAGGCTGACAAATCGATCGCGCGGTTCCAATGATTGTTTGACAAACCGCTGCTTTGGGCCGACGAGCCACAGCGGTACCCATAGCAGGCGAAGTATTTGCAATATTGATTAGTGATATCCCCGATTGCCAGCATTCAACCTTCCATTGGACCCTTCTTCAACCCCACTTTTCATCATTTAGTAGATTTCTGCATATAGTTTGGTTCTGTAAAATAAAAACAGATTACAAAAGTTACAACAATTACAAAAACTACAAAGATTACATGAAAATTATTGAATACCAGCTCATAGAGCTTTTGTTTGATATGCTTTGAGTAACCAAGTTAAATATGAACCAAACCGGGGGCCTCAGTATAGATAGACATCTCAGCGTATATCGGCCACTTGTTATCACTAATATACATGAATTCGAAGCTTACTTTCGGACAGCGCAGGGCATCCCCTCAGCCTGAAACGAAGCTCTTCATCCCATCCGTGCAGCGGCTGTTGGCTTAGTTGAAGAAATAATTTCGCTTTCAAGTAAAATGCCAGACGCTCACAGCTCTTTATACTAGAATAAACCCAAGGGGCCTTTGGACTTGATCGAAATCGATAGACGGGTCCCGTCGTCATCAAGGCTTATTCCGGCTGCTATAGTATACACAGCCTTCATAGTCTCACGTAAACTCGCTGTTAGAGCAGAGTGTGACCTAGTATTCCACCTTTAGACCAGCTGCTCACCGAATAACAGCCTAGCAGAGCTTAGTGTCTCAACTGAGGTCTCCATAAGGGTTATGCGGTTCTTAAGGCAGTCGAGTGGAGCTTGCTGTTGTGAAACATTATGCAAGTTGTGCCATGCGACACTGCAAGCGACGAGGATAGCACACAAGTGGTGCGACTAAAATTGCTCGCAGCATTCTTAAAGTGTCGATTGGACACCCTACGGACTTCTTCAGAACTTACCTTGCCGCCACCTATTCCTCGAGACGCTCCGCGATCCTTCGCTGGCGTCTTTGTGGCCGTGGTGTCTTTGCTTTTTAGAGGGGTATTTGGTTTGTGCCTGCCCAGTTGAAGGAATTTGCGAGCCCATGGACAAGTCTTGAGTACTGGGTAAGGACGTGGTTCCGGCAGGAGATAGCATCGGGCTGAGAGTAACGAGGTGATCTCCGAGGTCACGGACTCCGCTGATAACGGCAGGCTTTGGTGAAAACCACCCCGAATAAAGAGAGGCAGGTCAGTCTACATACACTTGCTGGTCCATAACGGATTGATTGTTGATGATTATATCAATTCTAACGTCGTATATAAGCTACATAATCAATAGAAGAAGGGTCCTATCCAGAAAGAACTAGCCTGCAACTCTCAAGAATCGGAACATGCAGAATATACCATAATATATTACCGGCTGTGTCATATCCAGGCTTACTTGTGCAAATAACAGATTTCCTTTTGTATGTGTTAAGGACTATAGACAATATCATTCTATCAAGAGGTTTCACAAACTTCGCTTAGTATATTACTGATTGAGAGGGAAATGTTAGAGATATGAGACTTTTCAAAAATTGGTATGCATAAAACATATATTGTGTTTGCATGTGGCTCGCTGGCTTGCCTGGCTTGTTCGGATGACCATTGCGTTCCTACTGACTGTGTTGGAATCCGACAGGCGTTTCCCAATCGACCAATTGATTGATTTCTTCTAAAATCGGACAAACGGTTGTAGGTTCCAAGTTCCTTGCCCCGAAGGTCTAACCTTCGGCTCGGCATGTTCACTAATCACTGCCACCGTCTCTTTGCCCAAACCTAAATGCTCACAAATGTGTTTTGAGAAAGCAAGGGCGACTGCTAGAACGCAAAAAAGAAAAGAAAAGAATTTATGCAAAATGGATATTGGCATTAAGGCTCGGAATACAGAAAAAGTTAAAAGAGAGGACAAGCAGCACCAATCAACGGAGCAGGACAAGATCAAATAAGGAGGATTGTGGCTTGTACCTAGGTAAGTTACCCACCACCCACACCTATGGACTCGGCTTCCAGCTTCCGCCGCACCGCCGATCTCCGTGCATGCCAAACGTGGGCACAGGTACGAATACGAGCCTAACCTTGCCCTGAATTGGGATCCAGACAGTCGCCCTAGGCCCCAAGTAGCCTTTGGCGACGCTGGCTATCGACCCACTAAAGATCAAGGTCGCTTGGCGCTGATACTCTAGGGATGTTGGCGCAGAATGTACTTCTCTAGATCAAAGTAGCAGCTTCCTGGAAGCTAAGGTAGTCAGAAGTTCGAGATTGCAGACAATATACTCGGCAAAAGAGCCATCCTCAGAATAAACAGCATTACCACCATGAGCGGAACCGCGGATCCCGTCTCCCTTCTTTCTTCCAACATAGCTTAAAATCATTACCAATAACCTCAAAAACGCCCAGAGTAATCACCCCCTAGCATGACACCAGACAGTAAGAGAAAGTCGAAGTACAGCCAGTCACTGGGGTTCAAACCCACACTGACAGCGTTTACAAGGACATAATCACCGAGGAGCTCGAGAATGACACGGGAAATGGACAAGCCTGCAATCTTAGTTTCGGTAACAATGACAGCCTTTTGAGTAGACATGATGGAGGTAATGAGATGAAGAGGATTGACAATCATAGACGTGTGTATAGACCCGTATTGAAACAGGACTGTGCCGAGGCTCCACTTTAAGTAGGACTTGAAGTTTTTACTTCGTGTGCAGTTTATTATTGATTTATTGTTAAAACAATGTTCTTTGATGGACACTCTTATACATATTTTAGTAAATTAAAAGATCTTAAAAATAATAAAAGGATGATTAAAGTTAAAATAGAAATAAATGACAAGTTCCCCGATCATCGAAACGGACGCTGCCGGTTATCAATGCAAAAGCCTTTTCCTGTGGGTCCACCCTGTATCGATGACCCCTTTCAACAAGTGTGATACAGTAAAATATCTTCTGGACGGTTCCAGGTTCCAGAGCTCAGGGATTAAGTGACCACGTCGATGGAGCGGATGATGAGTGATGAGTATTGTTTGAGGTCTTTATCTCTTTGCTCATGACTTCAATACTGGTGATGGACCATCAGGTACGATATGAGCCGGTTAGCGCAGTCATGGCACCCTCATATCGGATAGTTTCGTACCCGTATCCGGCGACAGTCATTAATAATCACTTCACTCTCATACTATAAATGTCGCTCAGTTACCGGTTCAGGATGAATCATTATCCAAATTCATCAGTATCAAAGTCCCATTCCATCATGCCTGCTCCGTTGATTTTCATGACCGGTGCTACTGGTTTCATTGGCAGTGCCACGGCTGTTCAAGCTCTCAAGTCCGGATACCAACTTCGACTTGGCGTTCGCCAAAAGTCCGAGAAACTTCAATCATTGTTGTCAGAGTACCGCGAACAGGTGGAATTCGTCATCATCCCAGACCTCACCGAGGAGGCTGCGTTTAGAGGGAAGCTTGATGGAGTGGACTATGTGCTCCACCTAGCATCGCCTCTCGCCAACGGCACAGACAAGGAAGCGATTTTCTCCCCCGCGATGAACGGAACACTGGCTGTGCTCAAAGAGGCAGCTAAGGTCCCCAGCATCAAGAAGGTTGCGGTCACTTCATCTATCGCTGCCCTGATTCCTCTTGCTGGACTTCCTGACGGCGGTGTCATTAGAGGTATGTTTGCTACACATAGTTGGGAACTGCTGCCCCTGCCATGCTAAACATCAGCCACCACAGAGGACAACGACTGGGATCTAGCTGTGGATCCCACAGCAGATTTTGTTGACCCCAACAACCCTGCGGCAACCCCGATGACCTTGTACCGAGCGTCCAAACTGCTTGCGAACAATGCGACATGGGACTTCTGGAGAACAGAAAACCCGCATTACGCACTGGTCACTCTCCATCCGTCATTTGTCTATGGGCACAATCTCGTGCAAGCCTCCGGCAAAGAGATCGAAGCCGGGTCCAATGGAATTATTTGGGGTAGTGTGATGGGAGGCGTCCCACTTGGAGGGATCACGGGTGTGCACATCCAGGATGTTGCCGAGGCCCATATCAGGGCGTTAGACTCGAGGATCAAGAATGGTGCGAAGTATCTGCTCTCGGGCCCGCCAACAACATGGAAAGAGGTGGCTCGGATTGCGCACAAGCTCTACCCCAATGTTGGTGTGAAGCTTACCGAGGGTGCCGAGGGTGCCTCTATGCCAACTGATACCACCAAAGCCGAAGTCGAACTGCAAATGCAATGGCGACCTTGGGAGCAGATGGTGCGGAGCGTGATGGACCAGCAACTGGGCTTTCTGTCAGGTTGAGCCATGGAATGCTTGTAGCTAGATCTTAACTTCATGATCTTAGAACACTAGATGATAGTCTATTTGAAACAAGCAAGTCGAGAGTTCTGCTGTCGTAGATTTCGCGTGCGGAATTGCCAACAGGTCTTTTAATGCTGATACCACATTTTATGGCCAATTAGTTGGCATCACTTGAGGCTAGGAAAGTTGGAGTGAAAGATAAGACAGCCCTTTTATGGCTGCAGGCCATCCAATCTCATATAGGCCCTTTTCATTGGACATGAGCAACAATATCAGCCAATGACGCAGAGAGCAGACCTTATATAGTCTAACATAAGATATCGAACTCCCGATATCCCATGCTGGGAATTATCAACGAGCACAGACAGAGACCTACTCGTTCGCGCAGAGTGTGTCGTAATAGAAAATCGTCAGCAGGAAACATCAAGAATTAGGGCCCTCACTGGATCCTGGAGGCTTCGGCTTTGAATCCTGTTAAAAATACTTATTCTATCTTACCACACCTTTTCTTTAATCAACACAGGTTAGAATCAATCTACTATACAGGCGGGTAGAGATAGCAGAATTACCTGAAATCTGTCATACTTTGAATGAATTATATATAAACGAGATCAATCTGAACCAGCCTTAGAGAGTGCTGATCGCTTCATCTTCGATAAGACGTTGGCCCTTTTTGTGAGGGAGAGGGAGGAGGTCAGTCCAGCCCTCCATGAAGTCAAGATTCGACCGTTTCCTCATCGCCATAATCTCGATGAAAGATTGGTACAACTGGAAGGCGTATGCGATCCTAATCCCATGCCAGATCCGGTGTGCGAACTTGGTAAGTCGGGCAAAGCAACAGAGCTGAAACTGGTGTTTGAGTCTGAACTTGTGCCAGTACCAGAGATTCTCCCCGACCTGGAGCCAGAACCGCCGCTAGAGCCAGGTTCAAGCCTCAAGCCAATTCTTGGTCGTGGGAAGACCAACCGCCACTGCGACCTCTACGGGAGCCTGTTTCGGAAACCCCAGTCGCAATGCAACCTTTGCAAGGCGCCTTTTGGGACCGTGATGCTTGGGCCTTCTCCAGTAGGACCAAGGACTAAGTTAATGGCGAAGAACAACAATAAGAGGATGAACCGGTCGAAGAGGATTTGCGGCCCGTGTCTGAGCCAATTCCAGAAGTGGTTGCTTATAAACACATCTTGTTTAGTTGAATTGTCGACTTGGCCATCTTTCTCAGCTTTTTTACCGTGTTCTCAATTGTCTTTTCATCAGTATCGTGGTGTGAATAATCGTTCTTGTAGATACAATCGGTCTTGCAGACCGTCTAAATTAGATGGCCAAGACTTTATCCCAAAATGGGGGTAGTTTGCGAGCCAAGCTCGGGTTCTGTGGGCATTCCCGCGCCCAAGAGGGATATTTCGTGCGGGGCTACCTTTCCTAGGAGTAGTCGCCGAGCCGTATCTCCGGCAGTGCGGAGTTGGTTCCTGCAGACAGTAAAGCGGGACGGCCGATCCCGCCCAGTCTCTGAATCCTCCGACCTTATCTTCTGGTCGCTTGCATCACATTCACGCGTCGCCTGCCCGGAATGAGAATAGTAGAAGCGGGCAGTCGAGAGTGCTTGAAATGAGTCACTCCTCACTAATGAGTGCCCTTGATTTCTTATGTCTTATGCCTGATCAGTGAGTCTTTCTGGTCTTTCAGACTGTCGAGACTTGCCTGTCTGACAAATCTGCAGGTGCTCCTGCTGATGTCTCGCATCCTTCGACTCGGAGGAGTATTCCGTGAAGAATCCAACATATAACACCCCGGGGCTATATTCCAATGCAATGGGACCATGACGACATCCCGTCAATCTGCCGTGCGCCCCGCTGAGGCATATCTGATGCGTCTCGCAAGGCACCATGGTTTCCAGAAGTGCGCGCCCAACAACTTGCGGCAAGGATCGTCATGCAGACTACGCATGAAGCACTATTCTCAATCACGTCCCCACGTGTGCTTGTTCCAGTCTGTCAGACCACCCTCGGTAGTCACGGAGATCTAACGGTCGTCCGTCTTAGCCGTGGCTGGCAGGGATGCAGGTTATAAAGCCGCGCATTCCTCCCTTTGCCACCATTCAACTTTCTTCTAACCACCCTCCGCCTCATTCCTCTCCTGCCTTAGAAGTCCAACAAACTAAGGCATGCCTTCTTTCGCCACCAAGGGCCTGGCCTCCCTGGCCCTAGGCGCCTCCTTTGTCCACGCCCAACTGTGGGATGAAGTCATCCAAACCAGCTACGGTCCCGTGCAGGGCTTCCAATACTTCAACCAGTCGACCCTGGAGAAGTACTTCGGCGTCTCGGAGTCCAACGTGACCGCCTTTCTGGGTGTTCCCTTCGCTGCGGACACGGGCTACGAGAACCGCTGGAAGGCTCCGCAGCCGCGCACGCCGTGGAATGAGACGCTGCAGGCGACGGCGTTCGGCCCGGCCTGTCCCAGCCAGTACGCCACGGACATCAGCGAGGACTGCCTCAGCCTGAACCTATGGACCAACGCAGGGAGCGCCAGCGACAAACTCCCTGTCATGGTGTGGAACCAAGGCAGCGACGAGACCTCAGACGACGCGTGGTGGTACGGCGGCGGCATGGCGCTCAAGGACGTGATCCTGATCACCTTCAACCGACGCGACGACGCCTTCGGCTACCTGGCGCACCCGGAACTCAACGAGGAAGGGCTGCAGCTTACCGGCCACAACACCTCCGGGAACTACGGCGTTCTCGACCAGCTGGAGGTGCTGAAGTGGGTGCGCAACAACATCGCCCAGTTCGGCGGCGACCCGGACCGCGTCGTCGTCGCGGGCCAGTCCTTCGGCTCGTCGCAGGTCTACCACGCCGTCAACAGCCCGCTGTTCACCGGCTACTTCCACGGCGGCATCTCCGAGTCCGGCATCCGGTACCCCTACGACCCGCTCCTGGCGGGCCTGGCCACCTCCTACGTGAACATGTCCACCGCCCTGTTCCACGGCGTCAACTACACGACCTTCCACAACGCCAGCAGCATCGCCGAACTCCGCACCCTGAGCATGGAGGACCTACTGGTGGGCTCCCAGGACCGCGTTAACAGCACCTGGATCGACCCCATCACCGCCCTCTCGGCGGGATACCCGCTCATTTTCAAGCCCGTCCTCGACGGCTACGTCCTGCCCTCGACCTACCTCGAAACCCTGATCAACGGGCCCGCCAACGACGTCCCCGTGATCACCGGCAACACGAAGGACGAGTCCGGCGCCTCGACCACGACCTCCTACACCGTCAAGCAGTACGAAGCCTACACCAAGGCCAAGTACGGCGACCTGTACGACGAGTACATCCGCCTGTACCCGGACAACGGCACCGCCGCGACGGGCGACCGCTCCTGGAACGCCGCCGCCCGCGATGCCTCGCTCATCGGCTCCTGGGCCTACGCGACGGACTGGTACAAGGCCGCCTCCTCCGACTTCTACACCTACTACTGGACGCATGCCCCGCCCGGTCAGGACCAGGGCGCCTTCCATCAGTCGGAGATCATGTACGCGTTGAACGCGCTGTACGCGAACGTGGACACCTACCCGTTCGCGGACGCGGATTGGGAGATCCAGGAGCGCATGTCGGCGTATTGGGCCAACTTTGCGAAGACCCTGGACCCGAACGAGGGTGGGTCGTACACGGGGAACAGCACGTTGCCGGTGTGGCGGCCGAACAGTAAGAACGGGACGCAGGTCGTGATGGAGTTGGGCGATGCGTTTGGCGATGTGGCGATCGCGGAGAAGCCGCAGGTCAAGTTTATGATGAAGTGGTTTCATGAACAGACTCCTTACTAGAGGAGGTGCTGCGCTTTAGGAGGAAGATTGGCGCGCCCGGGGAGGGGACGGGGGGGAGTGTCCAGACGGGGTGGTTTTGGTTAGACTAGGCCTTTCGGGGTGCTAAAGCATGGCTTGTTAGGCTGAGGATCCGTTCCATGTTCTTGTTACTAGGTCTGGAACCGAGAATCAGTGTACTGTATGTATCAATCACTGTTTGCCTGTAATGCACTTTGGTCCTTGTTCTCACGTAATACACGGTATATTCATAGTGTTTTCTTGCTGATGATAACGTATTTGTCAAGAGATTCGGCCATGCAAGCGGCCGGGTTCTAAAGGACTACTTGACTGGGCAGTTGACCGCATATAGGGCAAGGCAAAAGCACCATTATTTTGTTGCATGACTAATTTCTGGGGTTGCTAAACACAAGGCCCAGGGTCCAAAATATACAAATGAAAAGGGGAGTTTGTGTATCATTATACCTTTAATTGAAATCAACCAACATATCTCAATATTAGACTAAGGGGCTATAGGCTACCAAGAGTACTTCATAGTGAAAAGCTACCCTGCCAAGGAAGAACAGCACCCATTCCACTACAAACTAGCCACTTCCCTCGTTGTCAGGACGCCGAAGCTCGTATCAATATATGCATCCCTTTCAGCTGGAAAATATGAACGTTCTAGATCCTCTGCTCGACCTTCTCCTGTCAACCTCCAACATGGGGTATCTGCACCGCTCACAACGTGCCCATCGCTGATTTGTCCAAACTTGTTCTCTTCGCGTCCTGCCGTTAAGCATTCCTCGAGAAGATGCAGGGAGTGCATTAGCCTGGATTGTGCCAATCCAGTCCTCTTCCTGTCCGAGTCTTGGCGCACATCCTCCGATCTTGGCTTTGCTAGACACATCATCCTAGCGAATTGAGATTGCCTTGACAGCTTCCTAGTCTCTTGGCATCGGCCAGTCCGTGGCCTCGAGTTTCTTGGCTCGATTAGAGTACTACATAGTACCTAGTAGTATCCCACACGTAGCTCATCCGGACAGACGGGATAGGATTAGCCCTAACGATTGGGCAGTCTCAGGAATGAGGCTCCTCAAATACGAAGCACTACTTCATCTCGCAGTATTCTTCACCTCGACTCACAGATGCACAATCCAATCACGTTCGAGATGCACACAGTCCAACACGAAGCAAGCATGTTCGAGGGCAGCCTTCGTCTTTGAGCATCCAACAGCTTACTTGAAGTGAAGCAAAGACAACGCCATATCCAGTTCATCACACCACAACTGAGCACAGGTATATAAGGTCGTGTTGACCCTGCTCCTTTATCCCCCAGCAAAACACCCCAACAAACAGCACAACAAGTCATTCCCCTTCATACTCCCTATTTCACCCACGACCAAAATGCATCTTCCAACCACCACCGCCATCGTTCTGTCTGTCCTCGCCTATTCCGCCACCAGCCTCCCCTGCCACGAGCAGCAAGCCGACCAAACCATCCTCGAAGCCCCCATCCCCACCACCACCACCACCACCCGCGTCACCACCTCCGAGCACGTCTTCTTCAACACCAACGCCAACTCCGGCCTCTACCTCTGCGAGAACGCGCTCTTCCGGGGCTACTGCGTCCACTACACCTCTCCCTTTGGGCAGTGCAGTACGTCTGATTTCTCTCACCTACCTCTTCAAACCCCACCAAGCCCATCTTGATCACTTATGACTGAAACCCCCAAAACAGCAACCATCACCGATCAATTCCCGCCGGGAGATCGCGGCGTTTCGGCCGCGGGATCGGATCGGGGCAGTTGGTGTACGCTTTATTCGTGAGTTGCCCTCCTACTGGCTTACTGGGAACAGACTTGGGGATGGCTATTGAATCGTTGTATGCACCAGGGAATCGGGCTGTCATGGCCAGGAACTGCAGATTCATTTCCCCGGCTATGAGAATTTGGCGTACTTGGGGTGGAATGATCGGGCCAAGAGCTTTAATTGTGCGGCGGAGTGAGGGGGGGGCAAGGACCTTTCGCTTGGGGGGTGAGGCTTGCTGGAACAAAAAATATGTCTTTGTGGACCGCCGGGGGGGGGTTACAGAATGATAAGTGTCGCTTTCATTGTGGTGAGGTGCTTGTTCGATGTTAAGTAGGAAGTTGATCAGGCAATAAGTAAAGGCTTTCATGATGAAATGAAGGAACACTTCATACAAATATTTCCTCGGAAAAAATCTCTTGCACACCTTGTGCAGTGCATCATAGATGTTAATGAGATTTGTGCTGCCCCCTTACAGTCAGTTGGCTCTTACCGGATCACCCAGGGGTATTCCTAGCTAGTGTATCTGTTCTGGAGTAGAAATACAAAGATATATATATCAGCTAGATTACAAACGTCCATGTAGCTTAAGACTTCGCAAATTAGTATCTTTGGCTGTTTTTTGATATGTTATGTAATGAGGAGAAAAGAATCTCTCTACCACTGGACAGATATGGGCTCTCGGTAACAGCCTATGAACGGATGAATAAAGATGAATTGATCAAGTGATTGATTGATTGAAGAACATAAGGTCGATAATGAAAGAGAGAACAGGAGAAGGGAGGTAGAAGGAAGGAAATCACCGCTTGCTCCGTAAGAAAGACGCAGTCGCCTCCTCGCCCTTGTCGCCACAGTATACGACGTAGTGACTTGTGATTTCATGTATTCTACTGAAGCCCCAATTTACTTCCCGTAGTCTGAAGAAATATTTTGATATTCAAATATACTTAGTTTTATTAATGTAGTGGTAGCTTGATTATTCAGGTAGCCGGCTCAGATATTTAGCAGTTCACCTAGAAACTATGTTACGTCACTTGAAGGCCTATAACTACCTTGATACTATACCGCTACTGATCGAATCGATACTGCCACGCCGTACGCTTATGGCTTGTCTTGAGTGAACTAGACTTCTATACCTAGTCCAGTCGTCTTTTTGACAGTCGTCTTTCCAACGGAGTCCCTCAGGATACGCATCAAGAAAAATCGTCTTCAACGTCTTCAGACTGCTGCTGGCTGGAGACATCCTCCGCCCCTGCCGTCTCCGGCTGCTGCTGCCCCAGATACTGACTGACCGCCGGACTGGCCATGAGCTCGTCTCTCTGCAACACTCCAGTTAGCAACGCAATCGCAAGACAAACATGCCCAGAGACAACATACCCGCATGGCCAAACCCTCAATCCCCCGACCCAACAGGTTCATCTCCAACGCCCGTAACCGCTTAATCATATCATAAACATCCGGCCTGAACATCGCCCGCATGTCCTCATTCTCATCGATTTCAGACACCATCAGCCCCGTCTCCCTGAGCACCCAAGCCTGCGTCTCCAGCCTCTCAAGAATAAGTACCACCGCGCGAAGCTGAATGATATCCCAATGCGGGTCCGCACGGAGCAGCTCGCTGAGATGAGCCGAATCCCGCAACTCAGCCCCCTTCCACAGAGCCTTCAGCTCACGCCCCCCATCATTGGTCTGGAGGACCGTGAAATCCAACCCATCCTCCTCATTCACACACGCCCACCAGATGATCGAGCTTTCCCAGGCCGTGGTGGGGGCTGACTCGGAATCTGTAGCCGAAGTATACACCCGCACACCCGGTGGCTCCTTACAGAACGCCTTCTTAACGACCTTCAGCGGATCATCGTCCGGAATATCCAGATCCAGGAATACCTGCTTCGCATCGGCGGTCTCTCGATCCAGAAAGCCGTAAGAGAAGATCATCTCCGACGCGGGTTTCTCGTCGCCGTACCTTTTCATGTCCAGAGTAAGCCCCATACCTTCACTCAACCAGCCCAAGCCCTCATACTATGCGACATGATGAAAACTCACGAGATAGTCACCTCTTCCCCGGCACGCACTCTCTTCCCGTACCGCAACTGCAGCACCACATTCCCCTCCGCATCCTCATCGTACAGCGCCTTGACCGTCTCTTCAGAGCTATGATTCGCCATGTCAATGCAGGGCACCATCGCATGCCCGCTGGTCGGGAGATCGACCATCCGGGACCGATACAGCGCGTCGACGTATTTCCAGTCCTCGAGTGTCAACCGCGCCGCCTCTTCTCCAGCAACGTCATCATCACCATCACCTTCAAGATCATCACCGTCAGGATCAGCATCCTCGCCACCCCACCAAACCTCCCTGCACCAGTCAATCCCCCGCGTCGCCTCCCGCAGCCGCGCAAACTCCTTCTCCAACGCCGCCAGCTTCGCATGCACCGCCAGCCGCAACGAGGTCCCGCGCAGCAGCTCCAACTCCGCCTCCGAGTAGAACGTGGGCAGCGGAATCTCCCGCGGCATGTACTTCATATACTCCGTCCAGGGGCCCGCCACCCCCACCGCTTGGCTTTGGCCCGTGCAATCCGGACTGGAGTGGGTGATCTGCATGAGCAAGAAGATCAAGATCGCGCCGCGCGGAGTCTGGCTTCCTTGGTTAGCATGTCTCTCATATAAACCACCGAGCCCACCCCCCGTCCCCTCGAGTCCAGAATTTCTAGAACCAGAAAACCCACGGACTCAGGATAAGAATAAAGAACAAGGGGAGAAACATACCCGAGCAAACTCCCCAACAGCCTCCAGCACCGCCCTCAGCCGGCCATCCGACTTGGCATACCCATGCACCGTCTCCAACGACAGGATCAAATCCGGGGGCACCTTCAACAGAACCCCCGTATCCACGGCGCCAAGGGCGGACTCGCCCCCGGCGCGGTCTTCTGTGGCGATGATCCCTGTGCCTTTGTTGCTGTTGCTGCTGCTGCTGCTGCTGCTGCTGCCCGAGGTATCATTCTCGTGGTGATCCGCACCCAGAGTACCGAAGACAACGCTCTCGACCCCGATTCCATTGAGCTTCACCCATGCCGGCAGCGTCTCGATCGGTAAGTGAGCGCGCTTCATCTTGGCTATTCAAACAACTCGGTGCTAGAAGCTGTTTGCATAGCATTACCCAGCATGCAGTGTATAAGAGGGTGGGGTGGGGGAAGAGGGATGTTTTGATTTGCCGCTGACATTCCGCCCTGCCTCCCCGTACTCCCGTCTCTTATCGATAAGCACCCCAGTAACCCTAAGCCCTAGGGTCAAACTCATTACGGCATGGAGACGTCATGCAGCGCCAAGGACGGTCATGACCCATTACCGGGGTAAAAGTCACTGGATTGACCATGGAGTATATAACCCCAGCTAGGAGGTAGCATTGTCGTTGATGTCATTCTCTCCTATAATTCGGATCTCTTCCATACAATTACAATCAGTTATATTTCCAACTTTGCTACCTTCACTTCTAGTGTCGAGTCGAGGTAAATACTACGAGCCAGAGATCTACAACCCCAAGAGCATACCTACGAAACCGCAAGAATGTCCCTGTTCACCACGACACGCATCGCTTCGAGACTCCCCGGTCTGCTCGCGAGGCAGCAGCAACAAGCCCTTAGGATTGCCGCCCCAGCCACCACGGCGCAAGCCCGTCTGAACAGCTCATGGGTGGGCACCAAGGCCGAAGACCACGCCGTCAACCGGACCAAGAAGCGCGACACGACCGATGTCTCGACCGATGCCTCGGCGGCCGGGCAGGAGGACCGAGAGTCGAGCTACGGGGTGCCGGACAGCTCTAAGCAGGGGGGCGCCACGGAGCGCGGGGGGCTGAAGCACGAGCGCAAGGCCAAGAAGGAACATCCCAAGGCGCCGGAGCCGGTCATCGGGATGAATGATGAGAGAGGACAGGTATTTTGCACACCCTTATTTTCTTGTTGATGTGATATGATCCCGGTGTGTTGGGGCGGATTCGGCTAACTCACCTATCTCTCAGCGAGGTCACTAAATATCGACGGACGAGGATTGCTGGCTTCACGCCAGTCGTTGACACTACTTGTTTTTGCAGTTGAAACGCTCGTGTTCTCTTCGTGATTGTAGCATCATCTCGGTTTATAGTTTCATTATCATGTTAACTGTACATAGATTGTATTCGGGGGGAATCTATCGGCCAGGTTTAAAAGAAAGAATCTAAGAAAGGCAAGATTAGTCTGTGCATGATTGGTAAACAACCACAGAATCCACTTACGTCGTGTTTCCCAACTTCCACAATCTCGTCCTCGGAGACACGAGTGCCACCGATTCCTTCGATGTATGAGATGGGCACATCTCCCATGACCTTGCGGGCAACGTCGCCGACTGTGCTGTTTCTACTCATTGTCAGCACATTCCCTGTTAGCTTGATCCAGTGACTACTCACTTGCCCACGAGGACACAGTCTCGGAAGACTGCCGTCCCAGCTCCGGATGAGAAGGTATGGATATTGCGGACAGGGAACACGGGTACAAGCCCCAGGAGTTCCGCGGCACGCGAAAGACACTGGACAACACCGGTGGACCCGAATCGATACAGAACCATATCTTTCAAGTTTTCGACACGCCTGGGAGTCTCAGGGTTAGCTTTTCTATGGATAAGTCAGGTTCTGTGTGTCGTACGTTTTCAGCTTCTCGTCCATCTCCTTGAGGCCACCTCCATCCGGATCACCCATATCAATCAGGTCCTCTCGCATATCTACGAACTCGCTTCCTTCAATGTATTTGATATAGCCCTGCTTTGCAAGTCGGCGCAGGAAAACTTCCGAGATGGCGGAGCACAGCACGATCGACTTCGGATCTTGCATCTTGGCGATCTTGCTGATATTCTAGCGTCCCGCATATTAGTCCAAGGGCACATACATCCAGAGCGCGGAAGCACACACCTTGTCCGCATCGGGATGGTCGATCTTATTCAAGGCAAACACGGTAGGGAACTTCTCGTCGATGAACGTCGTGACCACCTTCTCCACTGTCTCATCCGACCAGGCCTCCAATGGCTCCTTGAGCGCCAACTTATCCAGGCACCGTCCAACGATGGAGGATGTACTTCCGTAACCGGAGAACTGAGCCTGCAATGTATCCACGGCCGTTGATTCTAGCTGGAGCGTCAGAGAGCCTGCCACAAATCCATCCACCACGCCGTCAACTCACTTGTAGCCACATGTCTCCTCTTGATCGATCCCCTGGAATCACAAAATCAGCTTCTCCATCTAGTCTGTGATTCCAAAACGCGACCGTACCATTTCTGCATCAAGTTGCCAAGCACCCATCGCACAATCTCAGAGTGAAGCCACTCGATATCTTGTGAGGGGTCGTAGCCTCGTGTGGCCTTGCCTGCAGACATCCGGTTAGCCCTTTTCAGTCCACCAAGTTACCCCTCGAGGCCCAATCGGCTTAAGCCCCCAGATATGTGGTTGTACCTTCTGCATCCGTCGTCCCGCTCACATCCACCACGTGAATCAGCGCATCGGCATGGCGCAGGTCGTCCAAGAATTTATTCCCCAAGCCGCGGCCCTGGTGCGCGCCCGGAACCAGACCAGCTACATCCAAGAGCTCGATCGGCACCGAGCGGCGGCCCTCCACGCAACCCCCGTAGTTCGGTCGGCATTTGTCGGAAACGTTCAGTCTTTGGCAGGCGCATTCGATTTGAAGATAACCGATAGCGCGCTGGGGATCGATGGTGGTGAATCTGCGACAGGAATCAGCGCTGTTCGGTGGACGGTTGGCAAATCGCTGGGTGGGTGGGTGTCAAAACGCACGGAAAGTTTCCTACGCAGTGGTTATGATAGTAAGTACACGATAAGCGCCGAAGAGACTAGCTGTAGTAGCAGCAGAACATACCAACTTTGGAGGAAGCATCGGTCAAACTGTTGAGGGTGGTTGACTTTCCGCTCGACGGCTACAGGTTCCCCTCATTGGAATCAGCAGTGGATCAGACGGTGGGTGGCATGGAGAAGATAAAAAAGACCTTTCCCACCAAGCCGATCAATGGATCTCTTGGCATCTTTATATATAGTATCCCAGGTGTAGATGAAGTGCACGACGACTCGGAAATAAGAAAATAGTTCTTTTGCGTCTAGGTTATGATGGGTTTCGTTCGAAAAAGCATTTCTGCAGGAGCGGGGAAACATTCAATTTCTGCCGGCTGTACGAGGAAGGCGGTCTGGCGGTCTGCGGCCTGCATGACCGTTTTGAGATACCGCGGCGGTCACTGCACACATCACCACCCCCGGTCTCGGTTTCGAAGGGCTGGAATCACGATTTAGTGGGAGAGCTGGCAAGTCTGGAGGCTGCTGGCTCTTATTAGACAAGAAAAGCTTGCAGGACATGTATCAGAGCACGAGACAGAGCACGAGACAGAGCACGAGACTGTCCATACTCACCTGCATGGTAATCATCCTGCAGTGTCTTGTTAGTATTCTTAAAATACCTATTGCGGTTCATATGCATAGCGTGCCCAATTGGTGAGATGAGCAATCCTTTTACACGGGAACATCTATAAAGTGACAGGTACCGCTTTACAGCCGCTAGCCACAAGCCTCAGCAGTCAAGTACAATCATGATGCATGGATTGCGTAGTCGCGATTTCGCAGACATTGTTGGGAAGTAAACTATATACAGGACGTAGAGTATCATCAATTCCACCACATAATCTGTGAGTTGCCCCTGGCACCCTCACACCTCAGGAATCGTGTCCAATTAAGCATCCAACAACGGAGGGACCTTCTCGACAAGGTATTCGACGATGGCATCGGGGCCGCGCTCGACCTGGAGGCCTTCGGGGATGGCGTGGAGCTTGATGGTGGGGTTGATCGAACGAGCAATGGAGTGGATCTCCTGAGCCTGCTCGGCAGTCCACATGGAAGCGCTGAACTGTAGATCAAAGTCAGGACACATACCAGAGGTAGAAAGTCACCCGCCAGCGAACAGGTGCTCGCGGTGGAGGAATTCAACTTACCAGAACGTCAGGCATGTGCTCCTTGACCTTGGGTTCGACCTCCTCGATCTCTGTTCGAGCTCGTGGTCAGTCAAGTACATGACAAAGACATTCAGACAATCAGTTCACTCACTCTCGCAGTTGTCAACGTGGATGATAGTGTAGCGGTCCTTGAGAGCCTCGATAAGGCGGCCGATCAGGCGCTTGGCTCTCTCGGGAGCAGTGTTGACGGTGACGAGACGGAAGGGGCCCTTGGGAGACATGATGACTGATTTTTAGAATGTGCTTTGATTTGGATTCCTACAACGTTGCGACGGCGTACCTGGTAGCCTTTTAAATCAGCGCAGAGCGCATTGCGAGTTCGCCGCTTTCTCCGACCGAGATCCCCGCTGGCGACATCCCCACAACCGCGGCGTGGGGAAGTGTTGAAGTGGGCTGTTTAGTGTAAAGTGTACGGAGTAGCAGTCAGCCATCGCCGGGTTTCGTCCGAGAGAGAAGAGAGTTCAAGTCACCAAACGGTTCAACCACCTCCGAACTTCCCACCCGGCCTCGATTCGCCATTTGCCCCACCTCTTATTTTTACCCCTCCCCGCACCAGAAAAGAGGGGTGGCAGCTGCGATGTCGGGGTAGTTATATGCCGCATTCCTCTTAAAAGCGTGGAATCCACTGTTCTACACATCTCCCACGTTCGCATCATACACTCACATACCTTGCACTCATCCTTCATTCACCATGTCTAAAATCGCATCCACCTTCTCGCGTATGTGAACGGTCCGAACAAGAAAATCCTTCAGCTGCTAACCCCCCACCAGGTCTTGTGCGCTTCGTTCCTAAGTCAAATCCATCCAAGATCCTTATCGGCGAGCCCGTCGATGCCTCCATTGATGTGGGTTTGGCCGTCTACAAGGGCCAGGAAGTCGCTGTGCGACCTTTCTCCGGCACTTCGGTCCTGAACCCCGGCCAGAAGACCGACGCGACCGAGACCATCGAGCGCATTCTTTCCCCATTGGCACAGAGCGAAGTCGGCACCATCCGGTGCATTGGCTTGAACTATGTCTCCCACGCCGCTGAGATGAAGCTGGACATTCCCACCGTCCCTACGCTGTTCATGAAGCCCCCGACGGCACTCTCGGACCCGTGGCCCGCTCCTACCGTCCTGCCCAAGATCACACAGAAGGACAACACCGGTGACTACGAGTCGGAGATGGTCATCGTCATCGGCCGTGACGCGAAGGATGTGAGCGAGGAGGAGGCGCTGGACTACGTGCTCGGATACACGGCTGCCAACGACGTCTCCAGCCGGACCTCCCAGATGAACCAGAGCCAGTGGTGCTTCTCCAAGGGATTCGATACCTCGTGCCCTATCGGTATGCATGACCTCCCTGCACCAGAAAGCACACCCTCGACCTCATCATAGCAGCATATCTCTGACTCGGATTGAAAATAGGTCCCGTCCTCGTCTCCGCCGCCCAAGTCCCCGACGCCAGCAAGCTCCACATCAAGGGATCCAAGAACGGCAAGGTCCTGCAGGACTGCCCTCTCACGTATGTTTGGCTGATGGTCCTGACGAGTCGGCACGCAATATAGAAGCTAACCATTTGTGTATAGTGACCTGATCTTCAGCGTTCCTCAGCTCGTCAGCTTCCTATCGCAGGGCACCACCATCCCCGCTGGAACTATCATCCTGACCGGTACTCCCCCCGGCGTGGGCGCTGCCAAGAACCCCAAGGAGTTCCTGAAGCACGGCGATGAGTTTGCAGTTGAGCTGCAGCCTCACGTCGGCACGTTGATCACCAAGATCGAGAATCAAGCCTGAAATGCCATAGCAAGTTTACGATAGTATAGATAATAGATTTTGTCAAGCGTGTGCCTTAATGGAGCGATTCGTAACGTAGCATCTCCTTCTAATTTCAACCTTCCCAAATAGCTCAGAGTAGGTCGGATAGGTTACGTGCAAAACCGAAGCTTAGTCGGTTAGCATACTCGCCGCCCGCTGTACATCATGCGTAATGCCTTCTCGCAGTTCCATGCTTCATGATGGGCAAAGCATTGCCGGCATTTCCGTCCACTGGATGCATGCCGATGCGTACGTAGCTTCGAGGCCACATCCCCACGATGACTAATTCAGCTCCCCACAATCGCAGAACACAGCAGTTGCCGTGCGCCGGAGAGATGCCAGTGCTCCGGTGGTTGAGATTGATATGAGGCAAAAGCTGTTCTTGATCCATTAGAACCCTGGCTATTCTTTACCATTGACTCCGAGGACCGTCAGTGTCGATAAGCGACCTGTTCACACACATTTCGTGATACTCCGATCACAAGGTTATGTGCAATCGCAATCTGAACCGCTGCGCGCCCGGGTTATCCGACCGGATAGGGTGGGTAAAATCAGTTCCGCCGGAATTAATCAGTCCCGAGGGCCGACCGGCTCGGGTTCCCGCCTTTGCGATAAGGACAAACCGACGACTTGCAGTGCACATGTTAGCAAGCAAAACAACCCAACCAAACAATTCCTGGTTCGATCTAGTGAGATGGGTAGATTTCCCGGGGGAATATCTCTGTGGTAACCAAGACAAATATTCATGTCTTCATTGGTAGCAAGTCTGCATGAGATTGTTGCTACCAGCTCTTCTAAATATTCCAACCCTCAGGCTGAGCTAGGGGGGTTCTACCTGCACGGCTACTACGGCGATGATTACTATCCTGTCAAGTCTCTCCTACATAAAGGAAGCCATCTCCTTAGACGTCCTTACACTCGAAGCACAAACGATACGCCGTCCAAAGCGCCTCCTCCACGTCACACGTCCCGAAGACTTCCCCAAGCCCCCGACCACCCATCTAATCCCAGTCCCCGCACTTCACCCGCTCCGCCCGACCACCCAGCACTATGTGCAATGGCAAACCCCCAACGTCCGTCGGCCGGTTTTTGTCCATGTCCTCCACAGATAGTCCCGCTAAATCTCCGTAGGTATTGGCGTCCTGAAGCTACGGTTCGGCCCCGGAGGACTTAGCTGATATCGGGGTCTATCTTGACACGGGCGCTCAGAAAGTTTTGTAATGATTTCCGGGGGTGATGAGCCCCGTAGCCTCAGCAAATCAGAGATGAACGCTACCGCTTTTCCGATGTACTTGCAGGTGCGAAAAGGGGCTTTTTATTAGCAATATCGGGTCACTAGACTGCTCACAAGGTAGACATCAGTTTCAGGGTTCTTCGAGGAATCGCTCTGATGTAGCGATTTGACGGGTTAAGGGTCAGTCAGGCGCGTCGGTGATATATCAGCAGCGATGGGCGAAGAATTCCCACCAGGTAGTCCTAGTAGGTTTGATGGGTGCACGTTTAGAAACACTTCTCAGTGCTCTAGAACTTCTTTTGTGCAGGCTTACTGACCACTAAGGGCGGAGTATGGGAGACGCCATGGTACACAAGCCATCGTTGAGTTGGCTGTTGTGGTTGAAGTATTTTCCTCTTTGGGTAAGGCTCGGTTTACTTGCATCTCCCAGTCCGATCCGATCCCGGGCCCAGTTTTGGCACTGCTTCCTCAACTATGCATGTCTCTGGGCCACCCAGTTTTAATCTCAATCCATGGCGATGATCAGTATCTATACAATATTGCCTTTCTTTCGCAGCACACACAGCTGAATTCGAACGCCGATTCCAACCACTAACTTCTCCTATCTGTTGTGATGCAATGGTGTTCGTCTTACGGCCCGTGCTGGCTCCACGTCGGCTGCAGCTGCAGCAGCCAAACTTTCCCCTCACCTCAGCTTAAGGGTCCCGACCTCCCAATTATTGCCTGCACCGCACCTGTCGCTTGAGTGCCACCAGAAAAAGAACAAGCGACGTCACAAATGATACATACCTATGCAACCATCCATACCACGCTGTGAGGTGGCCGGCTCTGACGGATGCAAGCCACCACCGCAGAAGCCCAGCCGACTTGCTCCCCCCCCCGCATGAGTCCCAACTTCCCAAATCACTAGTGGCGATGATCCCCGATAATTGACCGAAATAGTCTTGGAAAAGGGTGCCAATTACCTCGTTAAGGGTTCAGACTCCGCTCTACCCCAACCTCGGCCTTCCTACTCTAGTCTAACCTGCCTCTTGGCAGCAACTTCTGGACTTTGAGTCGCGGCCTTCGTCGGCAAAATACCTGACTGAGATGGTCTTGGCATCAGAACATTTTCGAACATGGTGAGGGCTGGTGGGGTCAATGTTGTACTGCAGCCTGCATTTTGATGGCCTTGGATCAACATGCCCTGCATCCGTTGTCAGCAAACTCTGACCGAATGCATGCCTATATATACCCTGACAATCGGGCGCCGATCTCACCACACTTTCTCAAGCAACGCTGTTCCCTAAGGCACGCTCTTGACTGAGGATGCTAGGGTCCTTGTTTGTTCTCGTCCCCCTTGTGGGCGCTGCAGCTATCAGATCGGAGGCATCTCACCATGACTGTCCTGGCTACAAGGCCTCCAATGTCAAGAAGGATACGAACTCTCTAACGGCAGACCTGACTTTAGCTGGCTCGCCCTGCAACAGCTATGGCACGGATCTGCGTGACCTCAAGCTTCTCGTGGAATATCAAACCGGTATGAAATGCTTCAAAACCGGGGTTTGTGTTGCGGAACTCGCTCACAGTTCTCATTAGATGAACGTCTCCATGTAATCATCTACGATGCCGATGAACAGGTATACCAGGTTCCCGGATCTGTCCTTCCCCGCGTGGACGGGGACAGCGGGTCCAGCGACACATCGGCGCTTGATTTCGACCTCGTCGAAGAGCCATTCTCGTTTGTCGTTTCAAGAGACGACGAGGTACTCTTCGACTCCTCAGCATCGAACCTCGTTTTCCAATCCCAGTATCTGAACCTGCGCACCTGGCTTCCCGACGAGCCCTACTTGTACGGTCTTGGCGAGCACTCAGATCCTATGCGCTTGCCCACAGACAACTACACCCGCACGCTCTGGAACCGTGACGCTTACAGCGCGCCCAACGGGACCAACCTCTACGGCAGTCATCCGGTCTACTACGACCACCGTGGCGAATCTGGAACCCACGGCGTTCTGCTACTGAACTCCAACGGGATGGACATCAAGATCAACAAGACCGACGACGGCCAGCAGTACCTCGAATACAACACTTTGGGCGGCGTCTTTGACTTCTACTTCTTCACTGCGCCTACTCCTAAAGAGGCGAGTATCGAGTATGCCAAGGTCGTGGGTCTTCCGGCAATGCAGAGTTATTGGACTTTGGGCGTACGTTTTCCCCGCCCCTAGGATTGTGATTCACAAAAATGGCTAACTTTTGTTTTAGTTCCACCAATGCAGATACGGTTATCAGGATGTTTATAATGTAGCAGAGGTGGTGTACAACTACAGCAAAGCAGGAATCCCCTTGGAAACCATGTGGACCGACATCGACTACATGGATAGAAGAAGAGTGTTCACTCTCGACCCGGAGAGATTTCCCTTGAACAAAATGCGCGAGCTGGTCACTTATCTGCACCGTCACGACCAAAAGTACATTGTGATGGTTGATCCCGCAGTGAGCGTCAGCAGTGAGTACTTTCAGAGCAGCATTCTCGATTGCAAGTGCTGACAGTCCGTTCAAAGACAACTCGGCATATACCACTGGTGTAAGCGAAGGCGTCTTCCTCCACCACCAGAACGGAAGTCTATACGAGGGTATTGCCATCCTTCGCAACCAGTGAAGTATTCAAAGCTGACCTGCAACAATCAGGTGCCGTCTGGCCCGGCGTGACCGTCTACCCGGATTGGTTCAACCCCGATACCCAAGATTTCTGGAACGCGCAGTTCGCCGAGTTCTTCAATGCTACCGCGGGAGTTGACATCGACGGTCTGTGGATCGACATGAACGAAGCGTCGAATTTCTGCCCTTACCCGTGCGCGGATCCGGCCGCGTTCGCCATCTCCGACGACCTGCCCCCTGCCGCACCGGCTGTTCGGGCCAGCAGCCCTCGCCCACTACCTGGGTTCCCGCAGGACTTCCAGCCTTCCGCGTCGAAGCGATCTTCCGTCAACGGCCAGGGAACCAAAGGCATGAAGATCGGGCTAGCCAACCGCAACCTCACCGATCCGCTCTACAAGATCCAGAATGCAGCCGGAGTCATCAGCATGAATACCATCCAAACCGACATCGTCCACGCCGGGGAGGGCTACGTCGAGTACGACACGCACAACCTTTACGGAACGAGTGAGTCCAACTACAGTCCTTCAATCTCTGAATCACGCTAACCACATGATCCCAGTGATGAGCACGGCGTCGCGCGATGCGATGGCCACGCGCCGTCCCAACGTCCGACCCTTCATTATCACCCGGAGTACCTACGCAGGAGCGGGATCGCACGTTGGACATTGGTACGCCACCCCTCCCCCACTCACTCTCATAAACCTCCACATCCTAACCCACAGCAGGCTAGGCGACAACATCAGCGACTGGGCGCACTATCGGATCTCGATCGCGCAGATTCTGGCCTTCGCCTCGATGTTCCAAATTCCGATGGTCGGCGCGGACGTGTGCGGGTTCGGGGGCAACACGACGGAGCAGTTGTGCGCGCGGTGGGCGGCGCTGGGGGCGTTCTACACGTTCTACCGCAACCACAACGAGCTGGGGGACATCTCGCAGGAGTTCTACGTGTGGCCGACGGTGGCGGAGGCGGCGCGCAAGGCGATCGACATCCGCTACCGGCTGCTCGACTACATCTACACGGGGCTACACCGGCAGTCGCAGACGGGCGAACCCTTCCTGCAGCCGCTGTTCTACCTGTACCCGGCGGACGAGCGCACCTTCACCAACGACCTCCAGTTCTTCTTTGGGGACGCCCTCCTCGTCAGCCCCGTGACCCAGGAAAACACGACCTCCGTCGACGCGTACTTCCCCGACGACGTCTTCTACGATTGGTACACGGGCCGCGCGGTGCGCGGCCGCGGGGCCAATCTCACCCTGACGGACGTCGACTACACGCATATCCCTGTCCACGTCCGCGGGGGCAGTATCGTGCCCGTGCGCTCGGCTAGCGCCATGACCACGACCGAGGTCCGGACCAAGGGCTTCGAGTTGCTCATCGCCCCTGGGTTGGACGGCACCGCGTCCGGCAGTCTGTATCTCGATGACGGGGACTCGGTCGAGCAGGCCGCCGCGACGGAGGTGACCTTCCATTACAGCCGGAAGGGCCGCGAGCTGCGGGTCGCGGTGGCGAATGCCGGGTCCGAGTTGCGGGTCGAGAAGGTCACGGTGCTGGGGGAGGGGGAGGGGCAGTCGGGCAAGAAGACGCATGGGGATGGGTTCAGTCTGCGGTCGTCGCTGAAGGTGCAGCTTTGAGGGGTGGGGTCGTGGGCCATCGGCTTCTGGTCTGAATCTTGGGTCAAGGACTAGAATAGTCGACGTGGACTGCGCGGCCTCTCCGCGTTGAATTTTATACACTAACCCTAATATATGCAAGAATCCGACAATCAACTCCAGTTGCGACAGTCATCGAAGCACTTCCAAAGAAAGAATTAAAGTAAAGAATCCAAAATAGAAGAACCCATTCAGCCCGAGATGCAAAGGATAAAAAGAAGAATCAATCGAAGTGCATGGTCTTATCGGAGAATGAATGCTAGAGCAAACTTTGTTTTTTTTTATTTTATTTCATTTTCCATATTTTCTATTTTGATTTTTTTTTTTCCGTTTGCTTTTAGGTCCACCTCAAACCTCAGCGGTTAACTGTCATCTTCAGTATACATACACAGAACAATAATCCCCAAAAGGCATCTTCATTGATACCTTGAGACTGTATAGCTGAAACCCATCTCCCCTTGAGCTTCTGAACAAAGGGAGTTTGTTTCCATGATTCGATCCGGGTTCGTCCAGCCCAACCATTAATGTAGATGTAAGAGCAATCCAACCCAGGGGTTCTTGTTCATCATAGCAGCCTTAGTTCCTATCCCCGTCCCTGTCTTCATACAACTTAGCGAGCGACGCACTACCGACGAGGATCCATCAAGCCATCCTAAATCTGCCCTGGCCATATCAATGCCTACTTTAGGTGTCCTCAAAAAGCGGCGAAACTGACGTCTACGTCCGGATGCGGATCCGCTGATGCCCCAAATAAGGCCGAGAGAGATGTATTCATATCTAGGTATGGCCAGCCGCATGGGGTCCGGGTCCTCCTGTCTATACAGTACAAAGCTCAACGAGCAATCCCGCGTCGGTCGAGGGTAGGTAGCATCCCGAACTGCAATGGGTCTGGGTCTGGGTCTGGGTCTACAGAATCTGCACGACCCTGGCCCGGTCAGCCTGCGGCGGGACCAGACTCAGGCTGTTTGGGACCTCCTCCCGATCTGCTGAATCCCCGTCCGGCATTGAAGCGGTCCGTGCTCGTGCTATTCGTGTTTAAGGTGCCGTTTAACCGACAACCCTTACATTGGGGATATTGTCCGGTTCGGTTCTGGAAGTCGCCATGCGGGAAGAGGGAAGGATAGGATACGAGAATCGGTGGTCTGGCACACAAAGCTCAGGAGACTGGGTCGAGCCATTGGTCCAACCCTTCACATTCATGCTTGCCTTTGATGGTGGGACTGGAAGCCGCCGCGTATCATCATCGCGTTCTGAGTCTCCTCGTCGCTATCCACGTCGTCTTCTAGTCCATCCGTCCTTTCCGGAGGGAAAGCCTTCGCCGTTGATGACGGACCAACGAAAGTCATCCAAGGATGTCTCTTGCGATGGATGCTTCCTGGTCGAGTGGCTTTGGAGGAAATGGTCCTAGATCTTTGGCACGGAAAGAGTCTATGTCCGGCGTGGCGGGAGCGTGTTGTGTTATTGTGGCGAGCAAAGTTGGGAGAAGAAGCAAGACCCTAAGATATTGGGAAGGGCTGGGCGGATCGTCCACTGACTGACCTGAGTGAGATTCCCCGCTCTCTGGGATGCATAGTCGGATCCTGAATCTAGTCCGTTTGCTGATGAAGCTGGCTGTGGCATTTCTCTGTCCTGTCAATTTGTTGGTAGGGGAAAGGTTGGCGATTTCACGCTGCAGGGTCTTTGAGTAAGTGTAGTGTCGATGTTTGTGTCAGTTGACTGGATCGGCCGCAGCTCAAACACTGATAAGTGGGTGTTTCTAGTGGTATACAATGATCGCAGCCAAAGAACAAACGATACGACTACGAGGAACAGCCCAGAAGACCAAAGGAGTAGTATCGAATCTTGATCTTATTCAAGTCACCTACAAAAGATAAGAAAGTTTAATGCTAACGCCATCTAAAATGCAATGAGACGCTCAGGGACTCAGACCGAAACCAGACAGCAGAAAAGGACGCCAATATTCTCAACATGCAAGAAAGAAAAGGATATAATCCGCAGAAAAAGCAAGCACAGTCAAAATCGTAAAGCATCAGTTGCGCAGACCGAAAGCCCGACGCGCCCGACGTCTCAACTCCCCCATCATCGCCTCCTGGGACTGCTTGGTGCGGCCGACGGCCTCGGTGTTCTCGACCGCGCGACGCATCAGGAATCCCATGCACTCCTTAACGGTACCCCAGGTCAACAGCTTGTAGACGTTGGGGGACTCAATGGCAGCGGCGCCCTCCCCACCAGGGAAGCCCTGGAGGAGCTCGCAGCTGACCTCATCGGCCATACCCTGCAGCTGGGCGTAGCTCAGATCCACGCCCTGGGACTCGCCGGTGGCGGCCTGCTTCATGCGGATGGCGTGGGCCTTGCGGACGGAATCGCGGTTGTGGGTGGCGATGATTACGTTCAGCGGGGGCAGCTGCTCGGTGTGCTTGTCGGAGGCCGGGCGGAGCATCGCGTTGTAGCGGCGGGTCAGCAGCGCCTCGACGACCCCGTCGTAGCACGCGTCCGTGTCCTCCTTGACGTCCCAGATCAGCTGCCGCGGCTCCGTCTTCAGGTACGCGCCGCGCACCAGCTTGACGCCGGCGGTGAAGCCGTTCTCGCGGGCAAACTCCAGGTGGCGGGCGATCGTGGCGGGCGTCGACTTCAGGTAGGCCTGGTAGGTGTTGAAGAAGATGGCCTTGCCCGGGGTGCGCGCGTTGCAGTACTTCTGGTACCGGAGCGCCCAGTTCTCGATCCCGTGCTGCACGGCCTGCTCCTCGGCGTCGACGAGCAGGCGCGCGTTGCGCGCAATCGCCAGGTCGCAGACTTGCTTGATGGCTTTGTCCATTTGCTCCGAGGGGTCGGACTTGTTTTGCAGGTAGTGGAGGACTTGGTGGCCCATTCCAGTCCATCTTTTTGGGGGGAAGGATTGGTTAGCTTAGGTTCACAAGGTTTTAGGTTGTTTTCGGCATTTGGGGCAAGACGGAAAGGGGAACATACTTGAGAGCCACGAAATCACCCTCCTGGGCCATATCTACCGTCTTCAGGGTGCCGTCCAGCCAGGTCTGGATCTCCTCGCGGGCGAGCTGCTCATCGAACGGGTCGACCTGTCCCTCGCCGACCAGGACCTCGCGCGCGTAGCCCAACAGCACGCCCCGGTAGCCCAGCGACTTGATGTCGCGGATGGAGCGCTGCACTTCGACCTTGTTCTCTCCGGCGTTGAACTGCTTGTAGATGGTGTGCTTGACGACAGCGTTAAGGAGCGGGTTGCGAGCCACGTCCAGCAGGGCGGACTTGGGGTGGGCCAGCGTCGACAGGGCGAAGATGCATGGTTTCAGGAGCAGCGACGAGGAGGAGACGGAGAGGATGACGAGCGAGCGGAGGACGGTCGACAGCGGCAGTTTGGCCAACGGAGTGGAGGAGGAGGTGCTTTGGAGAGACGCGGAAACCTGGTGTTGCAGGGTGGTGGTGGAGGAGACGGGCGAGGCGGCGACGGACTTTGCGTTGCTGGTCCGGCTGACATAGCGGCGGCCGGGGGCGCTGGCGAGCGCCCGCATCGGGCGGCGAGCGGCCTTCATTGTGTTTGTGTTGTTTATCGATAAGGTGGAGAGTGTGGTAGAGTAATGAATGGTCTAGTAAGAGGATGAATGAGGATGTATGAGAGAGAAAGAGGGACAGTTTTCTAGTGTGTAAAATAGTCTAGAGATGAGAAGACCAGAAGTTGTACTTGAGAAAGAAGAAGAAATTTAATTCTTTGTCGTCCTACAGTCCTGTATAGATAGTTCTCTGGGAACTGATAAAGGGAAGGGGGGGAAGGGGAAATCCGCCCCAGTAGCCGGTGGAAACCGGGCGGTTCCTCCTTGCCGGTCGCCGCATTACTACTTCTTCTTCTTACATTATTACTATATCGACCGAGATCTATGAAGTGGCAGCAGCTGTAGCAGCTGCAGCTCCAAACCCAATGCCGGTTGTACCCATTTCTTATTACTCATAAGCAGTCTAGGGGGCGGCAGCTGGACACATGACTACTCTTATTGAGTTCTGAGTATGTGGATGTACATCGACAATTGCCCCCTCGTGATCGCCTCGTGATGTCAACCCGCATCTTTTAAGGAGCAGATTGCTCAACTTGGTGGAACTTGTGTCATGAACCTGGTGGCAAATCCAAGAATCGTGAATTGGATCAGGTCCAATGAACCCATTCTCAATCTTTGATGAGCCTCTCCCCCTCTTCCTCCCCTGGTGCATTGATTCAACATTGACGTCTCGAAAAGTGCTTGATGCGTTGATGCATGGGTCGGAGGCGAACTCCAATCCCCAAAGATCTGTATGGATCGGCAGGCGATAAGCTGATTAGAGTCGATAAGAAGTCCGCCGGTGGACGGGCCGGTTGGTTCAACTGCCCCACCGGAGTTCAAGTGGCTGAACCGGCCCGGTTAAGCGAGCTCGACAGAGAGAAAAAAATGGCCAGGCACGTGCCCCCCGCTGGTTGCAAAGGCGGTTGATTCTCGGGGTATTGGAGACCGGGGTCATTATCCGTCTTATCGGGATACTAACTAACTGTAACATGTCTGAGGCGATAAGGAGGGCTTACCTTGGAGATGTTGCCATTCGACGAGAATGCATGCACACAGATTCAGCGTGTTGCTTGTTTTGCACTATGATCATGATCCCGTAAGCGTTACGCTTGAGAACAGCCTCGGTTCCTAGTCCGGTCAACCGCGGAAAGCATCTCCGCGACATCGCCGCGGTCTCGAGCTGACTTAGCTTGGCTACGTCTTTCCATGGTGTACGCCGATAGTCCGAGCATCGGACTCACTAGTGATACGCGACATTGTCTACTGACAATCATCAATGGTATTAAGTCGTACAAATGACAGGGATGTACCCGAGACGTACCCGAGGTCGTCGTATAGTCGTCAACGCCAAAATAGCAGCCAGATTATGCATTCATGCAACCAACGTTCAGAACTAAACCAAAAAGCCAGTCGCGGCTGAGGGTATGACAAGAATAGGTGAACACTAAAAAGAACAAATGCCAAGAAGCTTCGACTCGTTATAAGATCCATGCTCCCAGGGCCATCGCCAGCAGCACCGAGACGATTGGCGCCTGGCTAGGGCCATGCAGTGGGGCGACGCTAGTCGCCGTTAATGAGCTTGAGGCGAAGACATATTTGAAGCCGATGTCCGACGAGTTGAAGCAGTTGTCCTTGGTCACCTCGGCGACCTCGTCGTCTTCGGCAAAGGTGATATCCACGCACTAGGATCAGACACGATAAGCGGGTGCTTCGAAATATCCATCAGCGATGATGATACTCACATCGTACAGAGATGCGCCGTGTTTGGCCACCTCGACAATCTGGATGGTGGCGTTGTCGCCCACCTTGGGGCTGATATCGGCTGGCAAGGGCACCTGCGGCAGACAGATCGTGCCCGGGTACGGGTTGTTGCTGGGGCCCGTGATCTCGAAGACGGGGACCATCGGAAGACTCATGTTGTCAGGGACCGTCCCCAGGCCCATGTTGATATACATGAAGGCCGTCGAGTGACCCTGGAACCAGCCGGGCTGAAGAGCGATCGCGCCTCCGTTGACGGGCCATTTGGTACGGTTCGTCGACGTAGGCATCCCACCACCTGAACAGTTGTATTAGCGGATGCTTGGCAAAAAAAAGAGCAGGTTGTCAAGCATACACGGGTAGATCCATTGCATCCCATAGGGATAGACGTATGAGCCGTTCTCCCATCCAACACCCAATCCGTTCGTCTGCTGCACCGTGCCGTTGGTGTGCAGGTTGTTGCCACGATAGCCGGGATAGGTGATGATACTGTGGGCGTTCACCAGACTGAGCGAGAGCAGCGTGATCGCTGCGATACACCGCGATATCGACATCTGGAAGGCATTCATGTTGTCTCAGTGGGGAGTGCGAGCCGCGAGGGGGCGCCAAGCTCAGAAAGGAGGAGAACTGAGCGAAGCGGCAAAGAACTGCAGACCAAGAGATCTATACGCTCCAGTCAAAGCTTGCCAGCAGCTTTTCCGAAGGTTTCAGTCTCAGCGACTGAAGGAAGCAGTTCAGTTCGGGAGCAGGAATGAGAATCATTGAAACACAAGCCACCGTGAATCAGGAGGGTTGGCGGGAGTTTTTGAGTGCCAGACTGAGGGCATGGGCAGTTCCTGCGATGGCGCTTGCATGGTGAGGATGGCGGGGACTGCAGGTCCAGTCTGACGAGTCAAATCGCAGAGCACGATGTGACAACGCCCGCAGCGACGACCATCCAGGGTCACTGTTCAGGTGGAAGACTGTCCAGTCTGGCGAGCCAGAGGCTATGCGTTGCACCCGAGAGGCGGAGAGACACAGTGACTGGGAGCTTGGGATTGGTTTATCATTCGGTCCAAGACACGGGCCTGCAAGAGGCATCACGTTGGCCGGGTTAAAGATGGCGTTCTGGGATGTCATTCGTGGAGGGGCGATGTTGGTAGCGCCCGGATCGGAGGCTAGAAAGAGGAGAAATGCGGGCGCTATTGGGCCTGGGCGCTTAGAGATCAACTGCCAAAGGTGTGACAAGAATAACCATGTCACCAGCACTGCAGTCTGTAGTATGTAGCAACCTTAGCGTCAATGTGAACAATTGCGAAGCGGCATTCACAGGTCGGGTTCGGTAGGAATTAGTCTTTTGGCCTGGTTAACCAGGCAGCCAGGCTTCCCCGCTTCAACATCCCCAGCGGATCACACAGCTCGGCGTGAGATTGTTTATCCCTGCTACTAAGCACAAGCTGCATAGAAGCTGTTGGCTGCTGCTGCTGCTGTAAACTGTTGGACTAATTACAGAGAATCTATCCACTAATATAAGAATAACCCGACATTCACAGTGTCGGTTATCACGTGATATGTGATGGCTATGATGCAGTCACATGACTATCTTGACTGCTATGATGCAGTGGGCGCTGTTAGAACAGATTCATCTGAATACAAACTTACTCAAAAGGCTTCAGAGACACTGGAATTCTGAAAAGCTATTATTCACTGTTTCGAAGAAAGGAGTCAACCCCGATGAAGCTGCAAGTAGCACACCCACACAAACAGTGCAAACACGGACCACTGTTATACCGCCTTCCATGACGGACCGGAAGATTTCAGATCCATCGCAAAAGATCTACTCAACGAAGTATAGAAGAAGGACTGCTTAAATTGTCTGTCTAACCATGCACACGCTCCAAGCGGCGGCGTCATCGTCACTGTCCCTGGCCGAGGGCCACTACATCTACTCCATTGCCGCAGCAGGTCCCGGGTCATTCGCCGTAATCTCATCGGACGACTCACTGCGGGTTTTCAGTGCGGATGGCCTCGGCCATTCATCCATAGTCACCCCGAGTGCCCACGAGGTGGTGACCTCGCTAAGCACCTACGATGCAAGCCAGCAGCTTCTGGCCACCGCGGGACGAGATGGCAGGGTCAAGGTCTGGGACTTGCGCAGCGGGAAGAAGCCCGCCGTAGAAATGCAACCCTGTAAGTTGTTTTTTCTCCTACGTATCTACGGTGATCGTTTTTCTTTTCTTTTCTTTTGCCCCTTTTAGCTAGGTGTCAGATGGGGTGGGAGAAAATCCCTTGGGTAGCCGTGAGAAGCCACGAGTTGCCTGGCTCAGTCTGTGTAAGGAGTAATGCGGGGGAACCAAGTATTGTCTGTTATGTATTGCAAGTGTTCGCTTACCCTTCTCGTCATCGCGATAGCAATCCAGGCTCCCGTACTTTCCATTGCGTGCTCTCCGCAAACCCATGATATTGCTGCAGGAACCGAGCTTGTTGCGTCGAATTACGGACAGCAAGCCGTGGTCGCCTTTTGGTAAGTGCGCCAAGCATCTGGCTTTGTGTTTGGGAAGACATCTGCAGATAGCATCGTTGGACAAGGTTCGCAGCACACTAACAGCAACAGGGACATCCGATCAGCGAATCAACCCCGGTTGGAATATGTGGAAAGTCACAACGACGATGTGACCGAGGTTAGTAGCCTGCCGCGTTGGATGTTAATTTCAATCCTTCGTTTTCCCCTGCTAAAATGCATGACAGCTCCAATATCACCCCACCCGCAGCCATATCGCACTCTCCGGCAGTACGGACGGGCTGGTCAACATCTACGATACTACCATCACCGATGAGGATGAGGCGTTGGTGCAGGTCATCAACCACGGCTCCGTGCATCATGCCGGGTTCCTGGACGAGAAGACCGTCTATGCTCTCAGTCATGATGAGGATTTCGCGATCCATCCCACAACCAATCCGGATGACCAGACCGCGGAGGGCGCTGAGCCCATACAGTTCAATGACTTGCGACAACCGCTCAACTGCGAATACATTGTGCAACTGTGCCAGAACAGTCAGGGCCAGTACATCGCCGCAGGCAACAAGCTGTATGCACACCCACCCTTTCCGACCCGTGCAATGATTTTGAGCTGACTTGAACAGCGAGCAACGGTTGGACCTGGTCCCACTTGTGTCCTCCCCATCGTGGCAATTCGATCAGAACAACTCGTGGCGTCTTCCAGGCGCTCACGGTGAAGAGGTTATTCGATCAGTCTATGTGGATGAGCAGGTAGATGATATCCCTCCACGAAACTCCCTTACGTCAGCTAACGCCGTGTCTAGTCTCAATCTGTTTTGACCTGCGGTGAGGACGGGTGTGTCCGTGTCTGGAAGCCGGAGGATGGGGATTCGACAACGCAAGCGGACGGCTCGGCCAAGGGACCGCGACAGAAGGAGAAACGATCCAAGAACAAAGATAGATTCAAGCCGTACTAGACCCATGAAACACGCTTCGTACATGAGGTTGACTTACCGGCTCTCATACTAAAATCATTTTCACACGCAGCAGATCCATTGTGTCATCATATCATCATTAGACTAATCATTAATATGTACAACAGTCAACACCAACCAGCCCTCAAACACTGATCATCTTCAAGAACCGCTCTCCCAACTCATCCGCCGCCATGGGATTACCGCCGGACACCAACTCGCGATGGAGGGTAGTGTAGCCGACCTTCTCCGACAAGCCCGTCTCCATGACGGCGCCTTCCTCCCTCAAGCGCGACTCGACCTTCTCGACCTCCCCCCCGAGCAACGTCTCCATCGCCTTCTCCTCCACATCACTCCACGAGGTGATACGGTACCCCTTGTAGACGAAGTCGCCGTCCCCGGCGAACTTGGTGCTCAGCAGCGCATACGGCCCGTGGCAGATCACCGCCGTCGGCTTGTTCTCGCGGTGGAAGTAGCGCAGGATGCGGCCGAGGTCCGGGTTGTCGCCGAGGTCCGCCAGCGGCGCGTGGCCGCCGGGGATGAACACGCCGGCGAAGGAGGCCAGCTCCTCGTCGCTGATGCTGGCGAGGGGGCGCGGCCGGCCGAACCCGTTCTCGCGCTTCATGCGCTCGATGAGCGCGTTCTCGCGCCGGCGCTCGTAGAAGTTGCCCGCGAAGGCCAGCAGCGACTCGCTGTTGGGGTCCGGGACGGGCTCCTGGCCCCGGGGCGAGGCGAAGGTGACCTCGTGGCCGGCGTCGAGGAGCTTCTGGAGGGGCTTGGCCAGCTCCATGAGGAAGAAGCCCGAGGGCTGGTCGACCGTCTGGCCGGCGTCGGCGCCGGAGGTCTTCTTCAGCGGGAAGGAGTTGGCGTCGCTGAGGACGATGAGGACCTTTTTGGTGGGCATTTTGGATCGTAGTGCTGTGGTTATATCGGTTGTAGGCTGTAGATTTTTGAAGGAGAGTTTTGGTAGAGCATTGGAGGTGTCCATAGTGTGCGGTATAAGTATTGTTGATTTCGAGGGTTGGGCGGGGATGACATCCCGATGACGTACTGTTACACCCATCTCAATGATTCTCCAACGCAGTCACTCTTACGTTACTGTCAGGTACACTACTCCGTAGCCCTATGTGATTAATCATTAGACATGGCAAACGATGTAGCGAAGAAGTGATTTGTTGGGGTTATTCCAAGTGATGCTTACAGCACGGCATGATGTTCCCTACCAAACACGACCTCGGAGCTATCCCGCAACACTCAGATGCAGTTCCCCTCCTGCCTATCGAATTACAACCCACCAACCACCTCGAAAGAATTGGAGTCCAAACATATAAGAAGCATACCTAGATGAATTTTGTTAGATACAAAGAGTTCAAAAGTTGGAGAACTTCAATAAATCTTTTTTATATTTGAAGGGCTACTGAATTCCAGCAATATGAAAGTCAATTATTTCACCCGAGTTGTATTCCAATCGGCCGGTCAATGGAGTCTCCAACCCTCACAGACAAGAGCCTGCCCATTGTTCTCTTCCTCATACCTTAAACGAACCGAACCATCAATCTATCCAAGCAGCCTCCTCCACCGAACTTTTATACCACATTACCCACCGCCCCCCTTCAAATGATCCCCCAATTCAACCCCGACTCTATTGATCACAACCCCCAGAACCCACAACCACCCCACCATACATCCACCAAATGAAAACCCCATCTAATCATCCTCCAACACTCCGTCCGCCGTACAGATAAACTTCTGGTTCTAATTGCCCCACGAAGCCCCGAATCAGCATCATGTCTTTCCGTAATATTACCTCTCTCTCCGACAGATTGAGAAGGATGAACTTACAATAGTATAACAACACTTCACCCCCAAGCCATTAGGACACTTGGCCACCGGCTCGGTGAGTTGTTGGCCTGTACGATCGCCATCAGATTAGCCTAGCTCTTTCTCTCACTCAAAGACACATAGCAATTCTGCAAAAAAAAAAAAAAAAAAAAAAACAAAGGAATGCGGGAAGCATACAGTTATTCCCCTCCACCGCCAGGTTGGTCACCGCCGAGGGCGTGTAGCTGTCGCAGCAGTAGGGGTGCTGCAGCATGCCCGTCTTGTCCTGCGCGAAGGGGCAGTATTCGATCAGGTCGGCGGCGGCGAGGGTGGCGGTTAGGGTGAGGAGGAGGGTTTGGAGGTGCATTTTGAATTTTGGTGGGTTGTTGTGTGTCAAAGTGGGATTGTTGGAAGGCAGATGGATGGATGGCGTGATTTTTCGTGCGCGCTGGGTCAGGATGGGTTTTGTTGGAAGGTTGGAGATGGAGAGGGATGCTGTGGCGCTGGGTATGGTATTTGAGGAATTTCGAGGTGGAGCGTGGAGATGGTGTTGGATCAAGAAGGGAGGAAGGGAGGGAACGAGGGGGAAGGGTGCATGTCGCTGGGGGGATGCGGGATGCGTGCGCGTTTTGAGTCAAGATGCGCGTGTTGGATGTAGGTACGCGCGCTCGTGCATCTCCAAATACATTCGTGCTATTGGGTTGGTTTGTTGTTAGGGGTTTTGGCTGGAAGGGTATCCCTTGCGTAGGCGGGTTCAAGGCGTAGCATTGCGGAGGGTCCTTGAGACAGGCTGGTATGTTTTGTGTTTTGATGGGGGAAGGGGGTTCATTCCGCTTTGGCTGGGAGGAAGAAGATGCATTTCTAGACCATGGTTGTCTTTTTCATGTGGAGATATATGATGAGGGTTTGTGGTCGTTGGGGTGTAAGTATAACCTCGGGACGGTTGAGGCAGAAGATACTGAAGATAGCCATATAGCCCTATAGGGTATGCGCTACAGGCAACACCTGGTCCTTGCAGCTGCGTACGTGGTATGTGAGACATGATTTAGTAGCGAGTTAGAAACACAGATAATGGTTGATGACCTAGACTGAAAGTGTGATTATTGTGATAGTGATCATAGTCTCGATGCTTTGAAACATGCCGTACCCACTGTGTGAAAGATGATTTGTATAGTAAACAACCGTACACAGTCTGCTCGGCCGTCAATGTCCGAGATGTAGCCTCGACTTATCGACTTATCGCGACCTACCGTCCGAACATATCATCCGAGTTATTGCTGAGGAGGGTTCCTTTTCCGGGCCGTCGGTTGGTTGACCTTGATCAAACCTCGGATTTACCGAGCCACCAAGTCTGTAAACTCCTCGGACTAGTAGACTCTCCTACTCGCCGCTACCGACCAGCACAATACCAGACCCCCGGATTCCCCGGGAGACCTCAAGCTCTATTGCTACTGTATTGTATGCCTCATACCATAAGCTATATGATATCGACTACCATCCTCAGCACAACACATTGGTCAAGTGCATCCCCTCCCCCTCACACACATCCAAACCAACCCATCAAGAATACCCCCTCTGCGCCATCAGAACCGCCAACGGGATATCCTCCTCATCGTAGAACTCGACCTCCTCCTCGACCCCAAAGTCCCTAAGCCGGTCCCCGTCGGCATTGCGCCAGCCTTCCTCCCCGTCGTCTGAGACTGCGTCCTCGGGCTCGCTGCTGCCGCTGTTGTCGCTGTTGCTGGCGTCGGAGTCGCTGGGTGTCTCCTGTTTTCGGACAGAATGGGTGCGGTCAAAACGTTGGTGGAAGCGCTTGCGGCGGAGGATCTTCTGGGGTGTCCCTGTTCCCGATGACGAGGCGGCCAGAAGGTTGTTTTCTGGCGCTGCACCTGCTGCTGCGGGAGCAGTCCATGGGATGCGGTCTGGGTCGGGCGGGGGCCAGGTCGTATTTGGATCTGGGGTTTGTTAGAGCCATCGTTTATAATCAAGCGCTGTGCTTCTGGCCGTCTCTGGCAAGAGGCTAGGGGATGGGGAACAAACCTTCAAACCCGTTGACCTCGAACTCCAACCCCGATCTCCGGTCGAGGGTTCTCGCGAATGGCCAGAACCAGCTCAGGATCTGTACCATCAATCATATAATTAGCATCAAACCACCACCTCGAGCATCCCTCCTCCTCCAATCTCCACACTCCAAAAAACAAAAGGAAAAGAACATACATTCCCCGACCCCATCCCCTGCCTCAAATTCCCCCACACCCCAACATCATACGGAAACTCCTGGCGCTTGATCCGCACCCGAACGCCCCCGGGCCCCTGCAGATACCCGCCGAAATGCCTCGCGCGCCGCAGCAGCGTCTGGTGGCGTTCGATCTCCCACTCCTCAATGGTGGTGGTGTTCAGGGCGAGGGCCCACACCGTGCGCACCAGCAGAATGAACAGCATGAACACCGTCAGACTATTAACAACCAGCAACACGAAGAGGTGCGCGAGCTGGAGGGCGGTGGGGCCTAGATACTGTGTTCCACAACACCCAGGATTGCAGAGTTAGTCCAAGACCTTGCCCTTTGGGGGATTTTTTTTCAGCTATGCTAGCAGCTGGAAACCGAGAGGGTAACGAACACTAGGCCTCGCCCTCTCACGCCACACCAGCCCCGCGCGCTCCACCAGCACGGCCTCCAGATACCCCATCCCGACCACCGCGTAGAATAAGAACCGCAGGAAGTGCGGCAGCGTGAAGTGCGACACGCAATTGGCGGTCCACGGGCAGTGGTGGTCCATTTTGGGGATGCATCTGCAGTTTGTCCCCAAGATATAATACTCCGGTTAGCGAGCGGCCATCAATACATAGGGAATCTTAGAAAATAGCATCATCATCATCATCATCATCATCATCATCATCATCATCATCATCACCATCATCCAACCTGGTTGCCATATTCTTCAGGGGCATATGGGAGGAAAGGGGCGGGGGGCTCCAACCTCTGACACGTCCGACAATGATGCGCCCGCGGCGGCTTATACGCTTCGCATTTGCGACACCATCGGCCGCCGCCATTGCCGACAGCTCCATTGGGCTGGGATTTGCGCGGCTGCTGCTGCTGCTTACGATCCTCTGGGGCAGCAGCAGCCGCCGCGGGCTTCCAATCCCTCGGCACCCAACCCGGGTCTACAGTGCATGTGCGATAGTAGCAGATCCAGATACATCCCGCCAGCAGGTTCAGCCGCCAGCATTCCGCGCGGCGCAGCGGGGCGGGCTCGAAGTGGTTCAGGAGGTACTGCGAGCTATACGCCAGAAAGCTTATGAGGGTGGCGACGGCCGGGGTGGCCAGTTTGGAGAGGGAGAATGATGGTGATAAAGAAGGGGTGGGCATAGTGGTTGGTTCATGACATTTTTGTTGTTCTTGTTTATTTTTTTTTGGTTCGGGGTATGAAGATGAGAGCGAAGAGGAACTACGGAGTACAGTAAAGGGGAGGGATGATCGGTTGGCTGATACGCTAATCTTGGGGTAGCTTGTTTGTATTGTTTGTTTGCTTGGATTGGAGTTGGGGTTGGTCGGTTGGTGTTTGGGTTGTTTGTTTTGTGGGTTGCTGATAGCTAGTTATGCAGAGCTGGGATGACATCATGGCAAGCTTATCTGAAATGGCTATTCTTGCTAATAAGACATCAAATTGCTATAACACAGGCTGATGGAGGTCAAGTGGATTAAGAGTCATTCCAACTGTAATCATCAATTACTCATACTCAGAATGAGCTATATTACATCATCGCTAGATAGGACCACGCTGCACGCTGCAAAACATAACCCCCTAAACCTGAACCTCCGCAATAGCCGCGCCCGTCACCCTAGAACAAATTAGCATATGTAACCATGACATTCAGAGAGAGGGAACATACAAGAACGATCCGTTCGACGGTTTGCTGATCACCATCGCCTGCGCCAATTTCTCCTCGCTGATCTCCGGGAAATGCTTCAGGTAGTACTCCTCCTTCAGAGCCTTGGTGACGGCCTCGACCTTGGACTGAGGCAGCATGTGCACCGTGCAACCGCCCCAGCCAGCACCCGTCAGCCGACTACCCAGGGTGCCTGCACGACGCGCAATGGCGCAGATGTCGTCCACCTCCGGAGCGCTGCACTCATACTGGTCACGGCAGGAGGCCTGGGACTCGTTCAGCAGCTGGCCCAAGTACTGGATGCGACGCTCGTCCAAGGTGTGGGCCTTGGCAAGACAGGCCTTGAAGTCCAGCACCCGACGAGCCTCGGTGAAACAGTGCAGGGCGCGCTGCCGCAGGAGGAAGCGCTCGGCCTGGACGGGGAACGAGGACAGATACTTGGACTCCAACTCCGGCACCGTGATTCCCAGCAGACCGGCAATCTCCTCCCGCGTGTATCCGGTCTCCTGAGTCAAGATCTCCCGAACGCTCTGGATCACGGAGTCAATCTGGTACTCCAAGGGATCGCCCAAGCGACCTTCCTTGCGCATCAGCTCGTTGTGGAAATTGCGGAGACTGTACCCGAGCGAGCTGTTGTCCTTGGGCAGGGTCAGGCCGTGGTGGGCAGCCAGCACCACCGAGGCGAGAGTGCATTCAGCAACACGGAGGTTGTAGTGGCGGGGAGCGGTCTCCGCCTTGTTGGAGGTGACGAAGCTCTGCGCCATGAGGAAGGTGATTTCTTCAGTCGCCTTGGGGATGGGCACGTGCTGGACCGAGAAGTTGGGGTAGAACTGAGTGTAAAGCAAGTATCCGCGACGGGAAAAGATGGAGGCCGCCTGGTCCATGCTGTAAAACGTCAGAATGGGAGCGGGTAAACCCAAAAGGACAGCACTTACCCTCCAGAGTAAACACCGACTGCGCGCTCAGAAACAACGGCCAGATCGAGCAAGTCCTGCTTGGATACGTCGTGGTTGTTGGCCTTCATCACGGCTAGAGCACTGGCGCACACAAAGGCAGCACTGCTGGAAATGCCACCACCAGGGGGCACGTTTCCATCGAGCAAAACCTCCATGCTAGCCGGCGCGAATGAGCCGTCGGCGTTCCGTTGGCGCAGGAACTTCAGGGCGCCCAACAGGCCGGCCTTGAAGTAATTGACCCAGTCATGCTTTTTGGGGTCGATCTCAACGTCCGTGTCGCGGGGCACGGTGAACTCGCGCGTGGGGAACTTCTCCGGGTTCACGTTGGAGATCTTGACCACAGACTCTGAGCCAGTAGCAGGGACCACCTTCACGGCGATGATCACATCGACACTGACGGCAGTCGGAAGGACATCGTACAGGTTGTAGTCAATATGCTCACCAATAATGTTGACGCGACCGGGACTGCGAGCGACAAAATCGGGGCACTGAGAGTATAGCTTGGTGAATTTGGACACCAAGGCATTGAAACGAGTCTGGTGCTCCGGAGCGACCGAAGTGGTTGAGGCGTCGTCGGTTGCGTAAACCTCCGCGATGGTTTCGGTCTGGGGGACAAGTTCTTGCGGGGCAGCCATGGCGGGGTACGGTGCACAGCAAATGCGGTGGGAAAGTTATTGGGGGGAGCGGGGAGGGAAAAGAAAAAGAAAAGTCGAAGCAAGAGGATGTCAGGGGAGTTCTCAGGTGAAATAGTCTGTCAGTCGAAGAGAAGAAGAGAAGAGAAATGCCAGCTGGGTTTCCAGTTTAATTAATTGACTAGGCGGCGATGGGCTATGACGGTTCCTGACCCAGTCGACAATTTTGGCGACAACTCTGATAGGAGGGGAAATTTGGCGAGGTCGAAGTTGGCGAACGCCGAAAGCGAGCCAGGCAGAGAGAGAAAAGACCCTGCCCCAGTGAGTTGAATGACCACCCCGAGGGGCACCCACGGAGGCCCGCAATCGCAATTCCGCCCCGTCGCTTGCCGCAGTCCCGTCTTCGCCTAAGGCTCCTAGCCGAATCATCCCATATGATGCCGAACGCACTCGCGGAATAGTTACCTGCCGGAGATCTCATATCCCACTCAACTCCATCAAGCAACACATCGTTTGGGGATCACATTGATATTACACAAGAAAGAAAAAGATAAATTGACACGCCTGTTGGTATAGAAAGCCCCAGAAAACATTAAAAAAAAAAAAAAAAAAAAAAAAAAACTAATCAAAAGAAAATCAAGATCAAATCCAATGCCGGATTCTGCGGCCCTCCGACAACTCGGCTAGGTCTCCCTCGAGGGCCACGCTTAATACCGCCCCACATAAATTCCACCATATAAATACTGCGGACGCTCATTAGCCTCCAGGGCTAGCAGTTGGCAGCAGTACTCCGCCGTTTCGTCAAAGCATCAATCACGCGAGTATAGAACTTGGATGCTTGTTGGCGCACAAAAGTGATATCAACCGTCAAGTATTCAGGAAGAATATCGATCAAGTCACGGTCGCGTTTATCGTCCAACAGAGGAATATACTGGAATTCGGCGGACTCGTAGTTGGTTGATGATACATGAGGGACAACCAGTTTGAAGTGAAGAGCTGTAGCCGAGTCAGCGCAAACACAATGCACCGTAGAGCCTGTATACTTACTTCCGTTGCTGCCGGTCTGGATACAGTCGTATAGAGTATCCGACTGACGCTTCTTGATATCACGGATGATCAAACCAGTGAGATCACTGTAGAGATCCTCCTTCAGCTGCGCAAACTGGGCTGCCTGCGCAGCTTCGGCATTGGCTGCCGCATTGGCGCGGTTGCCGCCGCCCTTGATCGCACTACCAGGAACCTTCAAATTGGCAGCCGCGGTCTCGAGACTTGCGGCGGTGTTGCGGGCAGCAGAGAGTTTCGTCTGCAACGCCTTGACCTCATTCTGAGCAGAGGAGAGTTGGGTTTCAGTCTCCTCAGCATGGGTCTTCAACTGAGCGACCTCCGCGTCCCGTTCCTGCAGTTGCTTCTGAAGCTTGCGGCTTTGTTGACCAAGAGTCTTTTGAGCTTCCAACTCGGCTTTCAAAGCGGCAATCAGATTGTTTGAGGCTGCATCGCGTTAGTCGGTTCTACCCCCTGTCTGCATAGGATGGTACACGCACCGGTGGTCATGGACTCGCACTGCTTCCGTAGCTTCTCCATATTCGCATTCGCTTCAACTATGCCAATCTCCTTGAGTGTCCGGTAGCGGTTCTCGAGGGTATCGCATTTCTTCGTCAGCTCTCCAATCTTCCGTCGCAACTCAGGCTCATCACTGGTGCGCGGCTTGGACGGAGATACCCGCGCATCTCGCAGAGACTGCCTGCGCTTAGTCGGAGAGGCCGAGCGCGAGCGGGTCCCAGTTGGTGGCGCCTCTTGCAGCACCGTCTCATCGACTTCCTCCGCTGCATCCTCCGGCACATTATCCTCCACCTCCGATTCATCACGCGTGTCCTTCGTCCCGGTTTTGTTCTTGGCTCGCGTCTTCTGCGGAGGCGCATCGCGTTCTTCCGACGGCGGCGGTTGTTGGCGTCGCTTGCTCGAGGGGGTGTATTCGAATTCGCCGTCCGCTACGACGGGCTTGTCGGTCGTTTTGCTGCGCGACCGTGAACCAGCCCCGCCCGTCTTGCCCGACTTCGAAGCCTTGCTGCGCTTGGAAGGTTTGGCTGCGGTCGGTTGCGACTCAGCCAGCTCGTCGTTGGAGACCGCTGCAGACTCCGCCACCGCAGGAGCTTGTGCTTCGCTCGCGGCCTCTGCGGGCGGTTCCTGCTCCTCCGGTTCATCCTGCGGTGCCGCTTGCACCGAGTTCCTGCTGCCCTTGGGCCTGCCCCTCCTTCCGCTCTTCTTGCTCGAGCCCTCCGGCTGCGGTTGTGCATGGGTGGACTCGCGTCTCGGTGGTGGCGATGCCTTCAAGTCCGTCGATTTGGACCGTGGCCTCCCCCGGGCCTTTTTCGTCGGGCGGGCGCCGTCGGCCTGGATCATGCTCTCGTCGTCGGAGCCAGCCAGGCTGGACAAAGCTGCAGCTGCCGCCTTTCGTTTCGGCATTTTCGCGGTATATATAGGAAGAAATGATTTCGTGTGATGGGAAACGATACGTGCTGCGACGCGACCTCGGGGGTACACCAAAACCTCGGCGGGTAAACAACTAAAATCAAAGCGGCTCCAAGCTATGCGGGAGTTTGGGAGCTTTCTACTTGTTCGATCAGCACCTACTTCTCAGAGCTTTCACCTCAAGACTTAGACAAGCATATTACCGCTAAAAAAAAACAATGGTTCTGCTAAGTCACAAATAAGGATCACAATGACAACCCGACCATTCGACTGCTTGGCGGAGCTGCCAGCGCGTCGGCGCGGGAGAAAGTTGTGACGATCCGATGTGTGGTTGTTTGCACTGTTTGTTCCCGGCATTGCATGTTCTCCTCGCTACAAAGTCACAGCACTTCGTAGTCATTTTCTTGGGTTGAGCATTCGCTCTACTGTAATTGATCTTGCCTATATACCTGACTGTCTACGCTTACATGAGGTGTATGAGCACTGTCGCATCATGGAAGATTAGTAAGGAAGAGATGTAGGGAGTTATAAGAATCGTCATCTAAGTGTTAAGTATATTCTGGTCTGATCGCAACTGCCGAGGGAAGGGTAATCTGAACTGCGACCCCCCCGGCCCCCGGCGCACAAACTGCTCTACCATGTATTCCACTCTCCCCCCAGACTCTGATAACCATAAAGAGCCGAGCATCATGCCATCACGAAACGTACACTTCTAAAAGGGCTGGCTCTACGCCCAATCTCCACTTCTGTCAACCACATGGCCCATCCCTTTCCTGAGCCTCGACTCCGTGTATCGCCGTGAACCCAGTTGCTCCCCTCCAAGTTTTGCTTAGTGTCTTCTGAAATCCGTACATTGACACAGTAGGAGTATTGACACAGTAGGAGTCCAGAGTATAAACACTAAGTCCCTTAGCTTTTCCATAATGAAACCTCTCCAATCCCTCAATAGTCTGGCGCTGTGCGGGTAGGGCACCGACTCTCCCCCGACCCATCCGAGCCATAAAAACCACTCAAGGGTCGAATCCTTGCCCATGCTACGCCCAATATGAGAGCACCGCTTGGGCCCTTCGATTTTTGGGGGGGGAAAAGGCCTGTTCTGTTCATTATCTGAAGTCAAGTCGGGGCCATTTGGACCGCCCCGTTGTGGTAGGTCTAACCGATGGCCCGTTCGGTACTAGCTGCGGGGACCCGAGTGTATACACTTACAGTGGGATAGTCAGAAGCCAGCAGCAGATTTCTAGCTACTTACTACGTAGTCGCAGAGATTGGCTGCGATGTACATGGTTGAACCTGGCACTTTCGCTGAAGGTGCTACCGCCAGGTGGTCGGGCTGCAGTCAGCATGGGATTTTTCAATCCAGGGCGATGCCTTTGTCTGCTCTTCTGGCCCTTCCAAGCTTGGAAAATGGTCAGTTTTGCATTATTCTCTGTGCTGGACTGGGTGAGGTCTGGTGATGGATGGCAAACGTGTTTTGGGATGCTTCAGCAATGATCATGGGTTCTTGCGGTGAAAATCGATCGATTCACCTGAGACATAGATGCAACTGCAGTGATGGGATGGATGAGGCGAGGGTCGATGATAAGTCCATACACGGTACCCTGTACAGAAGTCGGTTGTTCAAAAGTACTGTGCAGTCCTGTCTGTGAGTGGCTTTTCGGTTCGAAAGCCCAACTCCTTACGATTCAAGAGCGACGATGCGATGCCCCATGCAGGTCCCGCCCTGCTCATTGCTCAGCTTCTCCTGCCAGATGGCTCTGATCGATCCATGCCGGCTCCTGCGAGTGCTGGGTCTACCCGCTTGGACCTCGTGAACTCAGGGCTACCATCGAAGGGGTGGGTTACTGCATATCAGTGGCGAGCGCATACAAACGGGTGGAAGTAGGAGGTTACATGGCACTTGATAGATTTCGATGCGGGGATTAGCAATTTGCATAGCATAGCTGGTTGTGGTCGAAATTCACGGAAAATCGTTGCCGGGCTTGAGAGCACAACTCGAGGAACGGTTAGCGGGGAGGATACACACATACAGTACGGAGTAGACTACAACGTGTACTTGACGGGAGGGGGGAAGAAGACCCACTACCGGTGCCCGGCAGGGGCCGTCCGGATGTCTGTTGTTTTGACTTTGGAGCACAGGAAGAGGGCATCACACCATGAGCATGACCAAGAAACTTTCCTTTCTGGACATGCTAGACGATGGTGACCGTCAGAGCGCAATTTCGGATAACAGAACCCAATTGATCCAGGCAAAGTCATCTTGGTTGATGTGTTATGCGAGGTCATAGGCTGACAAAAGCAGAGCCGAGACTGTGCATGAATGCATTCGGGCCGTTCGCATGAAAATGCTTTAGACTACAGGCTTGACTCTTGAGAGACTCGAAAGGTGAAAAAGGTGGAAGGAGGGTCACGTTTGTTCTCCACAATCCACACCGATCCGCACATTGGACTCCTGAGTCCTGAACAAACACGGATGGGTCTTTTGGATTCCACGGCATGCTGACAAGAGGAGTGACACATGGCGGGAACTTTAGACTTTTGAAGCCTGGGCTGCTTTCCACTTCCCTATTGATCCCGAGTCTTTGCATTTCGACTGACTGCAGTAGCAGGAGGTGAAAAGAAAAAGCAGTCGTGGGAAGAAGCAAAGTACGTAACACCGCCTAGAGCTGTTGAACCAATTGCATGTAACGAACGGCTTTTCCTGTCGGCATGTCTCGAGTCCACCTCTGAATTCCACTGCATCATCAGCGGGGGACTTGCCCCATTCAAAACCTCGGTCTTCGGCTTGGCTGCGTGGGCTTGCTCGCATACGGCTTGCATTGGTGTGTCCATCTCCGATCGTTTCTCTTGCTGAATTGTGGAGGGTGGCCATATTGTTCTCATACTGAGTACTTTTGACACCACCTTCGAGCAGTATTTAACAAGGTTGAAGTTTGCAAGACAGTTGAATTAACTTAACTTATACGGTTCAATGGTTGGAGTAGTCAGCAACTTTCACCTAACTAACGTTATAACGTTACTAGGTAGAAAGCTAGCTCTTTCCGCCTATCGCCGATAGGCCAAGACCGACCGCATATCTTTGCTGTCATCAACTCTCCCGTCGCTCGAACCTAGACCTCCAAGACGACTTTTCGGAGCACCAAGTATAGTTAGTCACTGAACTGGTCAACACCCCTGCACTTTTGCATGTCCAAGCCTCCAGACAGATTCCGTCCAACTTAACCTAAAGACAACGATCTATCTTCTAGTAGCAGCTGTGCGGCACGGACCAACATTTATCGCATCCTGTAAGCGACCGCCACCACCACCATCACCACCATCACCACCACCATCACCACCACCTTCCCCACTGCATCGTGAAGCAGTGAGAGAGCTCTGTATGGAACCGCTTGTCGGGCGCTACTGTACTCCGTACTCGAGCTAGCTGTCCGAAGCCTCCTCCGAGGCCCAGCCAACGACGAAGGATTGCGGTGGGCGACTGACTGGGGTTCAAACGGTTATCCTGCATGAAAGCTCTCAGAACCCCCAAGACAGACAGACGGGAACAGGCCCTGCCTGAGTATCCTTTTCTTCAGTCTTTCAAGGTTTGGCTGCATGCATGTCTGGCTTTTTTCCTAACTTCCTTTCCTCCTCGGCCCAGTCTCAGTCTCTTGTCGCATCTCATCACTGGCCCGCTGAGCCCGATCCGACTGTTGGACTGTTGAGATTTCCATGAAATAACCCCCTCCCCTTATTATTTATTATATTATTGTTATTACTACTCCGTATTATTGCGTGGCTTCTTACTTCTTGGATCTTCTTCTCTGTTGGTGTCTTATGACCTTCTCCTATCCGATTACTATCTTCATTACTCTTGCTTCTCAACAGAAACTGGCTTAAATAACGGAGTTCCTACTACTCCGAAAATCGATTTTCATTCTTGTTTGTTTTTCTTTTTTCTTTTTCTTTTTCTTTTTGTTTCATCTCTGTCCATCCCTCTTTTTCACTAACCAGCATACCATCCATTAGGTACTATTTTATGCTTAACTAATTTAGGAGAGTTCCATCGGGGCCCCTTTTTTATTCTGGAATTTTACTACATACATCCATCCATCCATCCTCTCTCTTCAACGTCGCTGCTTTTGCCTTGACACTGGATTATTTTCACTTTGCACTAGCGGGGCCATTCGATAAGTTACCAAGAACTCAGCCGGGGTGGTAATTCACTTCTGGCCACCGCTCCATCGCTCAATCTCTCGATTGCTCAATCATCAATTTATCAATCAACCGATCTCCAATTGTTCTAATTCTCGCCTTACCCACTACCACCACTACCACCATCGCCACATATTTCGCACCTCACCTTTTTTTGTTTTTTTCTTCAACATGAGCGCCGACAATGCCCCTCCACATGAAATTGATGACAGTATCATTGAGCCGGATGTCAGTGACTCTGCCAAATTTAACCTTTCCCCCTCCCACCCAAAAAGCCCCGACTAGATAGCTAACCCGCAGGTGCTGGCGGGACAGGACTTCGATGACAATGACTCCACTTATCCCGACTCGTAAGTTTCCCAGCCCACGAGATTGACGTCCGCCGTTCCGTTGGTTCGCGCCGGATCTCTACCACTACAACCCTTGACGAGAACCATGCTAATATTTTCCACAGGCTGGACGATGCTAGCTATACTTCCAGTCTCGAATCGAGTGTTATGAACTATAAGTATGTATTTTGAATAAAGACAAGAATTGTTATTTCCAGCCCGAGCTAATACGTTTCCCAGCTATGAGGTACTTCTAGGTTTCCTCGTCGCCTCATCTCCTCGTCCTTTCGCTAACTAGGCTCCTTTTCCTTCCCAGAACGGTCGCAGATATCATTCCTACCATGAGGGTGAATATTTTTTAGTATGATACACTCCTTCCGCTGCGAGGGCCCTGAACGCTCTCGACGCAGTTCAACCTCGGACCTCGGAACTCCCATACTGATCAATATTGCAGCCCAATGACGAACGAGAGCAAGATCGCCTCGATTTGGTTAGTACACCACGCTCACATATACGCACACATCTCCAACGGAGAAGACCGAGGGAAGCGGCGGAGATCCGCACAACGAATGATGGATGTTAATCAGACGACACTGGATACAGAGCCATCACATCTATAGCATGCTCCTGAAGGGAGAATTGCACCGGGCGCCTGTTCAAAACCCGGCTCGCGTCCTGGATCTGGGCACGGGCACGGGTATCTGGGCACTAGACTTTGCGGAGTAAGTCGGACTCCTACGATTCTGCGGAGAGAGCCACAGACTTGAAATTAGGCTGCACCTGCAGTGGAGGAAGGGCGATCTGGGAAACCGAAGTGGCTAATACGGTGCATCTTCCGGCAGTGCGAATACGGGATCAGAAGTTATCGGTAAATCCAGCTACCCACCTAGTCTTCTGTGATCGCGCGCTTTTTTCTTAGGGTATAACGATATGGCTGACCTATTGGGGCTTTTTCTTTCCTGGATACAGGCAACGACCTCAGTCCTATTCAACCATCATGGTAAGTACTCGTCCCTGAGCTCTCCCCCCAGCCACCAAAATCCAAACACCCAGGGTTAACATCAAGTCCAGGGTCTCCCCCAACTGCCGCTTCGAGGTTGACGACTTCGAACAGCCCTGGTCCTACAGCAGACCGTTCGACTACATCCACGGCCGCGAGCTCGAGGGCTGCATCCGCGACGTCGACCGGCTGATGGCGCAGGCGTTCGAGAACCTGCGGCCGCGCGGGTACTTCGAGATCGCCTCGATGGAGGTCAACACGTACTCGGACGACGGGACGCACCAGAAGGCGACGACGCTGCTGGAGGGGATCAAGTTCATGCACGACGCGGCGCGGAAGCACGGCAAGGACTTGCAGAGCGTGCTCGGGTGGAAGGAGAAGATGGAGAAGGCGGGGTTCGTGAACGTGCGGGAGGAGATTTACAAGGTTAGCCCCTGACCCTGAGTCCCCTGGACCTGTAGGAAAGCTCTTAGGGGACTGGCCATCTTGCTCGCATCCGTTTGGGGCAGGCCAAATTCCAGATCGGCGGGCATATGATAAGCTAACTGGATATATGACGGGTGACAGCTCCCCCAGGGCCCCTGGGCCAAGGACCCCAAGATGAAGGACCTGGGCAAATTCCACCAGGTAAACATGCTGGAGGCCATGGGCCCTTACTGCTACGCGCTGTTCACGCGCGTCCTGGGCTGGCAGCAGCCCGAGATCGAGGTGTTCGTGGCCGGGATCAAGAACGAGCTGCGCGACCCCAGCATCCACCTCTACACCAAGGTCCATGTCGTGTATGGGCAGAAGCCGGAATGACATTTCGTGTGGTTGGGTGTGCTGGTTTTTGTAAAGTGGTGGCCTTCGTGATGATGAAGTTGATGCTGATGACGTTGATGATGTCGTGTTCCTCCCCCTGCCTGTGATGATGATTTAGCGTTGAGCTACTATTAATGAGAATGACTACTATTTTTACGATACTGTTACTACTGTAGTTGCGCTGGGGCTTGGGGTAAGTGGGCGTAGATGATTGTCGGGGGGTAGATGGAAGCGCGCAGGGAGGTAATTACTGTACGGTACACAGCTGGTAGGGACTTGAAGGGTGGTCACGATGACATAGATACCCACCCCCCTCCGCGACGAGCTGGCCGGGAGTCTGCCTTCAACCGTGCAGCATCAAAACCAGGCGACAAGTGCCAACCTGCAAAAATATAATTCAAAAGCAAAAAGTAGCTGGTCCCAGAGGGGCTCGAACCCTCGACTTTAACGTTATTAGCGTTACGCTCTAACCAACTGAGCTATGGGACCCAGTTGATATAGTGTGTTTCGTGTTTAGCTCTGACACCGCTTGTATAGCAGCAGTGAGAGTGTGCACGCCTTGTGTGGAAATGGACCTAATACCGTGGCCAGCAGGACTGGAGAGAGCTGGTCATTGTAAATGACTTGCCGGATTGGCAATTGACAGATGGCTGGTTTGTTGGATGACCCACTTGTCTTGGTAATCACTAGTGGTGTATCCGACCGAGCCTTCGGGAGCTGCGTCATAGGCAAAGATGGGTTGGATGAGCTGCGGAGGAGAGGGAAGTTCACCTTCTGATCATCATACCAACTTTCAATTTTTGTTCTCCTGTTGTGTTTTATGGTAATAGCCATGCTAGTACTACTCCGGTATACGCAAGCAGAAGACGGAGATACTGAACGAACCAGTCAGATATATATCCCATCTAGTTGGAACTCCATACCCACACAGCCATGAAGAGTATATATAACCTTAACCCCCAACAACCCACCCACAACCAATGTACAATACAACCTCCAAAGGAAAAATCACAACTTCCCACTCCTCCCCCCGGCAGGAGCAAAACTCCCCTCTCCACCCCCAATCGCGGCCACAATCGCATCCACACTCTCCAGAACCCACACATTCCCCGCCTCACTCGCCAACCACTCCGCCCCCGCCTGCGTCTCAACATCGCCCGCCCAGCTCCCATCCTCCACCGCCTTCCGCAACCCGAACACATGCGAGGTCACCTGCGGCCCGACGCCCGTCTGCGCCCGCAGACACGCCACGGCCACCAGCGAGGTGAGCACCCGCCCGACCCTTCCGTTGCCCGGAGGATCCGCCAGCAACGCCCCGTAGTTCATGTTCAGGATGTGCACGGGCAGGTCCGGGTGCGCGCGGGCCAGCTTCTCGTAGAGCTTCTGCTCGAAGGGCCGGTAGATGCTGTCCCAGAGGGCGCGGCCGCGGGCGCGAATGGCCGGGATGTTGGCCGGGGTGGGTTCGCGGGTCGGGGCCGTGGACAGTTGGGCGGTGATGGATTCCGGCAGGCTGGCGCGGAAGGCGTTGAGGCAGTTGATCGTGCGCGGGATGCCGTTGAAGCTGATGCATTTTAGGCCGACTTCGCGCATGAGTTCCGCGGTTGCGAGGGGGGAAGGGGGTTCGGTTGTGGGCGAGGTTGAGGTTTCTGTGGGGGCGGTGGTGGCGAGTTCGTAGAGGAGGGTTAGGGAGTCCGGGGAGTTCATCGTCATTGTTGTTGCTGTCTATTTTCCGGGGTGTTAGTCTGGGGTACGCTGGGGTACGCTGGGGTACGCTGGGGTACGGGGGAGGGGGCTGGAAGAGGGGGCAAGACGCACCGATAGGGCCAGCCATGAGGGTTGCGAGATGCCCTTGGCTTGGGCTTCTTGTTGGATCTTCGCGTACACCGACTGGATGTTGCGGGGCGCTGGTAGGGTGTTGGGTCGCGCGGCGGGTGAGTTGATGAGCGCTTTGAGCGCGGGGGACATTCGTGACATTTTTTCCTCCGCTTGGGCGAGCCGGTCAATTTTGTGTCAGGGGGGTGTGTGTCTCGTTGTGGTGTGGAATTGATGCTTTAGAGGTTGGGGATGAGCCGCGAGTCTTATCTAGGGACCTCGGCTGCCAGATGTGGTCGCCGAGAGGGCCGGATGACGCCGTGGTGTGGGTCCCGGCTTGTCTTATTCCGCCAGTTGAGGACTGCACACTGAGTATGGAGCTCCGTATGTGGAGTAATTTATTTCATTAAGCAAGTGACTAGACTAAGACTTGGTGAGTCTGGTGTTCTATAGCTAATGTAGAGAGATAGATTAATCTAGATGCAGTAGAGAACTTCTTCTCATACGCGACGTAGTTGAGGCGTTGTCTCGATGCCTCGGAGGAGGACACGGTGCATCGCGACAGGAGGAATGCTTTCGAGGGTCTCCCGGTCAAACTGGAATAGCTAGTAGTGACGGAGTGCAGTCGAGGGAATTGGCGATGATAGGACATATGTACTCCGCGACGGACAGATGCTGCAAGAGAGTGTCCGAGGAAAGCCTCCGAGTCAGCGACGGTATGATTCGGGACAAAGACGACATGAGCCAACAGCGGAGTGGGATCGCTCTCGCGAAGAGTCACCACTGCTTCATGCAGAGCCCCATCTCAGGCCGTCATCATTTTGCTCTCGATGTCCCCGAGCTCAACCCATATCTCCGTTCGATACATCCGTGACCAGTAGTGGGCGAGACATTGCGTGGTGGCATACGAATCCGGGTAGACGGCCCATGTGAGATGGATTGAAGAAGTGCAGTTGCGGCAGGTTCAGCGCCGTGAAATATTGCAGAATGGTTGGGATCAGCGACTCCCTCTTTTTTCTTTGAAGCCAAAGCGCCGATTCGTCGCTTTGCGCCGATTGACTTTTTCTATGGCCTAGCCAAAGGGCGTTATCTGCTGCCATGGCCTTGATGTAAAAGAGGCCCATCTTCCTTGAGATACTGGCTGCCTTCAATAGGGTTCCCCCGCTGGCTTCACGGAACGATGTGTACCGTCACACACCCGTTCAGACCGTGTAGATAGGATCCGAGAATGAGTGAAGCCGAGGGCGCCGTGCTGTGAAGACCACTGGGTCGGGATCGGGACGGGAGAAGAGAGCCAAGAAGAGACAAGCAATTCCCCAGCGCCACTGCAGGGCTTACGCCTCTCAAACACAATACATAGATTCTGTTCCTAGTCTATCACTCCGTCGTAATCATCTCATTCCAAGCGACGATGAGAATCTCCCCAGCATGTCATAGTCGCGTTGATGGGCACTACAGCCCGCCCCCCACCGGTTAGGGCTACGGAGATTAGTCGCGGATTTTACCCCCTCGACCGAACAACCCAGTAAGAGACGCGGTCCTCCCTTCCGGTCTCCGGCCTTGTTAGTGACTTACGGCCGATCTGTTTAGGTGTCTGAATCCCTGTCGGTGGCTCCGTTAGGAAAACACGAAAGATTGGTATACTAGGTTAGTTAGTAGTATATTACCCCCTCCCACAATCCCAGGCGCTACAGTACCAACCTCCCCCCCTTTCCCCAGCCCAAAACCAAGGTCAAAGAACTTCTTCCTCCCAAGATAGAGTCAAACAGAACCACTCAATACTCATTTCCTAATCTACAAACCGACCATGTCCCTCTTCCCAACCACCCTCCCCGCCCTCCCCCTCCGCGAAGCGATCGTAGACCCGCTCTACCGCGCCGTCCTCTCCTACGACGACAACAACCTCCCCCTCTTCGAGTCCGCCTTCTTCGAGGACGCCGTCCTCGACTTCGACGGCCGCGTGATGGAGGGCCGCGCGGCCATCAAGACCGGCAGCTGGGACCCCGTCGCCCCGCTGGACACCACCCACTTCTTGAGCAATGTGCGCATCAACCTGCCGGCAGAGGATCGTGGGACCGCGACCGCGAGCGCGACCGTGACCGCCTCGGCGTTGGCGCAGCATTTCCGGGCGGGTCAGGGGAATCAGCCTGACTCTACCCGGTTGACGAGCGGGGCGCTGTATTCGGTTGAGGTGGCGAGGGACTTTGCGGGGGTGGATGGGGATGGGCAAGGAAGTGGTGGTGGGGTGTGGAGGATTAAGCGGTGGAGGATGCGGTTGGTGTGGACGGAGGGGGATTGGGGGGTTATGACGGGGAACTAGTAGGTAGTAACCTTGAAGGCTGGAAGGGAGAGAGGTGGTGGGCTGGGGAATTCTTGTTGCGTTGGGGGGAGGAATGGGGGTGGGTGCGTGGGAATACTACCTAGGTGCTACCTTAGTTATCGAAGTGAGGAAAGTACACTGGGTAGTATAAATGCTGGGCTTGTAGCCTGAGAAGGCATGTTGACTTCTTGTAGGCCTGTAGTGATAGGACTGATCTATTGTGCCTATCGATTGCTACACATCCAGGCATAACCTGCTACACTTGACAACTGGACTGCGGTGATATTTCTGTGGATATCCGGCAGTGGAGATTCATCATGTCCCTCTGGTGCAGCACTACCTCAATAATCCAGCCCATTATTCCATCGCAAGGCGTACGTGCAACAATGGCAGTCGAATCCAAACTGCTCTTCTGCCAGGCTGGACCGGACTTTCTCGTACTCGAGCTGCACGCCCACCGACCGAAAGGCATCATCGAAACACATCTTCGCATTGAGGGCACGATGCAAGATCTCGCTCCGAGAAAACTTGGCCGATTGAACCGTGACGCTTCGCAGACTAGGCAGCGCCCCTGATGACACCCAGCGATAGACGAGCGGCAGAGTTTCTTGGTCTGGCACGCTGTACTCTCTATATCCCCGAAGGACCAGCCCCTGTAGACTGCCAGGGAGCAGACACTCCGTCGTAGCGTGTCGCGCATTCCCATCCGCATCCGTGGTATCACCTCTCAGCACCCCCGGATCAATCGTTAGCTGCCGCAGACTGCGGAAATCCCGAAAATCCAACGGCGGATGATGTCCACCAATCGCATAAAAGTCCAGATCCAGACTGACCAGCGAGTCTGCATGCGTGCGGATAGCGTCGACATAGCTCTGTCGGTCTCCCGGCCAAAACTCCGGGGGAGCTGTCGCCGGGACACCTTTCCAGGTGAGGTGCTTCAAGGCCTCAGGGATACGCAGTAGCTCGCGCAATCCGTCCGAGGATACGTCGCAGCAGAGCAGGGTCAGACTCTCCAGTCGTGTGGAGCGCGGCTCGTACTGCAGGGCGGGATCCAGGCCCCCGACGAGCGCTCCGACCAGGGTCAGGTCCCGTAGATGAGGGTGGACCATGACGGCGCTCCGGGTATCGAAGCTCCATAGTTCCGTGCGGATCTCTGGGACGTAGGGAACATCGTCCATGATCATTTGGCCTTTAACGAGGAAATCAGCATCATGTGATATATTTAGGGTAATAAGAAGAGGGGGAATGGGGCCGACCAACATGACTCCAAGGAAGGCAGGACATCCGCGCCACCGGCATGCTCGAACAGCCGGAACCACTCCACTGCGTAAGCGTCGAATCTCTCTACATTGCCCAAGTCCGGGTCGTCGTAGTCCCGCGGCGCATCGTAGAGAAGCCCTTTGACTGTCAGCCGCCGGAGGTTGACCAGCCGGCGGATCGTCGGCACCAGACCCTCCACCAACAGCGGGTAGTATGCCTGCTGGTCGGGAACGTTGACATAGTGGTAGTGGATCAGCAGCTCGCGGATGTACTGCGCTCGGGCTGGGCGGAGCTCGAGTGCGCGAATGAATATCTCACCGTCGTGGTTGCGTAGGTAGACGGATTGGTAGAGAATTGGGTCGACTAACGCCTCCAGAAATCGGCATACCTGCGCCAAGCGAGCGAGTGAAGCTCGGGAGTCGATCTGGCTGATGATAACCTGTAAGATCTCCGTGGGTAGTTGGAATAGCTGCATTTTGCCGTGATGGTTGTGAAAATGCGAGAAGCAGACGGGGTAGGGAGCGGTCTGACATTGGCGTTGCTGGAGTATATACGTGACGGTTAGGTGTTTGGGGGCGGCGGGCTAGGCGGGTCTGGCCAGTTCTTGTTTGGCTATTTGTTGTTGTCGACCACCGCAGCCTTGCGAGCCCTGGCGAGATCCTAACCCTGTATGATGTAGCATACTGTTGGAGGGGCTTTTATTGACTTGATTGTGGAGGTCGCAAGACAGCTCCAATTCATCCGAGCTGCCTCGCTGCCTCAGGCAACATATTTCCACCGGAGAAGATAAACATCCAATCAGAATCTATTACAGAGCTACACCTGAAAATCATACTTCAGATGGCAAGGCCTAGAGCGAAAATAGAATACCTCTATTCTTTCATTCAATATCTACTTGGCTATGCTGTAAAACACGATGCGCCATTACCCCCGTCTTAGAAGCAAATGTATATCAAGAAGCAAGTATACCGTCACTTCCCACAGTCCAGCGCTCTAGTCACCTGATGTGATGGTTTGACTGCCAATTCCGACGCTCAACGAAGCAGAACTAGATAAAGAGAAAGCTTTAATAGGAAGACCTTAGGCCTTCGAAGGAACAACCCCAGCATCATGTTCAGTGTCGAATACCTTCACACCCCGCTTCCACACCTGACGAATAGTCAAGGTCGGGCCGGAGAAGGGATCTTCTTCATCATCCAAGACGATCAGATCGGCATCCGCGCCTTTGCTCAGTGAGCCCTTGACTCCCTCCAAGCCCAGAAGACGCGCCGGGGTGGCCGTGGCGGCGTTCAAGGCATCCGCCGTCGAGGCTCCTGACCACCGACGGAAATTGTTGACACACTCGATCAAGGTCGCGGAACTTCCGGCAATCTTGTCCGAACCTTCCAGGGTCAGCCGCGCGCCGGTCTTCACGATGCGGTCCCCGTTGGTCCAGTCGTAGACTCCGTCAGGGAGCCCACACAGCCTCATGGCGTCCGTCACAAGGACCAGTCCGGTCGGATGAGCGTTGTAAGCGATGCGGATGGAAGTCGGGTGCAAGTGGATGCCGTCAGCGATGACACCATAGAAGGGACGCGGGCGATCGGTCTGACCGAACAGGCCGAAGACCCCGGGGTTGCGATGATAGAACGGGCGCATGGCATTGAACAGGTGGGTGATCATGGTAGCGCCGCTTTGGGTAGCGGCGAGAGCTTGCTCGTAAGTTGCGTCTGAGTGGCCGATCGAATAGATGATGTTTTTCGAGGTAAGAGATGGGATTTGGTTCAGCATGTTGCCGACTTCAGGCGCCGCAGTGATCATTCGGACCGTCTGAGATGACCCGGTCAAATTATTCAAGCCGTAGCATTCCACTATGTCTTCTAGGCTGTGGGCTGCGCGAAGCACTTCGGATTTGTGTATGCCGTTGCGGCCGGGGCTGATGAACGGCCCTTCCACGTGAGCGCCCAGTGACTCGGCGCCATCTTGAGGCTGAGCTTCGCTTCCTGTGGGGCCTAACGAGGGTAGAACCTATAGCAAGAAGTGGACTGGTCAGTCCCAATATCTTCAAGCCAGGGAGTGCTTTGCGTAGACATACTTTCCAGTAAACCTCTGGCGTGGAGCTCACAACGGTAGGGAGATATGAGGTAACACCCATCCGGGCAAGGCCCTTGTTGACCATGCGCAGACCCCTGTCATATTCCTCGGTGGTAGCTTGGGGTACAGAGAAGTCAAAGCCCTGGGCACCGTTCAGCTGCACATCAATAAGTCCCGGGGCGACGATGCGCCCGCCGAGATCAATGACCTCATCCGGGGAGAGATGAAAGTCGTAGAATGCTTCCTGATCTTTGAGAATCTTCCCGGACAATGAGTCAATCCAGAGGTCTTCCTTGACTAGCTCGCTACCTTTCACAATCCGGCAATTTGTGAACTTGGTGATCCGGCGCGGCGGTGCGGTCTTCCCCGGCATATTGATAATGAGATGGGACGTGTTCAAAGCTTGAATCAGTACTGGTCAGGCAGCCGGAAGTGAGCAGACTCAGGTCTTGCGGTGAGGTTTGAGAGAAAAGGCGACAGCGACGAGCAGGACGACGTGCATGGTAAATAGTTGCAGAGTCACAGGCGAGCGAGGCAACCCAGGAAAAGGAAACTCGAGCAGGACGGTGACATCCAGCAGACAATGCCTTTGGAGAAAGCATGGGAGGGGCATGGAACCGGAAAGGAACACCCGAAACGTCACGTAGTAGAACGAAAGGTGACATCGGAAAATTAGAGTTATCTTTCTTTTACTGATACCGAGTCATAGTGAGGAGTGTTGCCACGAATATGACTCTGGCTATGCACCGAAAGGTTCAAGTGGAGAGAGCAATCCAGCGCCAGGGCAGCTGATGTCTTGATGACCGGCTTCTCAACAGCCCTGCGAGATGCAGTGAAGCATTCCTTCAGCATCATCGGCGTTTCAGCGTCAGTATCAGCAGCATCATCGAGTATCCTGACTAAGATGGCTGCATGCCGACATTGAACATGAGGTCACTGTATGATGGATGATGTTACAGTGCCAGCCGGCCAGCCAGCGGGGAATTCCGCATCCGGTTAGCCTCGGTAGGCTAATGTCACCGTCACTTCAGGCAGGCGAGGCATAGTATCACGTGAGACAATCATTAATTCAGTTCTCATGTGCCTTGAAGTACTATGCAATTTGATGCTGTTTCTGACTAATGCGTGCACATTTAGTCAGCACGGTCGGGAAGTCTCTGAAAGGATGGCCGCGTGTTCCGCAATTCCCGCAGGAGCCGTTCTTCCGTCTCTAGATTTTCTTGCTGGCTCTAGAACCTACCGTTAGCACATAGTATTACCTTAGTTATGGCCTCGCGAGTGAAGTTTTCTCAAGTCTGTCCCACTGACTCAAAACACCCGCGCCATGCTAATTTGAACCCATGGTTCCTGGACTGCGGCAAACCATACTCTAATCATACAACGGCCGAGACTCGGCTTCCGCCAGGATCCCCTAAAATTCCCGGTCGGACATGGGCTGATGCCCTTCGTATAATAATTTATTGCCTCGTGACTGTTGGCTGGTCGTCCCATATCCTCGCCTGTGAGTTCGTGTTTTATCTCTGTATACATCCCAGCGTGGAATATGGTCTCAGGACGGAGAGTCATTACGAACGGCCATTGCAGCAAATGTCTTAGTTTTTATGATGTACCCCAACTATAGACTGCAAGCCACGCATTCAAGCGCCAATCCAGCGATTCAATTCATTCCATAGACACCAGGACCGAGAATGGACCGTTCGGCTTAACATTGTCAGGAACCTGATTCGATCTGGGCTGGTTGGCGAGGTACCAATTGTACCAACTCAGTTCTTCCCCAGCTTCTCCGCGGAGATGTCAGTTTTCTTCCGCCCGATCCAAAAAACCGCATGAAAAAAGTTCGTCCGCCACATCATGCATATCCACTTGTGTTGACCTCCTGGGCCAATTGGTTGCCCATTAGCATATAAATACACCCATGGGCTCTCGGATGAGATTATTCTCTCCCTTGCATTCTCCCAGACATACAGTCCAACATTGACATTGCATCAATCAGAACATCCTTGACATATTGATACCATTTACATCATGGGTCTCACGCAAGAGCAAATTGCCATCATCAAGGCCACTGTGCCTGTCTTGCAGATTCATGGCAAGACCATCACGACCGTGTTCTACAAGAATATGCTCGCTGCGCACCCCGAGCTCAACACCGTTTTCAACACTGCCAATCAAGTCAATGGCCACCAGCCTGTCGCTCTCGCTGGCGCCCTCTTCGCCTATGCCTCCAACATCGACAACCTGGGTGCTTTGAGCCCCGCGGTCGAATTGATCTGCCACAAGCACGCCTCCCTCTATATCCGGCCCGAGCATTACAAGATTGTCGGCAAGTACCTCCTCGAGGCCATGGGCGAAGTCCTCGGGGACGCCCTGACGCCCGAGATCCACGACGCCTGGGGTGCCGCCTACTGGCAGTTGGCCGACATCATGATCAACCGCGAAGCCGACCTCTACAAAGAGGCGGACGGCTGGACTGATTTCCGCGATTTCCGCATTGCCAAGAAGGTGCCCGAGTCGTCTGAGATCACTTCGTTCTACCTGGAGCCCGTGGATGGCAAGCCTCTGCCGTCCTTCCGCCCCGGACAATACATCTCCGTGGAGGTTTTCGTTTCGGAGCTCAACTACCCCCAGAGCCGCCAGTATTCACTCAGCGACAAGCCTGTGCCGGAATACTACCGCATCAGCGTCAAGAGGGAGGCCGGCCTCGAGCCCACCGAGCCCTCGGCCAAGCGCCACCCCGGCTATGTCTCCAACATCTTGCACGATCTCAAGAAGGAGGGCGACATCGTCCGCGTCTCTCACCCCTTCGGTGATTTCTTCCTCTCCGACGAGGAGAAGCAGAGCAGCAGCCCGATTGTCCTCCTCGCCGCCGGTGTCGGTCTGACCCCGCTCACCTCCATCCTCAATACCATCCTCGATGGCCCCGAGGCCCAGACCCAGCGCAAGATCACCTACGCGCACGGCGCTCGCACCTCTGCGGCCCGCGCCTTCCGCCCGCAGATCAAGGAGTTGGCTGCCAAGGTGCCCAACCTGCACGCTATCTTCTTCACCAGCCACCCCGGCGCCGAGGAAAAGCAGGGCGAGGACTATGATGTCGCGGGACGCCTGGACGTGAACCAGCTGGACAAGCAGAAGGACCTCTACCTGGAAGATGCGACCACCAAGTACTACATCTGCGGTCCGACTGCGTTCATGCTGGACGTGAAGCAGAAGCTGACCGCCGCGGGCGTTGCTGATGATCGCATCAAGATGGAGCTGTTCGGTACCGGTGGTATTCCCGCCTAAGCAAGTGCTTGTGCATATTGTGGTTGTCAACTAGATTCTTTGTATCTTCACGGATCACGATCGCATTTGTTTTCATTTCTTAGATAGCATTATTAGCCTAGATACTCCTCTCATGATTTTAGATGCAATAATCAAACTTCCGACTTTTAGACTTCGAGCTCTCGAGATGGTCTGTCTCCATATGAATTGTTAGACTAGGCTCTATGAATAGATGCAGGCTCTGACAAACTTCGAGGTGTTCGCCAAGAAAGCGCCCCCTCGAACAGCTACCGGTGAGGGGTAAAATCACTGATTATCTCCCGCCCATAGTGGGGTAACGACAGCACCAACAGTTGGTGCCTCGTTTATGGCCTGAGGCTCCACACATTTTTTATCGCTCCCTTTCCCCGCAAACCCATCCAGCATAAACACTCCCTCATACCTCAAAGATATTCACCAACAAACACACCAACCCCACATCTCTCAACATCCCAATCTTCCAACCCCAACATCGCCACCCAAACAGACATTTCACTACACCATGACCGACCCCCCACGCGACGCCCTAACCTTCCCCGCCTCCGACCGCGCATTCCTCGAACCACACCTCCCCCCTCCCAGGCAAACCTCACCCACCACCGACCATGCCCCCGCGACCCTCCCATTCACAACCCTCACCTTCGCGACCTCGCTCGACTCCTCCCTCGCCCTGTCGCCGGGCACGCGCACCGTGCTCTCGGGCCTGCAATCCAAGGCGATGACGCACTACCTGCGCTCGCGCCACGACGCCATCCTGGTGGGAGTGGGCACGGCGGTCGCCGACGACCCGGGCCTGAACTGCCGGCTCGCCGGCGGGGGCGGGTACGGCGCCGACGGGCTGGACGGCCAGCCGCGGCCCATCATCGTGGACCCCTCGGCGCGCTGGCGGATCACCCCGCAGGCTAAGATCGTGGAGATGGTGCGGCGGGGACGGGGGCGGGCGCCGTGGGTGCTGATCGCGGAGGGGACGGAGGTGGAGGCGGAGCAGCGAGGGGTGTTGGAGGGGGTTGGGGGGAGGTTTATTTCGCTTCCTTGGGGGGTTACAACAAAGGATTTTGGGGGGGATGAGGAGGAGGGGGAGGGGGTAAGAAAGGGTAGGAGGGAGTTCGATTGGAGGCAGGTGCTGGAGTATCTGCGGCGGGAGGAAGGGGTGCGCAGTGTTATGATCGAGGGCGGGGCGGCGGTGATTAATTCGTTGCTGGAGCCGAGGTACCAGGGTCTGGTCAGCTCGGTGATTGTGACGATTGCGCCGACGTGGTTGGGGAGGGGCGGGGTGGTGGTGAGTCCGCCAAGGAGGGTGGGGGACGGTGGGGTGGCTGTGCCGGCGTCGCGGTTGACGGGGGTCAAGTGGTATCCTTTTGGGGAGGATGTGGTGCTTTGTGGGAGGATTAAGGTGGATACCTAAGGTAGATGGTGGTTGTGCTATGTCGTTGGAATTGGGGTTGAGGGTACTGGGGAGCTGAAAAGAAAGGGGGATCTGGGGGTTCTCCCCAGATAGTTATACTATACTATTGGATTCGAGTTGAGGTTATTGGGGAGTTGAAAGAAAGGGGGGTCTGGGGTTTCTCCCCCAGATAGTTACATTACTGCTAGGACTGAGAATTGAGATTATTGGAGAGTTGAAAGAAAGGGGGTTCGGACGTTCTCCCCAGATACTTGTGTTATAAGGGTATGATGTGCTTGCGTCGCATGCATCTCTTCGTGGTGGATCTAATGTCTGTGACGAGGATCATCTAGTTGGCTTTCTGTACAATAGCACTAATCTAAGCCTGAACTTCCTTGGCAGGGAGAATCTGCCCCGTGCACTCGCCAAATCCAACTCCTTCGCCCGCCACGGCCGTCATCGTCACCACATCCCCATCGACCAGGTATGTCCGCTCACTATCGTCGGTCAACTTGGCCTTCGCCTTGCCTCCCTTGGTCACCTCCAGCAGACAGCCATAGGACCCCTCAGCGGCCCCACTGACCGTCCCAGTGCCCAGAATCTCCCCGGTATGCAGATTACACCCCGTGCTCGTCAGATGCGCGCACATCTGCCCGAGACTCCAGTACAGCTCCTTCGCATTGGTCTCTCCCAGCACCGTCCTTGCCCCAGAAGCAGTCTCCAACTCGACCTTCAGCTGGATGTCATAATTATAGGCGCCTGGGTCCTGCAGGTACGGCGGGATGGATGCGCTCTGCGGCTCTGGGCCGTCGGTGCGGAACGCTTCCAGCGCCTCTAGTGTGACGATCCATGGGGAGATGGTCGAGGCAAAGTTCTTCCCGTTCAGTGGGCCGAGGGGGATCATTTCGAAGCCCTGGATGTCGCGTGCTGTAGCGCTTGTTCAGCCAAGTACTCTCTGCCTGGAATTCAAACCAGATGGAAGGTTAAATTCCATGGAAAGGAAATCAATCTTCAATGGCTTCATAGATTGCATAGTTAACGTACCACTCCAGTCATTCAAGAGCACAAGCCCGAAGATGTGTGCCTCAGCATCCTTGGCGGTAAGCCTCTGGCCCAACGGCAGCGGAGCACCGATTACAATGCCCAGTTCGAGTTCATAATCCAAGGCGCGTGTTGGCGCGTAGATGACTTCTTTGTGGGTCGTTACGGTTCTGTCGACGAAGTGGCCCCGGGGCCGGTGCACTGGGGTCCCAGAAACGGAGATCGTGCTGGCACGGCCGTTGTAGGCAATGGGGATATGGTAGAAACACGGCGGCAGGCTCTCGTGGCCGAGGATCGCTCGTCCGGCATTGATATTGTGGGCCTTGCTGCTGCAGAAGTCTGCGGAGGTTGTCGTTAGCTTTTGTTTATGAAGGGTACTTTAGAGTGAGGCTAATTACCGGTATAAGCTGGGACTGTGACAGGGAGATGCAATTGGACCTTGCTGATGTCTGCAGTGCTTCCTGTGGGGAGTTCTTCCACTCCATTCTGTAGTACCAGTTGCAGGGCGTGACGCACTTGCGTGTGGATTGGCTTGGGGAGGGCAGCAAAGTCATTCAAGGTGGACGATTTGAAGATTCCAGAAGGGAGCTCGGTGACCGAGTTGAACACTGCGTTTCTCTGGAGGTCATCTAGGAAGATTACGGTGTTGTTGAGCCGAGTCACGCATTGCGGGTCAGCTCGCGCGGGAGACGAGGCGACGCCATATGGAAGGTTCTTGATCGAAAAATGATCGCTGTAACTGGAGGGGGCCATTTTGATATCAACTGCAATGTCATTTAGTATCATATCGAGTTTCCGAGCATCTGAACATGATATATCAATGGAATCAGAAGCTATTCCTGAGTTCTGCCGTTTATGTCCACATCCCGAACATGCTCTCCACATTGCGCTGCCGACGACACTGTCTGTAGCCCTTGATCCCTGTCCTGCAAGAGAACTGGGACCCAATAGGAGCTGTCATGCTCGCTGGAAGAAACATCAGTTCTGAGCAAGTGATGCTCAAATGCTTCGACTTGTTGGCCATCTCATCTCTGCAACATGATTATTCAAGAACCTGTCGGGAAGGCTTGTAGTGCTCCTGGCTCTATTGAGCCACAGACAAAATGTGAGAATTGGCTCCGCTCGCCGATGAGACAGGTATCGCTTTTGATACATAAAGATTGCCCACAAGTTCCTCGGGACGACCAATGCATCATATCCAGTGGCAGGACTTTCGTAAGCAGCTTGAAAAGTGCGGAGTAACTCAGGATGCCAAGGTCGAAGTGCCGTGGGGTAAATGCACAGTCCATGCTTAGCTCCGCAAACTCCGGTGCGAGCGCACGATCCGTCGAGTGCACGTGCCGGTAGGCCCGCTTATCGCAGCTGCAAGCAGCAAACAGCGCAAACATGTTCGTCCCTTTAATTTTGTCACGTGTTTCAGACCGAGCATTTTCGAGTCACATGAAGCCGCCTATCTATCGACTTATCCGGATCGCAGAACCATTTAGTGCACTCAAGCAACGATGTCGTGATTCCCAAACTGTTCTTGATTCAGTACCATGAACAAACGTCCCTACTCAGGGTCATTATCCCACAGTGACTCTCAGACTCCAGAGCTTCCCGATCACCTCTCTCATGACAGCCCGGAGCACAGCAGGGCCTCGGGCTCGGCGAAGAAACCCCGGAATTTCATAGCCACAGTGGTAGGTTACTCTTTCCGCATCGCTCTACCACAACCTTCAGGAACTCTGGTGTAAAATCAATTGGAATAACATCTAGCCTTAGGCTTGTGAGAATTGCAGATTGAAAAAGACCAGATGTGATGAATCACGGCCAAAATGTGGACTATGCAAATCGCTGGGCTTGGAATGTGTCTATAATGAGCGCAAGACTTCCAAGTAAGGGGCAACCAAGCACATACTAATGATAGACTTGTCAGACTAACTCATCCTAGGCGGGATCATTCTTTGGGTCTGATTATGAGCACTCTCCATCGACTCGAGACAAAACTTGAAAGTGTCCCCACTACCATATCCGGTGACATTAATTCTCTTCGAAATGAAATGATTCATGCATTGGATACGTCGCCAGGCGTCTCACCTCTAACACGGCGTAATCTCAACTCCAAAGAGTCGGTGGGCTCAGAGAGGTCTCAATTGCAAGGCCTCACACCGAGAACAGTGGAACTCAATAACGATCTAGAACATGATAGCCAAAGCTATCTCCCCTCAGGCCCAGTGGATTCGACTGGCCTCGTTTCAATCTCGTTCAGCCAGCATGGGGTGATCTCTTGGCTTGGAGCTCAAAACATCCTTCCAAATCGACTTCTCGAGGCCTATGAGAAGCTCGGAAAGAACTACGTGATTGACATCGAAATGAAAAGGCTTATGCTGCCGATGTACATTTGCCCCTTTCCTCCGCACGCTGGAAACAACTGGCTGGAGACACTTCCATTGGCCATGATCAAGGGGCTTTCAGACGCATTTTTCACCACGTTTAACCTCTACACGCCTATCATTGATAAGAACTTTTACTTCGCTTCGACACTGGGGACGGCGATCGAAAGCAATTTCGGATATACGATCGAAAGCTGTCTCGCCCTGAACATCATGGCCCTAGGCTGTATTGCAATCCACGCTTATCAAGAGGGAAATTATCCTTTACCAGGGAGCAGGACCAGTCGGTTTGAGCCGCCCGAGTGGATGGGAGTCGTCTATGAAGAACCTCCTGGCTTACGCTTCTTCAACGAGGCTCGCCAACGTATGGGCTTCTTGATGTGTGGCAATGATCTGCAAAGCTGCCAATTCTATCTACTTTCATTGTACGATCACTCCTCAAGTCTATAAGATTGATCCTCGGATTCTGACGCGCGTTTGCAGTGTCTACTACAGTCAGATCCTGCGGCCCTTGGACTCTTGGGCTATGATCCATCGTGCTGCTACCTGCTGTCTTTCCATGCTCACTAAGTATGTGATTATCCTGTTATCCTACTCATGGTGATTAGGTGACTAACGTCCTTAGCCGTGATGTTCACTTCGACGAGTGGGAGGGCGACATGAAGTCGAGAGTATACTGGAATTGTCTCATGAATGAGACAATCCTAATTCAAGAATTACATGTCCCACCGAGCGGTCTTGCACGCCTTGAAGAGCTTGTCCCAATTCCCAAGTTTATCAGCTTCGAAAGCGTTGGCTTCGGCACATCTCGAACCTTGTCCTTGGACGAGATAGACGATTCGTTTTTCCAATACCATTTCCTTGCGCAGGTCGCCCACCGTATAATACTAACCCGTATCCGAAACTCATTGTATTTCTACTGTGAGTCGATCGCTTCTTCTTTGCGGTCGTCGAGTCACGACTGACTTAGCTCTCTTACAGCCGACTCAGGGACATTCCCCCGTCCAGCCATCAATACAGAGTTGCACCACCAGCTAGATCAGTGGCGGGTCAACCTACCTGCTGCCCTGCAGTTCTCCGATAATCCACCCAACCCTTCTACAGACCACGATACAGCCGATTCTCCACCCACCGAATCTCACTTACCGTTCGACCCGACCCGTCATGCCCTTTCTCCCGCGATTGCCGTCTCCGAAGCTATGCTTCGTGGTCGCTACATGATTGCCAAATTCCATATCGGCCGGCCCTACCTCTACAAAGCCCTCCATATACCCAGTTTATTAACGGATCATGATCTCGAACAAATCCGCAGCGGACTGCTGAACGCCATGAACTGGCCTGTTGTTGGCGGCATCTTCCGCCGGATGAAGAGCTGCATTCCGATCCGATTCGCTTTTTGCTCTCAGTGAGTCTCGCAAGCATCAGATCTGCTGCCCCTTTCCATGCCGCGGTGACTGACCATCTCCTAGATTTTTCGGCCAAATACTCCTCTTTTACTGTATATCCCACTCACCAGAAGCCCGCGTGCGAGATACCTTACCCCCGGGCTGGGAGCAATGGAACCAAGAAATGCTGCGGTTCCTGGAGAGCTGCGCACCTCATAGTCCGGCTGTAGCCAAGGACCTGGAACTCCTGCGGTTGTTGTAGATTAATGTATCTTATGAATTGTGTTATGTGGGCGATGTGACCTCGGGCCATGACTGACGAGATTGTTGGCGTCGTTGCCAGAGTGCCGTATTACACCAACGGTTGGATCCATTCTTTGAATACTCGTAGTTCCATGTGAAATCGAGCAAATGATGTATGATCTGCTGAAGCTGCGAAGCAACGCTAGGCCGATTTAATGCCGAATGACGGGGTCGAAGGATGTCCGACCCCACGGGGGGGTTAAAGATTTGCCAGGCGGTGGCTTGGAAGGCGAACAACCATTAGGCAACTCCCAACTGTTGGTTCCGTCGGGTCAGATACTAGAGAACTGCGTATTGCCAATAAGCCATTTCTGAATGTCTGGGTGTTGGGTGTGGGCGGCTAAGATTTAGGCCGAGCCCACGGTGGATGGTGGGGAGGTTCTGTGGGAAAAAGTGGGGAGGGCTAGTATGGGGAAAGGAAACGAAGTGGCGGAAAGCTGAATCCGTACCCCATACCTGGTACAACTTTCCCCAGCCGATAAGGATAAATAAATTCATTCACCTCTGCCTCGCATCCCAAGCTAAATACCATTACTTTTCCTCCTTCTCCTCTCGACCCTCCTCTCCCCCTCCTGTCTCTCTTTCCTTCCCCCATCATCATCGCATCACATCCGCCATAACACTGCCATAATGACTCACTCCGAGGCCGAATTGCAGAAGCCTACGGGCGAATACCGTCAATACTTGCCCGATCTTAGTCTAAAGCGCTTCCAGGTGATGCGCACACAGGATGCCCATGAATATGCACACGAGTTCAAGACGCAACGTCAGCCTCCATGGCTGCACGCGCTCTACATGCACTGGCTGGACCTGCTGCAAGAGCCCTTCAAGGGTGTAACCACCGACGGTATTCACTTCCGATGGAACTTCCGATGGAAGCAATGGTCCATTTCGCTTGCTAATCACTGCGTTAGGCACCGTTCGCCCCGACCTGTTCAAGCTCCAAGACGAAGGCATCCCGATTGATACAATCGTCGAAGCCACTCAAAATGTGCTGTCCCTGGCCGACGAAAACCAGCGCAAAGCTCTGTGCTACCACATCGACTCCCCCGAATGGCGGACCTGGTCCAACCCCGAATTCCTCCTCAGCAACAAGGGAATCCGGCTTGATGAGATCGACAGCAAGCTCCGCGACGCCGTCTTGAACGTCCTCAAGGTCACACTATCTCCCGAAGGCTACGAGAAGGCCATCGCGGCGATGCGCATCAACCATTTCCTGGGCGAGCTGGTCGACGGTGTCAAGGTCATGAACGAATTCTCCTACAACTTTGTCCTCTTCGGTCGTCCTTCGACCGACCGACCGTGGGGCTGGTCCTTCTACGGCCACCACCTCTGCCTGAACATCTTCCTCTACAAGGGTCAGATCGTCGCCTCCCCGTGGTTCACGGGCGCCGAGCCCAACGAGATCGACTCCGGCCCGTACGCCGGCACTCGCATCATGCAGGTGGAGGAGGAACTGGGTCTGCGTCTCATGCAGTCCCTGTCTCCCGAGCTCCAGCAGAAGGCGCGTGTCTACGCCGAGATGCACGATCCGGCGATGCCGCCCGGCCGCTGGAACCGCGACGACCAGCGCCATGTCTGCGGTGCGTACCGGGACAACCGCGTCGTGCCCAACGAGGGTATTCCCGCCAGCACATTCAACGAAGAGCAGAAGAAGTTCATGTACGGGATCTTCGAGCAGTACCTGCTCTACCTGCCTGCCCGCGCCCGCCAGCTGAAGCTGGACCACATCCGCCAGTTCGAGTCCGAGACCTACTTCTGCTGGATTGGATCCTATGGCAACGAGGACCCTTTCTACTACCGCTTGCAGAGCCCGGTCATCCTGGTCGAGTTCGACCACCACTCCGGCGTGTTCCTCAACAATGAGGAGCCCAAGAAGTTCCACATCCACACCCTGATGCGGACGCCGAACGCCGGTGACTACGGCAATGCTTTGCGTGCGCAGATCCCCGCAATTGAGGGGTTGAATGGGAAGGAGATCGTGTGGGAAAAATCTGCTCTGTGAAAAACTCGAGCCTTGTAAATATGATGAAGTTATGTGAATAGTGTCTCTATAGTTATCAATGCCGTATATACAAATTCTTTTCAATGTCGGGTTCCGTCCTAATCTCCTTGGCAGCACGTGTGCGTGCAAGGCCCACGTCACGTCGGAACATCCGGTCCCAAACATCACCACACCCCACGATGGATCGGGATTTCCTGGTCTCGATCGAGATTCATCCTTGCAATTGCCAACTCCCTGCAATCGGAGAAGATCTGATGGAGAGTATGAGTGTATTTGCCTCGGGATACCCAGCTCCCACGATCTTTGAAGTTCTTCATCCCCACAACAAGTGCTGGATCCCGTCCGAAGTCGGAAGCACCGAACCTTGGCCATCTTGTCTGCCTCAGGCGCCGAAAGCCAACAACAATCAAAACCTCCAACTACCCCGCCGCTCTGCTCTCTCCCCCTTGCCTCGTCTCGGCATCGATAACTCTCCAACCATTCTCATTCTTGACGCCAAAATATTGGAATGCGTTGTACAAAGAACCCAAATCCCATCTACCGGCCAAGGTGGGGTTCATGAAAGGCTCTGATACGGCGGAAGATGCACGCAGCCCCTCCGTAGCCATGAATCAAGATATACTCCGTCGTGCTGGCTACTAGCTGCCTCAATTATGCACGGGAGATGCAACATGGCACCAGCCACTGCTCCAGAACAAAGCAAATGCACCTTGTGGTGTGATCTCCCACAGAATGAGTTCATTGTCCTGATAGCGGGGTAGGCGATGTAGGATGTCTGCTGTCTTTTCGCTGCTCCAAAGCTTCAGCAAGCGGCATGGGCATTTACGGACTGCTGTGAGCGGTAAGGACTTGGAGGGGCTCGCTGCTGTCTCTCTCTCCCCACCATCTCATCCATCCACCTCACAACAAAGGCTCTATGGCTATGACTTCTGCGTCCAATGATGACATCCCAAAATGGGATCGCTCTTGAATGATATCCCCTGGCGCTAGAAAATGCCGCATAGCAAAACAATCTCACCTCAAATTCCTCAGCATCCATACATTAAGAACCCTCGGGCTACAAGAGTCCAATGCTCTCCAATCCAAACTCCCAACACTAATGTATCCCCTGCTTTCGATTCGCGACCACCTTTTTCTTTTTTTCGCCTGCGCATTCCTAACTTCAGGCATCAAGAGTTGCATATCTCCTGTGCGTTAACTTTGCTGTCGTGGCCATGCATACGGCTCTTTCAGGTTTACTGTCTGCCTTAAAAAGCCCCCTCGACTGCTAGACTCTATCCGAGAGATATCTCGATCTCAACCACTTTTTTTTTCTTCTGTTTCGATTCACAAGCACATCACAAAACAGAACGCAAAAATGGCTCCATGGCTGATGGGCGAGAAGTTCAACACGGTCTACCCGCACAAGGGGTCCATCAAGGCCCTTTGGGAGACCAAGTGGAAGTTTGCGGTATGACCAAGATGAATGCTGTGTGGTGAGGATCAAGAGCTAAGAAGAAGCGTTCGACAGTGTGAGAAGTCAGTTTACCCGTTCCATGACGGATCGATCGAGGACTTCGCACCCATCTTCGAGAAGTTGATCAAGGTAGGAGGCTTCCTCCCTGTGTACCAAATCTGCCTGCTCAGCCGAGCCCACCCAGGAAAATATCAACGACGCCTACGAAGACGCCTACACGCAGGCCTTCTTCCCCATCGCCGAATCCCTCGAGAAGCAAGCCAGCGAGGCGCTGAACAGCAGCAACACCCAATTGGCCTCGGACCTCCTCCGCCGCGCCGCGGTGGTATACCGGATCTCGCGCTTCCCCTACGTCGACCCCAGCAAGGACGACATCAAGAAGGAAGCCTTCGCCCGCCAGAAGCGCGTGTACCTGCAGGCGGCCTCCTTCTGGAGCCCCAAGATCGAGGAGGTGATCATCCCGCACACCCGGAGAGCCGGCGGCGACGCGCCCACCGTCCCGCTCTTCGTGCGCACGCCCGAGCACGCCTCGGCCGCCAGCCCCGTCCCCGTCATCCTGCTGATGACCGGGCTGGACGGCTACCGGCCCGACAACAGCCAGCGCACCCACGAGATCCTCAACCGCGGGTGGGCCGTCGTCATCGCCGAGATCCCCGGCACCGCCGACTCGCCCGCCGACCCCAGCGACCCCGCCGCCCCGGACCGCCTCTGGACCACCGTGCTGGACTACATCGCCGGCCGGCCGGAGCTGGACGCCGCGCGCGTCGCCGCCTGGGGCCTCAGTGCCGGCGGCTTCTACGCCATCCGCGCCGCGCACACCCACCGCGACCGCCTGCGCGGCTGCATCGCCCACGGTCCCGGCTGCCATTACTTCATGGATCAGGAGTGGTTGACCCGCGTCGATGATCATGAGTATCCTTTCCTGTGAGTTGGATTTTCCTCCCTCCTTCGCTCCGAGTGACTGCAAGACTAACAAAATTGGAATGGAATAGATTAACCCCCGCCTGGGCCAAGAAGTACGGCTACACCGACGTCGCCGACTTCCGCGCCAACGCCCAGAAGAAATTCTCGCTCGTCGAGACCGGCATCGTCGACCAGCCCAGCACCAGACTTCTTTTGTTGAATGTGCGTGCCCTGCAGTTCCCCCCTGGCCCCCATGTTCCAAATCCCACCCTCGGAAGATGCGCCCCAAGCAAAAACCTCCCCACTAACTCTAATCCCCGCGCCCCGCGGGGAGGTGTACACAGGGCGTCGATGACGGTGTCACCCCCATCGAAGACTGTCTTGTCCTCTTTAATCACGGCTCTCCCAAGGAAGGACGGTGCGTAACCCTCCCAAACCTACCCTTACCCCTACACCACCCTACCGCCTGGGTGTTTTCGCACGAGCGCGAGACGCTTGTTTCTTGAGTGGGTTGGGCTGATATGGTCATTCCGGGGGCAAATAGGTTCTTCCCCGGGCTCCCGCACATGGGGTATCCGCATAGTCTGCCGGTGTCGTATAAGTGGTTGGAGGAGGTGTTGGAGTCGAAGCCTGCTATGCTTAAGAATTAAAGTGGGGTTAAATTGTGAAGAGGGGGGAGGGGATGTGGTGGTTGGGCTGAGGTCTTGGGTCTCGGGTCGAGTAATGAGTAACATGATCCATATGAGGAAAATCTGATTTGAAAGGTTTTCATGGTCCTACTGCCGAATTTTAAGAATTTGGGATCTTTGATTGGATAGTCCAACCCAGGTAATAAGACTGGGAGGGAGGGAGGAATAAGCTAATTGAACATAGCTACATATACAAGATGGAAATAGGATAGTCGTGACATAAGTACGGGCAAGGCCCACCGGCATAACCTGTGAGTTTACATGTGAGGCTGCGAAAGGTCCACAAAACTCATGCAGTGTCTCCCATCGCAACACCTACTAAGCTCCGCGGGCCAAAGGACCCGGTGCCTAACCCCGCGGGGCTCTGTGCTGAGGCGTCGCGGTCGCGTTTTATGCGGAAGAACGCCAATTTCGCAAACCGGTTGAGCTGCGCCCAGAAATGTCGCCCCGCAGGGTGGGCAGCAATCCGTTCGAGCAGGTCAACTGTCGCCTCGCGAACCGGTGGGTAGGGGTGGAAGAGCCCCATGCTGAGGTAGAAGAGTCCGGCTTGGTTCTCCGGGGTGATGGTCAAGAGCTGGCAGATGCCCGCGTAGTCCTTGACCGCGTGCGCGAATGCGATGTAGATGGCGCCGGAGTCGGCAGCAGAGAGTCGCAAGGCGCGGAGTCGGCTGTGGTGATGGTGTAGGTCGGGTTTCAGAATAGGTCGGGCCGGATAGTACATGGCGGCGATGTCCTGGATGAACGAATAGTAGGATCGTGTGGTCCGCCATCCTTCGATGCGCGAGACTGAGGCGAGCAGCTCCCTTTGCTTGGCGCCCTCATCGGGCCAGACATAGCCATGGCCGCGGAGGGTGGTCGGATCCAGCGGGTCAGCCTGAACGCCGCTCGGGCTCTCTGGCGAAAGCTCTTCGTTGGGTCCAATGATGAAGAGATTCGATGCGCCGTAGACCATTTCCTCGAAAGCGGCGGCCACTTGGGTGAATTTCATGATGTACGCCCTCCATTTGGCCCGGATCGCGTTCTCGCCGTAACGGTTTGTGATGCTTCGCTGGATCTCTTCCATGAAGACATTATCCCCGCTGGGGTCGGTATTCGAGCTAGACGGGTAATGATGTAACGAAGCCTGCTGCTGGAAGTATTGTAGTCCTTCTGTCACTGGTGCAGGCTCGATATAGCTACTGATCTTCATTCGACCAGTCGGGAGATCGCAAAGTAGATCCCACCACTCAGGATGGTTGGCGAAGGTCGGATTTGTGACGCCGGCGATAAACCCAGGTACCTTCAACAGATCATCAATTTTTGTCAAATCCGTGTAAGGGAAGGCGTGTCGCGTAAAACCGCGCAATACACCGCCCGACGCAATCGCACACGCGGCAAGCACGGCTTCTGCGACTTCACCGGACGGTCGATTATGACCCAAGAATATAACTCTCTTTTGAGTAAGCATTGCATTGACGAGGACAATGATAGGATGCGTAAAAGGGCCACTGGTAGTCAGGTGCGGATGGACGGGGAAGGCTTGAGGTGAAGTGTTATGTGGAGCGGAGAAGATTTGGATAAGCTTTATCAGAGAAAAGTCGCCCACAGTCTCCGGCCAAATGACCGTGGGAACCTTGACCGGAATAGGGATCTCGTTATAAACAACCCTAGATTCAAATTCGTGGGTGTCGCGCGGAAGAGTATATTGGAGGGGAGCCTGACGTTTCGGCGACGGCGGATCGTCCTCGTCATCTGGCGAAGCGCCGTCTTCTAAGGACCGTTGGTGTATCATTTGTTCGAATTTCTCGATGAACATATCTTTGCAATTGCTTGCCTGCAGGATCTGCCTTTCCAGAAGTGATAGCCTCGGCATCAACGACAAGTCCATGCTGTTGACAGCATTGTATAAAGTGGCGAGGGTTTCGGGATATGGATTCTTGAAGTAGTCCTCCAGGGCTAGCAACAATAATGGCTGTGAGTTGGGTGTCAGCGCAACTGTAACCTATTCTTGAATGGGGGGCGACCCACTTTGTAGATATGAAGGAAAGAATGTCGCGTACAGATTGCCATAGCCTTCACGACTGCGCCGCTGTGGTTGTTCAATATCCGGACCTTATCCACGAAAGGGATCGAAAAAGTGCGTTCACATACCGCTTCACTGTGTTGTCTTGTTTCGTGTTGACCAGGTTGAGCACATACATCAGAGGAGGGCCTTCACCTCCTTCCTCCTCATCATCACTGCTATCTTCCTCCTCCAATGATCCGTCATCCTCCCGACTGTCCCCTTCACTCGACTGAGCTTCATCTCCAACCCTGCGCTTCCCCTTCTTCTTCTTTTTCTGCTTTTTGCTAGATACCGAGGCATCATCATCGGCATCTGCGCTTGTGTCCTTATGCAGGAAAAATATCGTCCAATCCTGGCTTCGGACATGTGTTTGATCAGGCAGCATGAGTTCCGCTAACATGCTCTCATCTCCACTGATCGCGGTCGGATACTGATGCTCCATGATCGGACCGCGATCGATATGGAAGGAGGCCACGAGAATGTACTCGACATGCCGCTCTGAGGAGTCCCGGGGGTATTGTGATTTGCATCGGCGGGGTTTAGGGAATAACGCGGCGGTGGCTGGAACATTGGCTAACGACGGTTGGCGGAGAGATGTGCGAGAACTGCTGGGCGTGCGGTGGTGTAGTAGGGAAGGGGCGGGTGAAAGTCGGGGGAGGCCATTGCCTGCATCGTCGGCGGATCGGTAGGGCAAGGAGATGCTCATTTTCAAAGTCGAATGATCGAGGATGACGCAGGCACAATAGCGAGGTGGTGGGAGGTTGAGCGTGAAGTCGTCGTGGTCGCCGAGGGTGGACAACCGGCAGATGAGAGAAGCACGGCGGCGACCGACCGCTGCTTAGCTTCAATGAAGTCGGCGGAGAGGGGGCATATCCCCTGAAGCCCTGACCACCAGGGGAAGAGACTTGTGAAAGAATAGTGCAAAACTGCGACGATCAATTGAGAAGTCTAGAGGATGCTAGATTGACAAGGAACGAGTAAACAAGCGTTGGGAATAGAATCAATCATGCGCGGGACGCGGAAGAAACTCAGGGGGGAAAAAGGAAAGGGGGGGGGAAAAAGCGGAGTTACAGTGCAGTCAGTCAGTCAGTGGCTTCTCGCATGTGACGATCTCGGAGACACTGCCAGGCGGCGGAAAGAGTCAGTTTGCACTGTTTGTTTGTTCCTCCACAATCCATCCTTTCGGTCTTCCATGACTTTTTACTTGTATTTTTAGAGTATCAGTCTCGTCTCCAGATGTAATTAATGGATGGTTGAATTCAGAGGCAGGTATGCAATGGTATCATGCTCATAACACTGTGAACAGTACAGTATATCTCTAAATCTAATCTATATGCAATTTTCACCCCCGCAATCAGATTTACATTCCGCGGTTGAACTCCACCATCCCATCCTGGCCTCCCTGGCCCCAAAACTCCTCTTCCAGGTTCTTGGCACTGATCGACTGTCGCTGAGGGAATGCACCCAGCGCCAGTGGCAATGCGAACAAAGAGGTACCCAGGATCAATGCCAGATTGATCGGCAGCACCATCTTTGGCCTCGCCTGCAGCCACGCGGTCTTCTCCAACTTAACCAGCACCAATGGCGGCACAACCATGATCGGAGTGGCGTTCAGCACCCGACTGATAGCCGTCTCTCCGACCGCAATCGTTGCGGCCTTCTTACTCTTACCCAAGCTCTGCACAGGCTCGCCGGTCTCCTCCCGCTTCTTCTTTTCGGCCTCAGACAAGACAGGGTACACATCGATACCCTGGCGAATCTCCTCGCCTCTCATGAGGAAGACGTTCAGCGCACTGGCACTGGAGACAGCTGCGAATGGGACCAGACGACCAAGAAGGAGCTTGGTGTTAGGGGAGACGCCCTTGAGACGGGGAACGAGGGCGTTGAGACCGAGAGCGACGGAGCAGGATGCGGAAACGGCCATGAGGTAGGATTTGGCCATCTGGGAATAAGAAAGTGGAGTCGATTTGTTGGCATTGGCGTTGTTGATGGCAACATTAAGGGACTGGTTGGCGATTTGCCAGAGAAGGGTTCCGGTGGTCTAGACAATCGCATCCCGATGAGTCAGAAGGCGGGGGTGAGCTAGCATTAGATGACAGAGGGTGAACGCACCTGAAGACCGGGCGTAAGCATACCCGCAGTGACGACCAAGTTGGACAGGACATAGCTGGACATGCGGAAGGGGAGGAAGACCGGCTCGCCGGTGTCTAGATCGGTCAGTTGAATGGCTGCGAAGGAATGGAAATGGCGAAGAGGTGTAGCTACCGGGGTGCAATGTCGAGTCAACCACCTTCTTAGCGTGCCATAGTTCGGACGTCATGGCAGGGACATGGTTCTGCTTGTAAGCAGAAACCAACTGTTTGGCCTTGTCCAGTCCAGCAGAAGAGACGAACATCATCCTACGCTCGTCAGTTATAGACCGCCTGTCGGGGACAACCCTCACTCACCGCGGATCGGAAAGATCAGCCGCATGGCGCACGCGACCCCAGTATGTGGATAGATCATACTGGGATGATGGGAGGTCCCGGTTGCCAGGAAGGGAGGTGGACATCTTGAACCACGGAGATGCTCGACAAGCAGGTAAGAAAACGGGCCTCGGAGAGAGAAAAGAAATGTTGGGGATTTGTCCCTGAAAGGCGCGAAAATCACTACCGGGCCGAGGATCCTCACGTGCAATGCCGGGCGGTGAGCCGATAAGCACTAGACCCATCTAGCATGGGGTTGTGATTTGCCGATATCGCCCAGGAACATCTTGCCACCGCAAACCTTATCTCGATTCCAGTTGAGATTCAATCACCCGGCTGAATGGTAGGCGGTCTTGAAGTACGGTATAGTACATTTACTGGATTGGACCATCGTGAAGTCGATCACTAGATCTTATACAGTCTGTCGCCGTCAAACTATTCGACTCGATATCACAAAGTCGAGGCAGCCCCGTCGCTGAATAGAGACCGTTTTTGCGTTGTGTTCATCGTCTACAAAATGCCTTTATCTCCTGGCTGGTGATCAACCACAACGGAGCCAACAGGTGGTCGCTAAACTCCAGGTACGGGTGATATTGCTGTCAGTTTTTGCTTTCCGCGCTTAGCGGTGTAGAAGGCGGTAACAATCTCCCCACATTGCTTAATAATGCCCCTCAGATTGCCCCTCAGTGCCTCTGCCCGCGGAGGAAGATCCTCCAGATCCTCAATTCAAACAGCAGTTGAAGATCAATTGACTGCTTGTTTCCTTCCTTATATGCTTTCTCACTTTATCAGTTCTTGACCATGACAGAATCAGTTTACTCCAGCTATCCTCCAGCTTTGGATTCCGCACAGAAGGAGTTCCTGGTCAAAACAATCAAGGACTGGGCCACGCAAAATGGTCTCGTCGTCCGGCCCTCGCCGACCTTCGTCGCGAAGGAGAATGACCCTCAAGGAGTACTGGCGACCAATGCGCCAGTGACCTTGTTCCCTAGTCTTTTTCCCAAGGCTTGTTTTGAAGAAGCAAGAGCTCTTCAGACCGTATACAATCAACTCTACGCTGCGATCACATGTGACGAAGACTGGATTGGGAAGATCATGGAAGAGTAAGAGCCTGCTTCTGCTTCTCTTTGAATGAGACTAGCACCCCTATTTCTGCGTACATGCGAAGATGGCCGTGTTTTGGCATTCGAAATGACCCCAACTAAATATATCTGCATGTAGTCTGATTGACGTCGACGATTTCATCTCAAACCTCTGGAAAGTCCATCTGGCAGTCAAGGAAGAGGGCTATACCCAAAACTTATCGCTCGGCCTCTACCGTTCTGATTACATGGCCCATACCCCGTCCGATGCCAGCTCTCCCAGCCTGAAACAGGTCGAGTTCAACACAATTTCCTCGTCCTTTGGCGGCTTGTCATCTCTGGTGACATCTCTACACACTGAGCTCCTCAATTCCCCACCAGGCCACCCAATCGCCTACCCGTCGCATCCTTTGCTGGACAATAATCAACCTCCCGAGAATCCTGCCGTGGAGACCTTGGCTGCAGGTCTGGCTGCAGCCCACGTAGCCTACGGACCCTCCAAGTCCACTCCAGCTCTTCCCACCTGTATCCTCTTCCTCGTCCAGGAGAACGAGAGGAATATCTTCGATCAATTGGCTCTTTCCCGGGAATTGACCAAGGCTCACAAAATCCCTGTCTTCCGTGTCCTTAGCTCCGAGATCCTCGACCACACATTTATCCACGACTCGAACCCCTCGAGGCCACTTATCTACCAGCCCCCGCACTCCAGTGGTACCCAGTTCGAAGTGACGACTGCCTACCTCCGTTGCTTCTACGCGCCCACCGACTACAAGTCTGAGCGTGATTGGCAAGCACGGACACACCTCGAGCGCTCTGCCGCTATCAAATGCCCCACCGTGCTCAACCAACTCGCTGGATGCAAGATCGTCCAACAGGTTCTGGCCGAACAGGAAGGACCAGATCACCTGGCCAAATTTCTTTCCGGCACTGATCATGCCACGATCTCGAGAGTCAGGGCGACTTTTGCTCCGCAATATGACCTTTCGTCCACTGGCCGCGGGCAGAAGCTTGCTCTGAACCTCGAAACTGCTATGAACCACGTCTTGAAGCCACAGCGTGAGGGCGGTGGAAACAATGTGTACAAGGATGCTATTCCTGAATTTCTGCGGTCGATTCCCGAGACCGAATGGAAGCGGTGGATCCTAATGGAGCTGATTCATCCACCTGCCGAGGCCAAGAACGTGGCGCTCCGTAGTGATGGGGAGGTACTCAGTGGGCATGTTATTGGAGAGCTTGGTGTCTATGGAACCATTCTGTGGGATCAAGCCAATGGTAACATCGTGCAGAATGAGCAAGGTGGGTGGCTGATGAGGACCAAGGCGAGAGATGTCAATGAGGGGGGCGTCGCGACGGGCTTTTCCAGCTTGGACAGCATTGTTCTGTACTAGATCAATCCTCGACTAGACTATGTAGACCATTATAAATTCTCCTTGTCACTGGCCCCAATCACCGATCCATACTACGTAGGTACTTAAAAGAGATTGGTAGTGACGTCGCCGCTGATCTTTGCGGGGAAGTCACACGGGGCCCGTTGCAACCTTAGATTTCGACAGCCCCACTGAATCTATCTTGTGTGCCATAGTCTTGGATTTAATTTATTGTGATTGCGGGTTTCTGATCAATTTGACTTGCAAATTAGTCAATCTTAAGTAGCGATTGATTTGCCACGAAAACAAATTGCAAGGATTTTGATAAAGGGGTCCGACTACGCCCGTTATCGCAGATCGACAAGGGTTGTGCCTACTGACTGATAGCAACTGATAAGCCCGCCGCGACAATGCAACCTGACTGCATCCGGCCAGCCAATATGCGGAGAAAAACCTGGGAAGATCGAGCTTGGTTCATTTACAATGTGACATCTTATCCCTCGTCTGCCTTGGCAGCTGATAAGCCCTGGGTTACATAGTATGCTAAGGTTCTGGTATAAACCTAAGGGTCGATGACGCCGTTTCCTTAAAAATTGATCCCCTTGCGTCTCTACCATCCTGGCTCATACCTCGTCTAATCCCGCCTCCCTTCTTCTCACTCCTCGAATCCCTCATTCTTGCACGTTTTGTGACTGCCTCATTCTCACACTCCCGTCTGGCTGAAGTATAATGGCATCCAGCTCCAGCTTGAGTCCACATGACACCAAGACGAGCTCGGTTCATGATGAGCCTGTGAAGGCGAGCCACTACACCACTGAGACGGGGATCATCGAGGATGTCGTCCGGGTCACAGATCACCAGGCAGAGAGGCAGCTGTGTCGGAAATTTGACCTGCGTTTACTGCCAGTATTGGCTTTGATGTGTAGGTCAATCAGCTCTAGTCATAGGTTACGCCCACTGATGTATGGTCCAGATCTTTTCAATGCGTTGGACAAAGGCAACCTCAGTAACGCCGAAACGGATGGCATGAGTACGGGTAGGAGACCATTCTTTGACTCCGATAGGAGACACCTGTGCTAATGGCTATAGACCTGCACTTCAAGCCGAATCAGTACAACTTGCTGCTCTCCATCTTTTACGTACCTTATGTCATCTTCGCGCCGCCCTTTGCCATGCTGGGCAAGCGCTTTAGCCCAGCCCGGGTCCTGCCCGTCCTCATGTTCAGCTTCGGCTCGTTTACGCTGCTCTCCTCCGCAGCCAGAAACTTCGGCGGCATGTTCACGCTGCGCTGGTTCCTGGGAATGTCCGAAGCGGCTTTCTTCCCTCTGGTCATCTACTACCTGACAACCTTCTACCGCCGCGGCGAGCTCGCCCGCCGCCTCGCCATCTTCTACGCCGCCTCGAACATTGCGAACGCCTTCTCGGGGCTCATCGCGTTCGGCGTCTTCCAGATCAAGAACTCGACCATCCCGAACTGGCGGTACCTCTTCATCATCGAAGGCAGCGTGACGGTCCTCTTCTCCTGCTTCGCATTCTGGTACCTCCCACGCTCCGCCAGCGAAGCCACGTTCCTGAGTCCCGACGAGAAAGCACTGGCCTATCACCGCATCCAGGTCGACTCGTCCGCCGTCGTGAACGAAGCCTTCAACCTCCGCGACGCGCTGCAGATCTTCCGGCACCCGTCAACCTACGCCTTCCTCGGTATCGAAATCTGCCTGGGCGTCCCCCTGCAGGGTGTCTCCCTCTTCATGCCGCAGATCATCCAGCGCCTCGGCTACTCCACCGTGAAGACTAACCTCTACACGGTGGCCCCGAACGTGACGGGCGCCGCGATGCTGCTCGTGCTGGCCTTCGCGTCCGACGCCGCCCGCCTGCGCTCCCCCTTCATCGTGCTGGGGTTCCTGCTCACTTTCACGGGCTTCATGATCTACGCCTCCATCACCGACGTCGAGGCCCAGATCCACGTGGCCTACTTCGCCACCTTCATGATGACCTGGGGCACCTCCGCCCCCAGCGTCCTGCTCAGCACCTGGTACAACAACAACGTCGCCCACGAGGGCCGCCGCGTCCTGCTCACCAGCATCGGCGTGCCCTTGGCCAACCTGATGGGGCTGGTCGCCAGCAACGTCTTCCGCGCCCAGGACAAGCCCAAGTACATGCCGGCGCTGGTCACCATCGCGGCGTTCGGGGCGACGGGCGCCGTCCTGGCGGCGGCGCTGGGCATCTTCATGTGGGTGGACAATCGCCGCCGCGACGCCCGCGAGGGCGTCAAGATGCGAGCGCAGGATGTGCCCACCGAACGGCTGAGGGATGGACCGGCCGCGGTCGAGTTTCGGTGGTTCTTGTGAAAACCTTTTGGATTATTTTATTATTCTGTCGCCTCGAAGGTTTTTAGTTTGGCTGAACATAATGACCATGATGAAGTTATGCACATCCCAGCATCGCCCACAGTCCAGGGTTAGCACATCGTAGGAGTTGGAAGAGCGACCCACAAAGCGGCACTGACGAATTCAACCCGAGCAAAAAAGCCGACATGCAGGGTCTCTGTACCGTACCCCAATTCGGGCCCCAAAATAAGCTCCACCCAGCAGGAACAGTAACCGTAACCGTTGATTAATAATTTGTGGACGGACAGTGGGGCCTTATGACATCGCCTTATAGGTCTTCTAGGATAACGTAACTGTTTCTGTTACCTTCTTTTCCTTCTTATTTCTTGACGTCTACTCTTCAGGTTTTCTTCACTTCCGACTTCAGACAGTCTTCTTTTTCTTCTAGAGAAGCGTAAATAAGATCCATTTCAACTCAAAATGAGCATCCAGCAATGGACCACCCCCCTAACGGGCCTGGCCAGCCTGCGCCAAACCACCGCCCCGCAGCCCACGCCAGGCCCCAATGAAGTCCTCGTCGAGATCCATGCGGTCTCGCTCAATTACCGCGACATTGAGGGTGAGTGATTCCCACAAAACCGATTCCCTCCGGAGCTATACCATTGAAACTAACCATGCAATCCGACGAGCAGTCACGAAGGGCGAATACAACCACCACAAATCCGTCACGCAGGAGACGCCCGCCACGGTGCCCTGCTCGGACATGTGCGGCGTCGTGACGCAGGTCGGCCCGTCGGTCTCGCGCTGGCGCGCCGGCGACCGCGTCCTCTCCACCTTCCTGCCGGATCACCTCACGGGCCAGGTCACGCCGCAGATGCTCGCCCGGGGCATGGGCCACCCGCTCCCCGGCGTGCTGGCGACGCACCGCGTCTTCCCGGAGCAGGCGCTCGTCCGGGCGCCCCGGTACATGCGGGATGCCGAGGGCGCCACGTTGCCGATCGCCAGCGTCACGGCGTGGATGAGCGTGCAGGGTCGCTTGCGGGCGGCGGTGGAGAAGGGGGAGGATGTGAGCCGGAAGGTCGTGTTGGTGCAGGGCACGGGTGGGGTGGCGGTGGCGGGGTTGCAGATTGCGAAGGCGTGGGGGGCTAGAGGTGAGTTTTCTTTTCTGAAGGGTTTCATTAGGTCGGGCCGGGGGGTGTATAGGCGTCTGTGTGTGTGTATGTGTGTGTGTGCTAACTGTGGCCAATCCCTCAAGTTATTGTGACCTCCTCGTCGGATGCCAAGCTCGAACAGGCGAAAGCCCTCGGCGCCGACTTTACAATCAATTACCGGACCACGCCTGACTGGGAGGATGAGGTAAATCGCTTCACCGAGGGAAATGGCGTCGATATCATCCTTGAGACCGGGGGCGCGAAGACGCTGCGGAAGAGCTTCGAGTGCATTGCCTTTGGCGGGTTGATCAACTGCATCGGGTACGTCTCGGGGAAGATGGATGAGCCGGAGGATCGGGTCAATGTCAACCTGTTGACCCTGCGGCGGAATTTGACGCTGCAGGGGATTATCAATGGGCCCCGGGATGAGTTTGAGAGGATGGTCGAGTTCTATGAGAAGCACCAGATCCAGCCGGTCGTGAACCGCGTGTTTGGGTTTGCGCAGGCGCGGGAGGCTTTCGAGTTTGTGGAGAGTGGCGCGCACTTTGGGAAGGTGGTGATTGATGTTGTTGGGGCATCTCGATGAAGGGTTTGTACGTATGATGAGAATGAGGGTGGTGTAAGCTTGTGAGTGTGTACTAGCTTTGCCGGTCTACTGTTGCCTAAGGAGTGCGTTTATGAGTAGGAAGGATTCTTGACGGGAATCTGGAGATAGCGGAATCCTGACTTCCTGGCTTGCTGTCTGTAGGAAGGCATTAATTGTTTTTCATTTGCAACAAGCTTCAAGGCAGCTGCATCTTGAAATGTGCTGTACAATATAAGTTATGCGCAAATCAAAAATGTTCACAATCATCTGGCAAAAATGCATACAGCCTTATGGCACTGCGCTAACCGAAAGGAGTATGTCCGACGGCTCCTCGGAGATGCCCAGTACGGCAACTCCGAAAACTGCGAGCAAACGACTTTCAGTCTGCGCTGGCTCGGTTTCTCATCATTATCGAACATTTAATCTCATCCACCAGAAAACGCACCAAGCTTGGTCAAGAAAACGTGGCGCAGATCATTCAAACGCATTGACTCATGTTGACATAGAGGATGTCCGTCGACAACTTCCAGCGCAGCTCATCCTCTGTTTGGAGACTGACAGCTCACTACTGCAGTCCGCCTCTTGACGGAGATACATAAGAACTTTCCGGGGCTACTAGTTAGCGCAATCACGCGGGGGTCAAGCTTAGTCTCATCTCATCTCATCTCATCTCATCTCATCTCATCTCATTTCTCTCTCATTTTATTCCCAGACCCCCTTTCTCCGCAAAGCACTGCCATGGATGGAGATCCTCTGCTTCAGCCCGACCCATCCGGCCCAACCTCGCCGGCGAAATCGCCCGCCCGGCGGCGCAGACCGCCCTTGTCTTGCACCATCTGTCGGCGCCGCAAGCTGAAATGCGACCGCGCGCTGCCATGCGGCCAATGCCTCAAGTCCAAGACCCCTGATCAATGCGTCTACGTCGGACACCAACCCCACAAGTTTGACGCGCGGCGTGGGGAGAATACCCCCTCTGAACGTGCGCGGGCATCCGCCGCCACCAGTCGCGCCAGTCCCGCTCACGGTGGGTTGTATGTGTTCGACTCCAAGCACCATCAGTCGTCGGCGAACAAGATCACCAAGCCCAAGGCGCGCTCCGACGAGCTGCACGAGCTGCGCAACCGGGTGCAGTTCCTGGAGGCCGCGCTCTCCAAGACGGGCCCCATCCACACCCCCGAGAGCCTGGGGTATGACGCTCCATCGGAGGCGGCGGGGCGCGTCGTCGCCCCAGAGGCCCAGAACCTCACGGACGACGTCAAGGAGCTTTCATCGCGATCGTGCTTCCGCGGGAAGAAGAGTCGGACGCGCTACTGTGGACGCTGCCATTCAGCTGTCACTCTGGCCTTTGTAAGTGAGCTGCGCTTTTTTTTTTCTCTCTCTTTTGGAGTGATTGATTGTCCCTGACCTTGTCTCGTGTAGTTCGATGATGTCTCTGTTTTCATGAGAGGGCAGCGCAGTAGCTTGAAGCGCAATCCGGACTACAAGAACTTCAAGAGTTTCAAAGGAGAAATGTGGGCCCGCGAGCGGCAGGACCACCAACGAGCTTTCCGCAACAAGTCTTGGAATCTGGAGGAGATGGTCCCGCCGCGCCATGTTGCTGACGAGCTGGTGAACCTGTACCTATCAACCTTTGAGATGACCTACCGCATCTTACACGTGCCGACTTTTCTGGAGCAGTATGAGGCTTACTGGACAGCGTCGGGCCCACGAGACCGGTGCTTCGTTGCGAAACTCCTAGCCCTGATGGCTGCCAGCAGTTGCTTTCTTAGTCCGACGGCGAAGATCGATGGTCGAGAAAAGCTGCACGATGCCGCCGCAGAATGGATTGCGGGGGTCCGCTCCTGGATTGCCTTGACCCTGGTCAGCTCGACCATTGATTTCAATATCTTGCAGATCGAGTGCCTGATTCTCATTGCACGCCAAGCGGATGCTATTGACGGGGACATTGTTTGGATCTCTTCCGGCTCCCTCATTCGTATTGCGATGACAATGGGCCTGCATCGGAGTCCCTACCGATTTCACAAAATGACCAAATTCTGGGCCGAGATGCGACGCCGGCTCTGGGCCACGATTGTAGAGCTGGACTTGCAATCGTCAATCGACAAGGGAATGCCGCCCAACATCGACCTGGAGGAATTCGACTGCGAGGCCCCATCGAACCTCGATGACTCTCAACTCACGGAAGACATGACGGACGACCCTGTGCCAAAGGATCTGGGGACCTTCACCCGCAGCACCTTTCAGGTTCTACTGCACCAGACCCTGCCGCTGCGGGTGCACATCGCCAAAGCCATCAACACGCTGAAATTCACCCTCTCCTACGACGAAGCACTGCGCCTGAGCGAGGAGATAAATCAATCCATGCAAGAAGGGGCCGGCATATTCCATCGCATGGGAACTGCCATATCCGCTCCGGTCGGTGAGGATCCTTCCTTCGCACAGTCCATGCTGGTGTTCTTGATGCGACGATCGCTGCTCGTGCTCAACCGCCCGTTCGCCCTCAGCATCCTCCGGACCCCGAAGTTCTCCTACTCGCGCAAAATCTGCCTGGAATCGGCGCTGCAGATGCTCTCTTACCTCGAGCCCTCGACGGAGGCGCAACAGGCGCTGCCTCAGCTGGCGCATCTCAGCGGCGGGATGTTCCGCGATGAGTTCCTCCATGCGGCCCTGACGGTGTGCGTGGAGCTGTACCTGCAGTCGTGCGAGTTCAGCCTCCCGCAGTCCTTGCCCATGGGCCCGTCCAGCACGTTGACATCCTTCAATGATCTCGTCCGATCGCAGCAGGAAGTGATGCTGCAGGCGGTGCAGCGGACGATCGACACCTTCGGCAGCCGGATGGGTCCCAGCGGCAAGGGCTGCAAGGCATTTTTCTTTCTCACCATGGTGTTGGCGTCTGTCAAGGCACGGATCAACGGGCAGGACCCGCAGAAGGTGATTGAGCAGGATGTCGTGGTTTGCATGCGGCAGTGCGAGCAAGTGATGCGGGGGACGCCGTGGGCTGCGGTCCGCGACCAGACGGGCAGTTCCGCGATGGTAAGTTGATGAATGGCAACTCTGAATGTCTCCATTGCTAATTGTTTGCAGCCCGCTACCGCTACCAGTCTGCCGTCGCTGGATGCTACAGCCCCGATCGACACCTTTGACCCTGCCTCGTTCGGGCTGGATGCGGTAAGTTGCCTGCATTGGGAGTGTACACGACAGGATGCTGACGAGTGTTTTAGTCGCTTGATTTCGGAAACCTGTTCGACATGGCGGATTTCGGGGTGTCGGAGCTGTGGGATCGAGATTTCTTTGCCAGCTTTTAGTTCTGGGATGGGGTGGGGTTTGCGGCGGGTTCTGGGTAGTACACATAACTATAATGACACTTTTAATTAGTTTATTCTTATGATGGATATCAGCATCACGACTACCCTTCTCAATGAACATATATACCATATGGCGCTTAGCATCCATACCCCCTGTGATGTTGACATACTGCCTGTAAGTAAACTGTATAGGCAACACAAACACTCACCACAGCAGTCTCGGTCGAGCTACCAACTCAGCTCAGAGAAAAAAGAACGAATGACACATTTTCAACCAAAGCACATATATACATCCCTCCCCTCCCATCCACCCCCACCAGAAAAAGCGAATCCCAACAAGAAATCTAATTCTTCAACCCCTCCACCAACTCCTCCACACTCTTCATCTCCCGCGCATTATTCTCCCCCACATCCAACGCCACCAGCACCCGACTCACACAATTATACCCGGCCACCCCCGTCGTCAACTCCACCACCTCGCGGTCACTCAGCCCGCCCGCCCCATCCGCCCGCAGCGCCGCAAACGTCCCCTCCCTGACCGACACGCGCAGCGTCATCTCGTCCGCATACTTGACAACGGCCTGCTGCCTCCCACTCAGCGCACTTCCCCGGAGCGCCGCCGGCGGCGCATCCTCCTCCGCCGTGGAGGCCAACTCCCGCACGGCCTGCAGCTCCGCCGCCTGCACCCCGCCCTTCAGCGCGAGCGGCGCGTGCGCGTTCCACTCGTACACGGCGCCCGTCAGCACCGCCACGCGGCACACGGCCAGCTCCAGCAGCCCCGGGTCGATCACGGTCTCCGTGCGGATCGCCCCCAGGAAGCTGTTCCACCCGTCCGCGACCGGCGGCGAGTGCAGCAGGGAGAGGTCGAGCGGGATGAGCGGCCGCGGCGAGCGGCGCGCCGCGATCCGGGCGTAGATTTCGCTGACTTTGGCCGGGGAGTTGGCTGGTGGGGTTGCGGGGGCGTAGGGGAGGCGCATTTTAGTTGATTTGGAGCTGAGGGGGGGGGTCAGTTTAGGTGAGGTTGGATCTGAAGGAAAGGGGGAGGGGGGGGGACGTACTGTTTTTTTTTGTTGTGGTGTACTACTGTAGGTTGTTGTTTGCGTGGGCAGGGCTTGATGTTGGGTTGGACAGTTGAAGGTGGGCTGCGCGGATGGATAAGGGTAGCGCCGGATGTTAAGTTATATGCCAGGCGGCGGGGGAACATGCATTTCCACCCGGAAACGCGGGTGATTGCGGGGGAGGATGGCCTGAACGGCTAGCCTGTTTGGGAGGGGTGGGGGCCACCGCCGGGTAGGACCAGCTGCCGTCGTTCGGCATGTTGTACCCACTCGTTGCCGAGTGTTCGGCCCGATCTTTTTACTCTGGACTTTCTTTTTCTTTTTTTTTTTTTTTTACATTTGCCCTTCTGATGACTGGTGTGTAGGTCTGGATCCTGGAGGGGTGTGGCGGGTTTTCCCGGATTTTGTGGTATGTATTCTTCCATTTCAAAAAAGTGCTTCGCGCTTGGACTTGCTCTGCGGGTCGTTGCTGGCAGTATGTATACTAAGGGTCTGATGGGTTCAAGGTTGGATGGTTCAAGGTTATTTCAAAAGAATTCTATTGTGGAAGATCCACTTCAATCGGCTGGAATAAACATTCGAGGTATTCATCTCAAAAAGAAAACCACAATCGCTAAAATTTATATACACAAGACATTTTGCACAGGATCCACTCGCTCAGCGTCGCTTTACAACTTCTGGCCCTTGTTGAAGCGCTCGAAGGAGGAAACGGGAGGAGCCGAGTTGGGGTTGGGGTGGTGCTTCTTGAGCGCCATCGTGACGTTGTACTCCAGGTCCAAGGTGGCCTTGGGGTCGTCGGTCTTGGGCTTGAACTCGACGATCAGATCGTTCTTGACGGCGAACACGGAGTCGATGTCAAGGTAAGGATCGGTGGAGGGGTAGAGCTGGTTGATGATGGTGGCGTAGTCGGGGTGGGTGATCATGAGGTGGATGTGCGCGGGGCGGAAGGGGGAGCGGTCCATGAGGTTGAGGAGCACACCGGCGGGTCCGTCGGTGGGCAGCGAGTAGGCGGTGGGGTGGTAGCAGTACCAGAAGTACTCGCCGTTCTCGTTGGTGCGGAACTTGCCGCGGAGGTTGTTCTCGCTCTGCTCGGGGTCCTGGAAGTCGTACATGGCGTTGGCGGACGCCTGCCAGATGTCGAGGACGGCGCCCACAATGGGCTTGCCCGTCTCCATGTCGGTGATGCGGCCGTGCATCCAGGTGACCTGGCCGTTGGGGAGGGGGTTCTGGATGATGCTGTCGCCGAGCTCACGGAAGGGGGCGTTGGGAGACCAGAAGGGTCCAAGGATGACGTTGGAGGTGGGGGAGAGACCCTGCTCGGTGACGATCTTGTTGGCGATCTCGTCGACAAGGCTAGAGAGGTCAGTTTGACTGCAGCGACGAAATGTGATACGTCCGAAAAAAAAAAAAACTTACGACTCGAGACCGATAACATCGCAGATACGGTGGCACTCGTTGCGGATGGGAGTGCTGATCTGGCCGATGGAGTTGATGAACTCAACACCCATCATCCACTCGGCGGGAGTGAGCTCGACCTCACGAGCGAAGTCGTGGATGTGCTTGATCAGAGAGCCCAGAATCACACGAGCACGCTCGGGAGTCTTGGGGCCCATGGCGTTGACGACATAGGGAGTGAAGTTGGGGTCCCAGCGAGGTTCGGCAGACATTTTGGCGGTTGTGTGTGAGGGGAGGAAGTTGTTCAAGGACAAGCTGGGTGATGGGGATGGAGAAGATGGGGAGGAAGAGAATTCAGCGACAGTCTGGAGCACTCGAGGGGTCTATATACACGGTTCAGCCAGGCGTGGCAAGTCTGAATACGGACCGTGACGGCAAATCGTTCGGCTCGTTTGGGGATGTGGGGGGAAGCGCAACGGTAAAACCACTGTTCCCACATGCCGATGCTTTGGAGGATGGCCTGATCGTGCAATTCATGGTCGCATCTGTCGGATCGTCAGCCGAAAGACGGTAGGATCTTATCAAAGTATCCCGAATCTACTTCTTGGTGGGATATAGTGGTCAATGGCACTCCGGGGGTAGCTAAAAATTGCAGCTGTATGGGTAAAACGTTCGATGGGAGTGGTTGCTGCGATCGCGCGCTGGTGATCCCGGGGGAGCTCTTACCCGCTCGTACCCGCGGCTAAGAGCTCAACTCGGCTGACTCAACTCTGCCCCCCGTGATTTTCTTCCCCGGAGTTGTCAATCCCCCCAGCTCGCCCGCGGTTCCTGGCCTCATCGTGATTGCTCGACTTTTGATTGGCCAATGGCCTTCCCGACCACAGATCCGACTCTCTCACGTGACCATCTCCGAAGTGTCTGCCGTCCGGCACGTGCCAAACTTTTCAGAGCCGGATGCGGATAATGAGGCAAAATTTGTCCGCCAGCTGCCGGAGCGGTGCACAAAGACATCTGACCATACTCGCCTCAGGGGAGTCGGCTTCTAATCATGGTAGTAAATTGAATAGCCAGAGGGAAAACCAACTTCCATGCGGATCAAGTACTGCAACGCGCTCACAAAGTCAAAGTTCTTTTCGACTCGACTCGACTCATAAAACACAACCGAACACAAGACATGCTTGCGACAGCTTGTAAATCATTTTGATAAGCAATAAATTTAGACTTGGACTTCATTATCATCTATCTATGTACTTTACAGGCTATTGTCTGCATTTCTAATCATACCAGATGGCGTTCATGCCGAATCCCATCTCAGGGATATCAACCCGAGCCACGCGAGCAAGGTTCTCGTCGCGGAAACGGTAGATCTCGACGAAACCAAGTTGGTCGTCACACAGAGCAAGCCACTCGTCGCTGAAATCGCAGGGGCTGACGGCGTTGGAGTGTCCGCCGCTGGTCGACGTGGGGTGAATGAACAGCTGGCGCTCGATTTCTCCGCTGGGACCCAGCTTGAAGGCTGTGATGTACCCCGTGATATCGAAGGAGTTTCCGCGGGTGGTTGCGAACAGATATTTGCCGCTCTTGGTGGTGAAAGTCACATCACCACGGTACTTGTTCCGCGGGGGAAGACCTATGCTGAATTAGTGTCGATCTCAGAGAGCCTCGAATAGTAAAATATCGAGTCTCGGTGGTTTTGGGGCTGGTTCAGACTTACCGCCAGGAAGCAATGGGTAGGTGATGTGGGTGAAGACTGGCTTATGGGTGCGCTCGTCAATAACGTACACGCCAAGTCGGTTACCCGCCTCCATCAACACATAGAGGTATTTACCGCTGGGGTGCATTTCAACCCAGCGGGGATGGTCACCCGGCGCGGGCGCCTCGAGGCAGTCAACCAACTCCAGCTGTCCCGTGGTAGCATCCTTCTTGTGTGTCCAGATCTTGTTGGCTTGCAGATCGGCCGAGTACAGATATGTCTCCGTGGGATCAAAGACCATGCCGTGGATGCCGGTGTTCGGCTCATACTCGTAGTTCTGGATGTTCTCGCGCAGACTGCCATCCTCGTTGGTGGAGAAAACATTGCCGTAGCCGGCGTATTTGTAGAAGGGGTTGCCGTAGACGTTGTAGGGGGGCTTGTGCGCGGCGAGCACGAAGATCGCACGGGTGTTGGTATCAGCGCTGGCAGCCAATTCTGCGGGAGGGAGATCAGATTTCGCAAGCTTAGACGCAGCAGAGCAGCAATGCCTTACCATGACCAGCGACGGGGTGGGAAGCTTGGTGGACAATGTCGGTAGGACTGTTCACAGCAAAGCTGTTCCACTTCTTCATAGCAGCGCCATAGATAGCTTTTTTGTCGTGCTTTTAAGAATGACTTAGTTTTCCGAGCCAAACTATCAAGGTGGCAGGCAAAAACATGCTTACCGAGAAAGTCATCCAAGAGATAGGCTCCGCCTCGGGAATGTCGGTCTTCTTGACCAAGTCCAGGGTCAAGGCTTCGTCATCGAATGCGACCGTGTAGATGCGTCCTGGAGGGGTCCAGGTACCGACCATGAGATGGTGCTTCATTTTCGTAGGTGGGGTTGCAGTGAAGAGGGAAGCGGAGAATCGATATGTCGGAGTATGACAAAATTGAGCGCTGAAAGAACCAGCAGAGCTCGTGAGAAGGGTGGACGATGCTGAAACGGAGGGTGCTCGAATTGACGACCAGAGACGGAGCATTATAGATCCATCACTTCTGGGACTCGAAGGAGGGGGGAAGAGTATTTCCTAGCGTTGGTTCGGCAGGGAAAAAGTCGAGGCACCGCCGACTCGGGATCTGGAGGCAGCCGAAGCCAGACTAGAGCAATGAATGCGGGGAGCGGCAAAAGATTACGGCACCTTGCGTGCATTGACACCTCAGGCATCTGGATGGAATCTCGAGGCTCAGACATTAGCCTAGGTAGTCATCATTAGCTTAGCACTTAAACATGGCTAGCTTCGGCCTCAGCTACAGTAGCACCAGCATTAGCCTGTCCACCGCTACCACGGCCCTATCACCCATAAGGCAAGGCGGACTGAGCTTCCCCAACACATCATTAATCATTAGTGACGCAGACTGTTTCAAATGTTGACTGGAACAGGGTCCCCAAGGACTGCAGATCTCCGAGCGAAATAAGGGGGAGAAGGGGGCGAAGGGTGCACAGATGTACAGTTGGAGGCGATAGAGCTCCTCATGTAACGGGTACATGCATGTGGGAATAGGAGCTGTGGCCCAGGGCACGTAACCAATATCCTAATCAGGATAACAACAAATGCCTCCTCCAGGTTTTCGGGAGGGAAGGCGGAGTGATGGACATTTAGACACGGAGTAGAAAATTCCAGTTGCTGCCCCAGGCCAATCAGGCTGCCGCGGGCAGCGCAAAAGGCGGGGTTCCCTTCCCCGACTAACGCCATTCATGATCTCACCTTCCCTGCTTCCATCCAACTGATTGTACTGATTGTCATACAGCCCTGGTCTTAACTCCAACTGATCGCTGCCGTTTCATCAGACCTACGACATCAGTGCGAAGACATGGCAGCCCAGACCAGTGTCAACTCCGACGGTTTGTTCCTTTTATTTCCGTCCCTCTTCCCAAGCTCCGACCGACCTTTCACACCACCCCTCGTGTACTACCTCCAGCCAGCTTATACCTCTGGCGTTTCCACTAATTCCATTTGCATATCTCTTCTCCCAAGTAACGTACTTAATAACCCTATTTGCTAATATCTCCAATGTCGACCTCTGTAGCTACCGCGACCTCGGAGCTCCAATCCTCTCTCCGTGAGCTCGCTCTCAACACCAAAAGTCCTGTGAAAGACATTGCGCGCCCGTCATTACTCCCTCACTCCGCCCTCATGAAGAAGAAAGCTGCCCCCGTGGCAGATTCCTGGGAAGATGAGGTAGACGAGAGCGCCTCCGAGCCCGACGAGCCGGACAACAACCCCGTGCTGTCGCCGTCAATCCGCGCCTCCGAAGACCCTCTCGACCCTCCCCCTACCCCGCTCTCTCCGCAAACAACCTTAAACCAGCCATGGCCCTCCTACGGCAACGCCGGCTTCATGCCCCGATCATCAGACTCCAAATCTCCAGTGTCGGGCCGCCGGCCGGAGAAGCAGACGGCGGTAGCGAACCGAATGATCGCAGGCGCACTGGGTATTCGAGCCCCGAAGCGCACGGAAGAGCAGCGGGCATACGATCGAGCGGTGAAAGAGCAGGAGATCAAGCGGAGAAATAAAGAGCGCGAGGAAGCCGCGAAGGCGAAGGAGGAAGAGGAACGCGCGAAGGCGGCTGTATGGGATGCATGATTGCTTTCAAGACTTGAACTCTGTTAATATAAGGCGTTTACATTTGATGTATTTTGATAACACACTACGCTAATCAAACCCACATATCCTATTTCAATTGCTCGTTGCTGAAGCTTAGGTAGATGGGGAGTACCTACTGAGTAGCTTAGGTAGATGAGGAGTACTTACTGAGTTAGGTAGATGGGGAGTACCTACTGAGTGGGCTCGCGCACAGCGCCCAACATGAAATGTGTAAGCGATTGAGGGCTCAGAGGTAGGCTGATATGGAACGATTTCTTGAATTCTTGGGGGTTCTTGGCTTGTTCTTGGTGGTTGGAACTAGCTACGTTCTCCTCACGTAAACAAGAGGTGAAGGCCTTATCACGTAGGCTGGATTGCTCGGAAAAACCAATATATTGCATATCACAGGTAAATCTAGCAGCGACTAGCAGTATCGTGCCGGACTGAGCTTCCATGTCAAGATACTGGATTGGAGAATGAATCTGTCTCTTCATGTTCCCTCCCTGGCCACGAACATTACAATTCACCAAGATTTTCGAGAAATATATAAACATCATACTCCATGGATACTCGTGTCGGATTTATGATCGAGTAACTAAAGCAGGGAGAATCAGTATAGAATCATACAAGACCTCACTAAACATATCGGTTGAGTTTTAGACGATGTTTGTTGTAGCATTGGAGGCCAGGGAGGGTTCTTCATTCACTTGATCTTCCCGTGGTTCTCTCAATGTTAATGTAGAGCATGATGGACTGCTCTTCTATTATCCGAGTAACACGGGCATAGCGAGGCAGACACCCTGGTCTGAACCGGTGCCTGGAGTATCAATTCAATCCTAATTGATTGCTGTGTTTCTGCTCTAGGACTATCTACCAACTGAGCATAAAACTCTCCACCTCTGCCTGCACGCTTCTTCATCAATCAACACTAGAGCACGAAGTACACAGTCTGATTGGTTGTTACAATTCCTCCAATATGTTCATAAGCAATCTCAGACTACTCATTTCGACTCGAAGATGGAGCAGAAAGGTCAGTCACTTGTGTTTCAAAGGCAGCAGAGGATATACTGACTTCGGCATAGAGTCTACCAAGACCGGTATTGGGACAGGTACTGGTACTGCAACTGGTACTGCAACTGGCAATGAGACTCGCTCGCACGCCGTCTGCACTCAGGAGCAAGTCCGTTATGAGTGCGGACATTCGAAGGATGGACGTTTTATCAAGTGCAAGAAACATAAGGGAAAACCAGACTTGAGATGCCACAGCGGGAAGTTGGACTATGTTGATACAGAATGGTCGTCACACAAATGCCGCTGGTGTCTGGATAGCGACTGAGAAGCTATGACGATGCTGTGTGAGTGTACAGGCCCTAATTGATCCATGAGACAAGTCTAACTCATCAGCGCGTAAAGACATCACGTCGTCATCCGTGCTTTCTGCCTCTCCCAGACTCATCCCTCAGGTTGACCTCAAGAACATCTACCTCCCTGGAAGCTGCTTCCGAGTCGACATCGGCTAGCGCAACTGTGGATTCAAAGTCGAATACATGGGCACCCTTATCGGTGATGAGAAAATTGTATCTATTGGTGTCCCCATGAATAAAGCCGAAGGCATGCAGTAGGCGAATTGTCCTCGTACACTCCTCAAGATTTCGTATGTCCGGTGGATACCCTGGAATATCCTCCATAAGAAAGCCGACGGTCCGTTCCCTTGTATCCTCATAAGCATACCCAATAAAGCGCGGGGCGAGTGGAAAGCCGGATGCAGAGAGCTCGGAGTAGATAGCGACCTCCTGCTGTAGGTACCGAATCTCATGTTTGAACTGCGCGATCTTCAGAATCCATATTTCGCCATCGCCCTTGACTCGAAACACGCGAGCACCGATCCGAGAAACCGTTGACAGGTCTGAGATATTGTAAAACTTAGCTGTAAAAACGTCGAGCTTTGCGAGATTCAGTCCATGGGGCTTGAATTCGTCGAGAGTGCTTTCAAGGCCGTGAGCGCCCCTTCGCACTGTGATTGTTGTCCATTCTTCCTCCCACCGTGGGACTTTCCGCAGGTGCAGAAGGCTTCGGTAGCTATCCGTTCTGTAGTCGGGTGGAATAACATCTCCATCGAAGATCCGCGCATAAACTATGCGGTTACCCTTCCGGATTCGATAGAGATAGTCATTTTCCTCGAGATCTAGACACAGTACTTCTTCCTGCATTTATGAGAAAACGTTGAGTTAACGAGATACGCGTCAAGTTGACTCACATCCGGATAAGCTACCACAGTGGGCTGGAGTGAAGACGCAAGTGATTCAGTGTCGTTAGAGTCGCTATTACTGGACGACATGGTGGGCTAAATTCGATGCATAGTTCTAGAATGGATCAACTGATAAGGTGCAGTGGCTGAGGTGGGTTTGTTGACGATAAGGATTGGGTTACAGTAACCATGAAAACCAGCACTAGCTATATCTAGTTAGTCGCACAGTAGCATAGCTAATGTAATCATTTGTTCCATTTACACAAGTGCTGACATCATCACTCTTCGAGCCAGTTGTCTAGTGAGCCAATCACACAAAGAGACCAGACGCGGGAAAATGCACCAAACTGGCTGGCTGCTTCCTAACGTTCCCGAGTCTGTGGCACTGACCTCTATTCCAGCCGTGGTGCTGCAGGGAACTAATTTAGTTTGCAGGCGCGAGCAATTTGCATTCTGCAACAACCTGGCTAAATTAGTGCCTGGAAATCTCACTTTTCCAATGACTGGCAGATTGCTCGAGGAGATCGCATCCGGTTCCACTTCGACCATTGCTTTGCAACCGACTAGACCCGCCGATCGGAGGCCCATGCCAGCTCCTATGTGGGGAAGAAAGGCCATCGACTCCATTCAATCCATTCAACGCCCCTGGAACTGGAGACTACTCAACCACTAAATCTCACTAAAATACGCCATTTGCCAGTGAGCATGGAAAAGCTGAAGTTTGAGGCAAGACAAAATGGCTTCGACATCCACGGGTACGTGGGTACGCCGCTGCTTGGCAAACTTTAATACATTTCGTCTCCTGCCTCTCCCTGCCGTGCCCCGGAAGTTCAAGCTCTGACCCCTCAAATAACGGGGGCCTTCTCCTGTCGCTCCTTTCATCATCATCACCATATTCATTTCCCTTCTTCCCTTTACCCCCCCTCCTCATAGTGAAGCTGCTTGCTCACCATCCACAGCATCCAGCAATGGCAGGCAAGCAGCATTCTCCAACGGCCTCGTCCGCCACGTCTAGTGCGGACGGACTGGCCGATCCCGGAGATTCACAATTACTTGGTGAGTACTCCGTAATTCGCCGCCTCATTATGCCGATAGCAATCGGCTCACGATGCCTCAGCCACCCTCGGGTACAAACAGGAACTTCGTCGACAATACTCCACGGTCCAGATCTTCGCTGTCGCATTTAGTATCATGGGTCTGGTGCCCTCGATAGCGTCCACCCTCGCCTTCAACTTACCAGCTGGCCCCGCGGCAATGACATGGGTAATTTCACCCAACTCGAGCGACATGCTCATTGCAGGATCCGAAATCGCTAATTATCCTAGGGCTGGCTCGTTGCAAGTCTCTTCATCTTCTGCGTAGGATTAGCATTAGTATGCACTCCGTGATATTGTTGCTGGGAGCGCAGCTAACGCCTCCATCTTGCTCCAGGCCGATATGTCGTCAGCTATGCCCACAGCCGGTGGGTTATATTGGTGGACTCATTACTTCGCAGGCCCCAAATATAAGAATGCATTAAGCTTTTTGGTGGGATACAGTAACACCATGGGGCTAGTCGGGGGGATGTGTTCGGTAGACTGTGAGCAGATATGGGTTAACCATGAGTCGAGACATTCGCTTACAGGACGACAGACACACTTACGCTCATGATTCTTGCCTGCGTCTCTATAGCACGCGACGGTGCATGGTCAGCCTCGAACGGTGTCATCTACGGTGTATACGTTGGCCTCATTCTTCTTCACGCCTTATGCGGCATTTACACGGGCCCCATCATGCCCCGGATCCAGACATTCTGCATTTTCATCAACATCGCCATTATTATCGCCACTGTCATTGCTCTGCCTGTGGGCAAGGTCGCTAACGGTGGAACACTCAACCCTGGCAGCTGGGTCTACGGGCATGTGGATAACCTGACGACATGGCCGAAGGGATGGGCCTTCATCCTCGCATTTCTGGCCCCAATTTGGTCCATTGGATTCTTCGACTCTTGCGTGCATATGAGTGAGGAAGCTTTACATGCTGCGAAGGCCGTGCCCCTAGGAATCGTCTGGTCATCGGGCTGTGCATGCGTGCTGGGATTCTTGGTGCTGAGTATCATTGCCGCCGTGATGGACCAGGATATTAGCACAACATACGATTCCATATACGGACAGCCCATGGCGCAGGTCTATTTCACAGCGCTTGGCAAGAAAGGAGCCTTGGGGTTCATGGGAGTGCTGATCGTGATCCAATTCTTGATCGGGCTGAGCTTGGTACGTCTGGATAAAGCCTTTGCTTGGTTTGCGTCTTCTAACAATAGACATAGATTGTCGCCGCTTCTCGACAGGCCTGGGCGTTCTCTCGAGACGGTGCCCTGCCATTTTCAAATTACTTTCGCCACGTGAGCAAGCGCATTCAGTATCAGCCGGTACGGGCGATGTGCGGCTTCGTAGCTGTCTGCATTGTCTTCGGTTTACTATGTTTGATCAATTCCGTCGCCGCCAACGCGCTTTTCTCGCTCTTCGTGGCCAGCAATTACGTTGCCTGGGGCACCCCAATTCTTTGCCGGTTGATCTGGGGTAAAGAGCGGTTCCGTCCGGGCGAGTTCTACACCGGGTGGTTCAGTCGACCGATCGCAACCGTGGCCGTGGTGTGGTTGATCTTCGGTTTGATTTTGTCAATGTTCCCTAGCACAGGCCCGAATCCGAGCCGTGAGTGTCTCCCTCTTCCCAGCAAGGATGGTTGACTAATGATGATGATATAGCTTCGGATATGAATTACACGATTGTGCTTAACGGTTTCGTCTGGGTCGCTTGCATGACGTACTACTTTCTGTTTGCTCGCAAGTGGTACACTGGACCCAAAATGACTGTTGACGGGGTTGACTCTCGGGTGGAGAACGACAGCAGCCGGCCAGGGTGCAAAGACCCTCCTTCTGCCTAGCATTTGATCTGGTATATAGAGCTGTGTTTAAAAAAAACATGAAGGATAGATGAAACATAGATTTGGAGCAATTAGACATTTCTATATCTAATTTGTCATGTGTTTTTCAGCCAGTATCTTGGAGTACCTCGGTCCTTCATCCGATTCGAATTTAATAAGAAATGGTGGTGTTTGGTTGCAGTAGATGGGTGTTGCTGGCGCGGTCTTGCGTTTTTGCTCGGTCATGATACAGCGCATAGTTATATATCCGTGCGAACTTCATAACGCGGCCATCTGAGCTTATAATGATGACGCATCCTAACATATACAGTACCCACCTTCTCCCGGCATGGGATCCAATTACCTCGACTAATTGAGCGTTGTAATAACAGACATCACTTGTGCTCGATGCACTGTGACCTGACTGGGAAGACGAGCCCCGACTGATGCCTGAGGCACTACTTCATCAACTCCATGCTGACTCATCTCCCAAGTTGGGTTATCGGATTAATTACGTATCGCGCGTTTCGAGGATGCATGTCCAAGTTATAGACAACCTCTACCGACTGACAGAAATCTCCCCTCCTATACCAGTAAATATGCTCTCCAGGGTTTTGTTCAAGAGAGCCGGAGCCAGCCAGCGCCCAGCGGGCCTCGCGCGCCTGTTCTCCTCCACCACCCAGCGGATGGACCCCGATCTGTCTTACCAAGTCTTCAAGCCCGAGAAGGACGAAGTAAGCCGGGGCCCGATCATCTTCCTGCACGGCCTGTTCGGCTCGAAGCAGAACAACCGGAGCATCAGCCGGTAAGCCAACCCTGCGTGTTATGTGGTAGCGGATGACTGACAATGAAACTGCAGCGCATTGGCCCGCGACCTCAAATGCGAGGTCTTCACCGTGGTATGCATGCATGTGCCCTGCTTATCTTGAGTCGCGTTGGGGTTTATGTCCTCCAGACGGCCTTAACTCACAGGCTAGAGGTTCTGATTCTGATGTTCTTGGTGGTGTGGCTAGGACCTCCGAAACCACGGCCACTCGTTCCACGCCGAGGAGCACAATTACTCCGTAATGGCGGAGGACGTGGTCCAGTTCATGCAGCAGTTGAAGCTGGAGAAGGCTGCGCTGATCGGGCACTCGATGTATGAACTTGCCCCCCCCCCCTGCCAGCCCCACTCTATTCGAGAGTCTTTTTTTTTCCTGAAAAGAAACTGACACCTTGGTCTGTTGTGAAGGGGCGCCAAAGCCGCAATGACCGTCGCCCTCGAATCCCCGCGTCTCGTCTCGGCACTGGTCCCCGTGGACAACGCCCCGCGCAACGCGCCCCTCAAGAGTGACTTCGGCAAGTACGTCCGTGGAATGCAGGAAGTCGAAGCCGCCAAGGTGACCAAACAGTCCGATGCCGATAAGATCCTGAAGGAGTATGAGGAGGTATGCCTGCCGTTTTCCCGCGCCCCCGCACACACAATCCCCTACTCCCCTTGCCCCCAACATAAACCACAATCTAACCAGAGGAGAAAAGTCCCTCCCCATCCGCCAATTTCTCCTCACGAACCTGGTCCGCTCCGAGGAGGACCAGACCATGAAATTCCGCGTCCCGCTCGCCGTCCTCGGCGAGTCGCTGGTCGACATGGCCGACTTCCCGTACGCGGAGCCCGGCGCGAAGCAGTACGAGGGGCCGACGCTCTTCGTCCGCGGCACGAGGAGTCGCTACGTGACCGACGATGCGATCCCCGCGATCAAAGCGTTCTTCCCGCAGGCGCGGATCGCGGATGTTGAGGCGGGCCATTGGTTGATCTCCGAGAATCCGGAGGCGTTTAGGCTTGGTTTGTTTTGCCCCTTCCTTTCATGGTCGGTGTTGGGGCTTGAGCTAATATTGTTTGTGTTTTAGCGGTGGTTAAATTCTTTAAGGAGTTGGATTAGGCTCAGTGTTTGAACAGGTTGGGGGTGCAGGTGTATATAGGTTGGGTCTGGGTTTGGGAGTAGATTCGTGCGCGTGATAGAGCTAGAGCTAGAGCTAGAGCTAGAGCTAAAGGTTGGTTGCATGTATAAAAGATTTCTTTCTTCAACATGTTTCAATAGAATGGTATCATCATCATTGGTTGTTCTTCAGTAGATAAAACATGCAGGAGGCGATAGATAGTAGGAAATTGTATATAACACAGGAAAAAATCTTGCTTTTGGTCTTGCAAAAGAGAAATTCGCCGAACTCAAAACCAGGGAGATATAAGAACCGAACGAGTCCCCAGGCTCACCCTGACAAGAAAGACCAGATTACAATCCTGTAGGATGGAGGAGCTAATAAGACATAATCGTAGAAGATGGGGGGTTAGTTGGAATAGAAGTTACAACCCACGGCGTGACGTTTAGTCGAGGGCATCGGTAATACAGCCGTGGCTGGCGTCCTTGACAAGTCTAGGGGACAAGCATTAGTGAGAATCCTTGATTGATGGAATGTTTCAGAAAAGAGTATACGTACCTAGCGTACTTGCCAAGAGTTCCGCGGAGGGTCAGACCAGTAGGAGGCAGCTTGCCGGCAGTCTTATCAGCCTCCCACTGCTGTCTTCTCGAGGCCAGCTCTGTGTCGTCGACATCCAGATCGAGGACACGCTTCTCAGCGTCGATGGTGATCACATCACCGTCCTTGACCAGACCGATGGGACCGCCGACGGCGGCCTCGGGGACGATGTGGCCGATGAGGAATCCGTGAGAACCGCCGGAGAAGCGTCCATCGGTGATCAGGGCGCAGGAGTTACCGAGACCGGCTCCCATCAGGGCGGAAGAGGGCTTCAGCATTTCTAGAGGACATATGTTATTAACGAGGTCCCGAGAGCGTCAAAAAGAGGCACCGGTTGTAATCACTTACCAGGCATGCCAGGGCCTCCCTTGGGACCGCAGTAGCGGATGACAACAACAGTTTTATCCTCCTTCTTGATCTCATTGCGCTCGAGGGCGGCAATGAAGTCGTCCTCATCATCGAAGACGCGGGCCTTACCGGTGAAGACGAGACCCTCCTTACCAGTGATCTTACCAACACTGCCACCAGGGGCCAGAGTACCCTTCAAGATCTGGATGTGACCGGTGGGCTTGATGGGGTTGGACAAGGGACGGATGATCTTCTGATCCTCGGGGAAGTCGGGAACCTTCTCCAAGTTCTTGGCCAGGGTCTGACCGGTAACAGTCATGCCGGATCCATCAATGATACCCTCCTTGAGCAGGAACTTGAGCAGGGAAGGAGTACCACCGATGTTGTGCAGATCGGCCATGACGTACTTGCCAGAAGGCTTCAAGTCGGCCAGGAAGGGTGTGCGGTCGGAAACAGCCTGGAAATCTTCGATGTCGAGCTTGATGCCAACGGAGTCCGCGATGGCGATCAAGTGGAGAACAGCGTTGGTGGAGCCACCGGTGATGTTGACGACAATCATGGCGTTCTCGAAAGCCTGACGGGTCAGGATATCGCGGGGGCGGATGTCCTCCTTGAGAAGAGTCTTGATGGCCTCACCGGCTGCGAGACACTCAAGATACTTGGCCTGGGACTCGGCAGGGTTGGAAGAGGAACCGGTGAGGGTCATACCCATGACCTCGATGGCGGTGGCCATGGTGTTGGCAGTGTACATACCACCGCAAGCACCGCCACCAGGGCAGGCGTTGCGGATGATGTCGAAGCGCTCGGGCTCGGTGATCTCCTTGCTCAAGAACTGTCCGTAGGCCTGGAAGGCGGAAACAATGTCGATATCCGCGTTGTTCTGCATGGAGGCGCAACCGGGCTTGATGGTGCCTCCGTAGACCATCAAACTGGGCCGGTTGACTCTGCCCATCGCCATCAACACACCGGGCATGTTCTTGTCACAGCCGGGAATGCTGATGTTGGCGTCATACCACTGACCGCCCATGACCGTCTCGATGGAATCCGCAATCAGGTCACGGCTCTGCAGGGAGAAGCGCATACCCTTGGTACCCATACTGATACCGTCACTGACACCGACGGTGTTGAATTGGAAACCAACCAGTCCGGCCTTCTGAACACCCTCACGGACACGGTTGTTCAGGTCCATCAGGTGCATGTTGCAGGGGTTACCGTTGTACCACACAGACGAAATTCCAACCTGAGCCTTGTTCATGTCCGCCTCGCTGAGACCAGTGGCATACAACATCGCCTGGGAGGCACCCTGCGAGATGGGCTGGGTGATATGGCGGGAGACCTTGTTGAGGCCGGCATCCTTGTCGTCGGCGTTCTGGTGTCTGGGGAGGGTAGTGGACAGCGAGCGGCTACGTATTGCAAAGACATGAGTCAGTATGTGTCCACTATCATGCAAAGAGCTAGACAACAATGGTATCACTCACCTGTTCAAAGAGCGCTGGCTGAGGCTCCGGAGAGCGGCGGGCATACGCCCGCGGGTCTGTGAGAGAAGCATTGCCGAATCGAGAGCACGCAACTCACGGGGTATCAAACGGAAGCTTGATTGAGAGGAGAAGGGTCGGGGTGAGGGGTAGGAGAGAAGTTTAGAAACCCTGGGCCATAACACAAACAGGAATAATATAAGGGAGCACCCGGAGGTCAAGCAGAGAGTCACACACAGCTGGGAAAAATGGGCCGGGGGGGCCTCCGCAGCGAAGTCGGGGCCGGAGTTGGACAGATTCTCCCCGCCATCCAATCCTTGCCCATCGTTTGTCAGCCATTACCCAATCATCGGCGCGGCTGGGATGACTGAGCTGAGCTGAGGCCGGTCTCGACTGCTTTTTCTGGGGAGCTACCTCCAGCTAGCTGTCTTGGGTCTAGTGTACCGGTATATCAGTTCCACCGCTTCCGACACAGCTGTGATGACTGCCAGCCAGGTCACGGTACGCTTGCCCCAAACAGGCCGAGGTTCTTGCCGCCGCGCTTTAGTAGCTCTCTGTAAAACTGACGCCCGTTGTGGTGATACTTACTTGTCTTCCCTCAAACAATTTTGTTGTATGCTCCTTTAGAATTCTTGATCTTCTCAGACCACTAATGAGTCTGTTTTCTCCTGGCTACAATTTCATAATACCCTATAATCTTGCTGGAAAATACACATTGCCTTGCTCCCTGCGCAGAATGATGCTCTCGTGCGACCAAGTGTATACAATAAATTACCTACAACCAGCTTCAAGTTCATCGAGCCAACCATGACAAGATAGTACTAAATGCGACATGAATACAATCAATCTTTCTGTACTCGACCTCGGAAACCTATTTGTAAGGTCATGTGGCATCAGTGGCGAGCTCAAGTGTTACACTGTGCACCGTCGTCTGGAAGAAGAACAGTAACAATCTCCCACCTGATCAAAGAGGATCTTGTGAGCTTTGAACTAAAGGCTTTCTCTGAGGACTAGCCTAGTCATTTCCTGAACGTTGTTGTGGTCAAATTTTAATTGGAAGCATTACTGCCTTCCTTGATATCGCAAGCAAGGGAACGCGGCAGGAATGCAGTTGGTATGCAAGCCCTGCAGCACCCTTGCCATTAGCCAGGAACCGACTTCTACGCGTTTACTCTGGTCTGCCTTCTTGTCTATTCTGTCGCCCCTATCCCCTCACCTTTGTCGACAAATCGCACCTCCCGAGGTGCTGAGGTTTCATGCGGGATGACATTCAGTCGCGAAATGGCGTCTATTGTGCTTGATGCCTTGGGTGTTTCGCTAATAACTGTTTGTACAGTACCAGCTTTGATCACGATAATCCGTCGCTTTCAGGAACCGAAAATCGATAGTGCATCCGATTCACCAGACACGTCTGAGACGCCACTGTTCGGTCTGTCGAGGTATCAAGATGAGGACGGAGAAGCCACACAAGGGTCACTGGAAGCATTCACAGCTTCGTGGCAGCGAGTCGCTATAGTACTCTTATCGGTCCTTGGGTTTGGGGTATCATTGTCGCAGGCTATCATTTCAATTGAATCGGGTCAACGCCAATATGTTATTCCCTTCTGGTTGCAGATGGGGGGATGGGTACGTCCTCAATCATTATTAGCTCACTAGCATAGCTCGGGTCTGTTTTAACAATTGATAGATGGTACTTTGTCTACAAGCCGCCAGTTTCTTCCTCGAATCGGCACCGGTCAAACGATATGTTCTCGGAATGTACGCGTCTGCGGCTAGCTGTGCCATGATAATGATGCCATGTGTGGATTTTGGGCTTCTTTGGCGCTCTGGAGAGTTTGATGAATTTGGCCGCTTATCCACGAGTCTCATGACGAGCCAGATTGGCCTTGCCTGTTTACGAGGTCTCTTCTGCGTCTTGATACCCAGGCGTCCCAACGTATATCACCAAGGACAGGTGGTAGACCAAGAAAAGAGCGTAAGCATCTTGGGCAGAATAACGTTCAGCTGGGTCAACGGTCTCTTGCGATTTGTGGCGACGAATAAGACTCTGGAACTGGACGACCTCCCAAGATTGCCATTAAGCGCTCGTGCTCAAACTCTCCATGCAAGGCTTGAAAGGATGCGCAACTCTCGGGAGCTGTGGAAGGCGCTTATACTGGGACACATCCGGCCTCTCATGCTACAAGGCACGCTAAGTATAATTCAATGTCTGCTTGGGTTTGGACCTCAGGTAGCTTTGTTTGGGATACTAAAGTCACTCGAGGATCGTTGTTCTTCTCCGGGGGACGCAAACTCAACATGGGTCTGGGTTCTTGGGCTGGGAGTAGTCCTCGTTCTGTCTTCCAGCATTGAATCATGGTTATGGTGGATCATTTATTCTCAGTTATGGATTCCGATTTACGAAGGAATCTCAGCTCTAGTGTTTGCCAAATCATTACGGTGCAAGGACGTGAAGCAGCTAAGCCACTACAGTGAAGCAGACGAAAAGGATGATGACGCCGAAGAGACAGAAGACTTGGAGCAACAAGGAAGCCGCCAAACTGTTATCAATCTGGCTACCGTGGACTCCAAGCGCATCGCTGACTTTGTCATGTATAACTACCTGATTCCATCTTGCATTCTTCGACTGGTCATGGCGTCTGCCTTTCTGGTTCAATTGATCGGATGGAGAAGTTTACTGGCTGGTGGTGTTGCGGCAGTTCTGGTGACACCGATGAACACCCACTTGACCAAGAAATATTCGGCAGCCCAGCAAGATTTTATGAACGCTAGCGACAAACGAATGAGTGCGGTAGCGGAAGTTCTACATGGCATACGACAAATCAAGTTCTCAGCTCTGGAACAGCAATGGCAGGATCGAGTGTCAGAAAAACGCCGTATCGAGCTCAAGTACCTATGGAAGACATCCCTATACACCACTGGCATGGTTTCTGTCTGGATTATGGGACCGCTCTTATTGTCTGCAGTGTCTTTGACCGTGTACGCGCTGACTCATGGCGAATTATCTGCGTCGGTAGCATTCACGGCACTTTCTGTCTTTGGATCTCTAGAATCTGCTTTGGCGAGCTTGCCTGATCTAATGTCCAAAGCAATGGAGGCTAAGATTAGTGCTTCTCGCATTGATCAATACTTGAACTCGGCAGAAAAAGCTCCCTATACATCTGATGTTGACAAGATATCGTTCGACAACGCCACGATTGCATGGCCGGCACAGGATGACGATGACGAGCAATCTGATTGGGAAGATGAAGAGCGATTTTGCCTTCGCAACCTTAACATTCGATTTCCGCCTAAAGGATTGAGTGTCATTGCTGGCAAGACTGGCTCCGGAAAGAGCTTGCTTTTGGCCTCAATCCTAGGGGAATGCGATGTCTTGGGTGGAATGGTGGCCATTCCGCATAGCCCACCGTCTGCTGAACGATTTGATGAGAGAGCAACACGTCATGACTGGATTATTGACACAGCTGTGGCTTATGTGGCCCAGAACCCATGGATGGAGAATGCGACAATCAAGGATAACATTCTTTTTGGTCTCCCTTACGATCGCTACCGATACCGCAAAGTCCTCCGTGCTGTTGCATTGCAGAAGGATGTAGATATGCTACCCGATGGTGACTATACGGACATTGGTGCTAATGGGATCAATCTTAGCGGCGGTCAGCGGTGGCGTATATCATTCGCGCGTGCTCTATACTCGCGAGCAGGAATACTGATTATGGATGATATTTTCAGCGCGCTTGACGCTGAAACAGGACGTCACCTTTATGAGCGTGCCCTGACAGGAGAACTCGGTCAGAATAGGACTCGGATTCTCGTCACCCACCATGTGGGTCTTTGCCTGCCTCGGACAGATTATTGTGTTCTTCTTGCGGATGGAATCATGATCCACGCCGGGACGAAGGAGGAATTGGCCGTGACCCAAAATCTGGCCGACTTTCTGGATCAGACTGCCGAAACAACAGTGCCTGAAACCCCAACCGAGGTGCAGGGACCCAAAGTATCATCGAAGCGTGTGTCCACGAACTCGCGAAAGTCTACGAACTCGCGTCTCTCGACGGCCACCAGCATTCATACCCTCAGGAGGTTTACTGAAGATGAGAAGCGTGAGAGGGGGGCTGTTTCTACCAAGGTCTACGTTGCGTATCTGACCAAGGGAAACTGTCTCCGTCTTTGGACAGTGGTCTTCCTGGCGTACAGCGCTTTCATGGCTCTTCTAGTCGGTCGGGTATGGAATTCCTGATAACTCACAAATCCCTGGTTCTTGATAGCTAACAGCACTAGTCCTGGTGGGTCAGCGTCTGGACAAGTGCGTCCACCCCATCGTCTGATGAAACAAATCTCGCACGTGTTCGCGATGACACCAGGAGCCAAGTCTGGACATTCGAAGCCGACGAGGATTTGATGTTCTATCTTACCGTGTATATTGGCTTCTCTGTCGCCGCATGTATAGTGGGCACAATCCGCACATTAGCTCTCGCATTCGCTTCGCTTGAATCCTCCCGTCAACTATTTAATGATCTACTGTATACCGTCCTGAGATCTCCTCTGCGATGGCTGGATACCGTGCCCACTGGTCGCATTCTCAACCGGTTCACATCTGACATCAACATCCTTGACTGGAGGCTTGGATACGACATTGGCCACCTTGTTTACAAAATCTTGGAGTTGGTAGGTATTCTCGCTGCCGGACTGCTAGTCTCACCTCTTCTCCTGGTGTTCGCTTGTATTCTGCTTGCTCTTTGTTTTCAACTGTCGAGGATCTATCTGGTTGGCATGCGAGAAATCAAACGATTGGAAAGCACCTCAAAAAGCCCGGTTTTGGAGCGTTTTGGATCTACCTTGGTCGGACTTGGGACCATTCGTGCCTTCCACAAGACAGAGGTATACATCAAAGACATGTATGCTCGAATTGACCGACACGCACAAACAGCCTGGTACCTTTGGCTCCTGGATCGTTGGCTTGGTATCCGGATGAGTATTGCAGGCGCCCTTCTGTCAACGATTACAGCGGCGCTAGTCGTGTACATCCCCCACATCACCCCTGCGCTGGCAGGCTTCGCCATGAGCTTCGCGTTACAGTATAACTATGCCGTGGCCATGGGACTGCGCTTCTACGCGAATGTGGAAACAGATATGAACTCGACTGAGCGTGTGCTGGAATACACTGGTATTGACATGGAAGACCAGGGTGGTGTAGAGCCACCTGCCGCTTGGCCGACTCGTGGAAGAGTAGATGTCGAAGATCTTGTGGTGGGATATGCGCCCGATCTACCTCCAGTGCTCAGCGGGCTCAACTTCAGCCTGGAGCACAACCAACGCTTGGGGGTGGTAGGACGTACCGGGGCTGGAAAATCCTCGCTAACATTGGCGTTGTTCCGCTTCTTAGAGGCTCGGCGTGGTCGGATTTTCGTTGATGGTCTGGACATCTCACAGATCAAGCTCCAGGCTCTGCGGAGCCGTCTTGCTATCATTCCACAGGACCCCGTGCTCTTTTCGGGCACCTTGCGGTCGAACTTGGATCCATTCCACGAACACACTGATATGGAGCTCTACAACGCGCTAGAGCGAGTACACCTCGTCTCGTTCGAGGATACCCTGACTTTGGCCTCACATTCCAGCCACGAGCCCTTCAGTGACAGCAGCACATTACCATCCTCGTCTGCCTCTTCGACCACAGGCCCTCTCAAGACGGTGAATTTCTTTGCTTCCCTCTCATCAATGGTCTCTGAGGGTGGTCTCAATCTTTCCCAAGGGCAGAGACAGCTTCTCTGTCTTGCTCGAGCCATTGTCTCCCAACCTAAAATCATGGTTCTGGACGAGGCAACTTCCGCCGTGGATATGGAAACCGAGGCCCTGATTCAACGGTCAATTCGGGAGGAATTCGGACGAAACGCGACATCTCTTCTTGTCATTGCACATCGCCTCAGCACCATTGCTGATTTCGACAAAATCCTGGTTCTAGACGCGGGCAAGGCGGCTGAATTCGGTACACCACAGGAACTGATGACTATTGAGGGGGGTGTATTTCGAAATCTGGTGCAGAACAGTGGGGAGAAAGCAGTGTTGGAAGAGATGATTTGGGGAAAGGAGAGAAAGGGAGTATAAACTGACTGGATTCATTAGCGTGGCGTGATGTTCAAGGTTCAGGTTGCAAGCTGTACATAATTCTTAAGTTCAATATAATGACCACTTGAAATGAGACTGGCTTGTAATGACAGGACGAAACGGGCGGGTGGAGAGCCAACGGGGTTAAGTTTAGCTCCGGCTTCCTCCACCCATAAAACCCCCGGCCGGATCCAGCCTGGGTTAGACTTGAATCTTGGATCCTTCTCTCTGAACTTCTTATCTTTCAACTAACCTTAAATCAGCCATTGCATTGTTGCACTATCGCGGGTTCGATTTCCACACCATACCATCATACCGCCACCGTCGAGGATCCTTACTTCATACCTTGCCAACTGGATGGGGTCGGAATCGGAAATGCAGCTGGTGAAGGAAGAGCGCACTGGCGCTGCTATCTCGATCGTTACGGCCAATTCCGAGGTGGACCCTGAAGATGACTGGGCCGGCATGGGAGATCGCAAAGAACGACGGCGACGACAGAACCGTCTGAACCAGCGGGCTTACCGTGAGCTGCTCACCTATCAAATAAACTCACTATCTCATGACTGACAGTACTCCTTCAGGGAAACGCAAACAAGCAACGCGGCAAACACAGACTCAACCACCGAATCAGGTCATACGAAGAACGGTCAAAACGGAGGAACCCACGAGCAGCAGCGACGAACAGATGATCACGGTCCTCTCCCCATCGACCTCCTCCCCCAACTCGACCACGAGTCCCTCCACATCTGCATCATCATCATCCACATCCTTCTCCTTCTCCTTCTCAACACGACCACCATCCCAGTCGCAAACCCGCAGCAGCACGAGCACGAGCACGAGCACGAGCAGCAGCCCGCGCCCCGACCGCAAACCCTGCACAGACCTGACCACGCAACGACACCTCCAGACCCTGCTCACCGACTTCACCCGCGTCGCCTACGCCTCCTACATCCACGGCTCGCCGACCCTCGACCACCTGCTGACGCTCAGCCGCATGAACGTCTACCGCGCCTTCGCCACCAACATGGCCACCCTGGGCATGGGCACCGGCGCCGAGTGGATGCACGACGACGCCCTCTCCGTCTTCACGACCCTGCAGCCGCACAGCGCCCTCGACCCGACCGCGCTGCCGCTGCACCTGCGCCCCACGAAGCTCCAGCAGACCGTCCCGCACCACCCGTGGCTGGACTTCTTCCCCCTGCCGCGGCTGCGCGACAACCTCGTCGCCATGGCCGACCGCTTCGACGACGAGGAGCTGTGCCTGGACATCATGGGGTTCTGGGACTCGCCCACGCACACGTACAGTCTGCTCGTGTGGGGGGAGCCCTCGGACCCCGGCAACTGGGAGATCACCGAGGACTTTCTGCGCAAGTGGCCGTGGGTGGTGCGCGGCTGCGCCGAGTTGTTGGCCAGCACGAATCGGTGGCGGGCGCGGAGGGGCGAGAAGTTGCTTTTGCGGTATTTGTGATGGTCTTACCCACCCTCTTTTGTGGGAGGGGGAAGATTGTAAATGTCCAATGTATGTACAGTACAGCGTTACGGTAGGATCCTTCTTTGCGTTGTGGTGGTGTTAGGTCTCTCTCCCGTGACCTGCGTCATTCTTCGCAAATTTCACTAACTACCTATATCCTCCAAGCTAGATCATTCCATGCAAACGTTCTAGGCTCCATATTATAAGCCCGACTATAGTGAGTGAAAGCTCATGACGCACTACCCTCCCACTAAGCCCGCCAGCCCCCCCGGCCCATCAGAAATTCCGTGACCGGTCTGCACCTTAAGTCGTGGCGTGGCCAATGAGAAGCGCAAGGGTCCGTTTTGCAGGCTCCATGCTTGGCGCGGTGGTGTATTTGTCATCCACTCGCTGAAATATGTGTATTGGCTAGTATTTACAGCACCATGACGTGGTGGTAATTTACCATTATGGTACTCTAGAGTTGAAGTAGACGGACGCTGTTTGATGGCGACCTGAGTCTGGTTGTCTTGCGAGAGATCTATTCCCTGAACTTTGGCGGTCGTTCGGATGGCATGCTGCTGGATTTATTGATTATTATAGGATGGTTGGTTTGGTACAGTACATGCATAAGTGGTGTGGTGGTATATGATGTAAACCCAATGACAACATCAAGCTCTCTCCAAAGGCCAGCCAGGTGGTGTAGTGGCGCTGTACAATTGAAGACAAAGAATCTGCCAGCAACAAGACATAAAAGACTGATGTCTGCAGGAGAAGATGCTGTATAGAGAGGCAGTCACGAGAGTCTATGCTTTAATCAGTCCAGCAGCGGCATCTTTCCAGATCAAATGCTCTACATGCATACCTACCAAGCGAGATACTTCCTCAGCACGTCTACTACCTCCATCAAATCATCCGGACGGCCATGAAACACTGTCAGGATATGTTGGTCCGGACGGACCAACACCGCCCGACCAAGCACCAGCTGCATCAGCCCCAACCACTTCTCGCCTGCCTCACCGGGCTGAAGATCGAAATCCCTGCCCCTCGCGACCAAATCAATCCTCAGTCCTGGCGGAAACCTGTCCGCAGCCTCCTCAAGCACGCCCCTCCAAGTATCAGCGAACTCCCCATCCACAAACAGCGTAAACGCATCGAAAGCACACAGATCCAATGCCGAGAACCGCTTACGCCCCACTTCCTCCATCGACAACTCCCCAACATACGATGAATCAATGGGCCCCACCAGCCGACCAGTGACAGCCGTCGAAGGCTCGATCCACGCGTGTGGGATCCGCGCCCCCGGCACACATTTCGCCTGGTAGACGGAAGCGCAGCCGGGAACCTGGGTCTCCCCGTACACATATCCGATGTGCAAACCCAGGTTGTCGAAATGTTCGCGCTGGCCTTCGATGCCTTCGTGCACCGCGCCGGCGCGCTCGGGGTCGGCGACGGTGTGGTATAGGTTCTCGCGCGCGACGTGCACGTCTGGGTCGGTGGCGCCCAGCGTCTTCAGGAGGCTGAAGATCTGTTGGCCGTTTCTGACGCTTTGGGCGGCGTTGACGAGCGCGACGGGGCGGCGCTCGGACTCGTAGGTGTCGAGAAGGGAGGGGCTGGCATGGCCGTGGTGGATGGCGGCGAGTTTGAAGGCGAGGTTGTGGACGTCGCCCAGGCCGCTGTTCAGGCCTAGGCCGCCGGTTGGGGGGAAGGAGTGAGCGGCGTCGCCAGCTCTGTCGTGGGGTAAGCGGGGTTGTTCTGGGGGTGAGCAGGTTCGGAGGTTACTGACAGGAGTACGCGGTTTATGCGATAGGCTTTGGCTACCTTCCGGCTCAGAATCCAGGGTCGGTAGCTCAGCACGTTGTAGGGGATGTGTGTGCCTATGGCGGCGTCGACGGTCTTGCGGCAGAGGGACTCGTTCCAGGACTCTACTGGGTGTTTTTGGGACTAGGTTCGTCAGTGAGGCCTCTTGATCGCAGCCACGAAGGGTATTCGGATATACATCAAAATTGCAGATCAGCACCTGATTCCCCCCGAGGTCATACCCGATGATGAAGCCGGATACCTCAGGATCCATCACCCAGTGAAGCATGCCCACCTTGCCTTTAACGACAGGGTAGAGGTTAGCGTTTATATGGATGGTCATCATCGTCTCGTCTAGATGTCATGCGTCAGTGTCAGGCCCTCAAAGGGGAAGCTTCACAAACAAGAGTCCTCTCCCTCACTCTCCACCCCCAGAAACCGTCGAACAGCGCTCTTTGCCCCATCACAAGCGACCAGGTGCTTGCACTTGACATGGTATTCTCGCTGCGCAGCACGATCCTCGATGGTTGCGATGACGTAATCCCTAAACTTGTCAAGTTTCAGCATGTAGCCTTTCAGGATTTAAGCACAATCCGAGGGATAGAGACAACTCACATCCTCAAGCCCAACAAATGAATGATTCTTGCGCATCTCCACCAGCGGGCTCTTCATCAACTGCTTCCGCACGTAGTCTTCAAAGTCCGGCTGCGGAATGTTGTGGATCATCTAGCCTTCAGCAATTAGCTTGTTTGATTCCTCGAGCATGTGCCTGCTGAAGCCGGGAATACCGTAGGCGTATCGTCCAGCACCCCCGGATCCATTCGCTCATAAGGCAACCGCCCCACCTGCTGCCCACTCAGATGTGTCACGAAGTTCACCCAAAATGCGTCCTGGCGCCCGGTGCCCAATCGACGGATCTCGTTCACATCGAGGCCGAACTGGCGACATAGCTCGAGTGTCCTTGGTGATAAGGCGTGGGCTTTTGGAGCGTCGAGCCGTATTGGGTAGCGTTCGCAGAGCAAGGATTTAACTTTGTAGATGGGAGTTATTTCAACCTTGTGTTCTTCCTGCAAATGACTGAGTGTCGGGAAAGGGGGAAAGAAAGAAAGGTACCTCCCAACTGAGCAAGTAAGTATGCCTGGAGTAGACCGCACGGGCCGCCTCCGATGATCAGGACGGGGACGTCGTCGGCGATCTCGTAATCTTGTCTTGCTGGAGACATGTTGGTGTTTTCAAGGACCTTGAGTGTGGGGTTGTGGGCGGTGGACTGCCTACCTTTATGTACGGGCTGGGGGGTAGAAGTACAGGGGCAAAGATGGGGGAAAGAAATGCAGGTCGTTGGCCAGTAAGTGGTTTGTTTGTTGTCCAGCCTGATGCTTGTCGTCCTCCCCCACTTCAGGTGGGAAAGGAATGTGCGGGCCGCGGGGGAAAAAACACGCGCTTCCCCACTTGCTTCCCCGCAATCATGGTCGATTTGAGGGTCTGTTGGTGCCTGGAAGTTATATGCCAGTGGCCGAGATTGGAATTGAAGTCTATGTATGACGGTGTTGCATAGTTTTGGGCTGATGATAGTCTATCTGGAGGGGTTGAAGGAGGAAGAAGAGTTTCGTGATGGCGAAGGTCAGCGTTCTGAAATAGCAAAGAAAAAGCAGTGCCGGTCTGGATTCCCATCGAGACTCATGTTATAACAGCACTTAGAATATTATGCTTCATTCATGATGAAGTCAAATAGGCTAGATCTTGCGAACATGCCATAGACATGCTTGTTTCTATGTGTCGCATATCTCGAAAGTACCGGTAGACGCCAGTTGGAACTTAGCCGTGCATGCAGAATCCAGGATTCAAGATCTCAGATGCGCAAGAGTTTGATTAGCCATCTAGATGCAATACATCACTGATTACCAGCAGATTCATGAAGGATCATTTCGAGAACAAGATACTCAAATGTACTTCCCCATGTCGTGACAAAAGTCATTGAAAGCTTTTCCCATCCTCTCATTGCCGTCATGGGGTCCAATCTTCGTCATTGGGATCATCTCCATAGTTGCCATCGCCTTCTCCATCACCTCCATTATCTTCATCATCCTCATCATCATCATTGTCAATGGCGTCGTTTTTATCATGACGCGGCGGAGCATTCGACAAATCCAGACTCAGATCACGACAGAAAGAGGCAGTAGCATCAAGAACATCCTTCAAGGTCGACTTACGCCCTCCCTCGCCTGTATGCGCTTGCAAGAGAGACAGGTTGTTCCGGACAACTGCCACAACCATATCTTGCAGCATCTGGTCAGTCTCATCGAAGCGAGTATACACTTCCTTGATTGCGCACATCAGCGAGGCTCTGTCCATGTCAACACTGAGTGCCCTCATGATAACACCTTTGCAGATTCCCCTGAGACCGTCGGCCTCGAGGTGCGTGGCCAGTGCATAGAGCTGAATAAAGAAAGGAATAACCACGAAGGATCGATCTCGACCGGCAGAAGGCGCAGGACTCTTCGAATGAGTGCCCATGTTCTTGCTTTGGGTGTCCATGCGACTTTTGGTTGCCAGCTTGCGCTTCTTGAACATTGTGTCGTCAAATGGCTGCTTGCCGTGGTACCTGTAAGACTCTCCCCAATGCAAATATTTGACCATGTGTTCGACCACCCGGCGATCATCTTGAAGCACCAGGGTGCAGCTCGTCTGTTCGAGGCAATCAGCTGGAAAGATACGTACGGCCTGTGCACTAGCAGAAATCTTACCGGCTTACTGCGCGAACCGTACTCACGCTCGATGAAGGCAGAGTTTGAACAAGCTCGCGCAAGGGAAACAGAATACGCATATTGGCCGCAATCTATGGTCAGTTCAGGCGAATCTTGCTGGTTACTTGTGCTAGACCTTTATGAGAGGAGTGTTCATCGATTTTCAAGGAGAGAAAACTTACCTTTCCTCATTTTTCATGATCATGTTCCCGAGATTTGATAGAGAGACAGCGGCAGGGTCGGTGGCTTTCTTTTTTGAAGGCACCTCTGCATCGCTAGATATAGGTACCTTTCTTTTAGGCATCTTGGTGGACACCAAATCGGTGATCTATCTCCGGAGGTCTCCTTAATTTGACAAAAGGGTGCGCTCAGGGACTTGAGTGGGGAAGATGAGAAGAAACGGGAAGAGAGGAAGTCAGAAACCAGACTTTTACTTAGGTCTGTAGGTGGCCTGAGGGGCAATCTCACTTTGCAGTGTTATCAAGTTTGATCTGACATTCACCTGATAGCCTATGTTTCAAACTCACAGTGGCATGCTTCCATCTGTATAATGAGCTATTAAAGAAACCTGCAACGACGCCAGTTCGCTTGCGTGTACGTAATGTATTTGGAACATATGGTAGCAAGACCTGTAAAACGTGTCTTGGAAGATGTTGCCCAGCCGGGGTCGGATGTTGGGTTTTGTAGAGGAATATGCGAAGCTGAATCTCCTCATAGTCTGCCTGCACGCATGAAAGTTGCATAATCTGTGGGAATGTAGATACTTTGATAGACGGAACTCTACCTTTGATTGAGCAGCTCAACGGCACTTGGGTGTTCACGAGCTAAAACTACTCCTATGCTCCTGCTCACAGCCCCGCTACAATTTTTTCCTCAATGTGTGTCTCCCATAGCACCACCCGCCTTGGGGCTGCTTCAAGTTTCGGTCGAGTAAGATTCCTTTTCATGATTACTAACTACGTGCTTTCAGAGAGCCAAAACTTAATGAGTGGAGAAGATCCCAGGAGATAAAATGAGCGCTGCAGACATACTATTCTATCTGATCATTTAACCACGGATGATGGAGTAGTTCCTTCGCTGTCTCTCTAGCCTGAGGCCTGCCATGCTTAAGAGTAATGACTCAAAGGAGCGGTTTAGTCATAAGACAACCTATTGCAGTGGAACCATCTTCCGTCCACATCCGTCATGAATATTGTCATCTGGAATGACTGGAGCTGCGTCTGATCCGGGAAAGGGCCTTTGCCAACACACTATCGTCTTTCCCTACCACCATGCACTACAAAGACCTATCAATATCTGGATCAGTAAACAACACTTCCTGTCCGTCTCGAGATTCCTTATTTCTGCAAGAATCTTTTATCCATCATGTGGCACGACGACAGCCTTGCTTGGCGAGCCGGCGCTGCTCCTTTTTCTACCGTTGATAGGGTCTTTGCTTATGCTGTAGACGGCCTCCTGGCTTTTACTCAAATTACCCGTGTAAGTACTGTGAAGCGGAAAGAGAGAAAGAGGGAAGGTGCGTCCAAAGGACAAGAGCTTATGAGCTATTGGCTGATTCCCTTGGTGGAGAGGTCCAGGGTTTTCAGTATTAAGCGTACGACGAAGCTAGATTCATAGGAACTAAAGTATACATGAGGGCTAACGGGCGAGCTTCCTAGATCCTGCAAAGTCGTCTGCGTTGCCTCCTGCCAGACCGTCTGCGGTGCCCACACCCAGCCCCTGATCTATGTGGCGTCTTTTCCGGTTCAGACTACTGTTGATGAATGGGGTCGTGTGACAGCGGAGCTGCCTCAAGGTAGCACTCGAGTTGAGCTGAAGAAAGTTTAGATTGAAAAACCGATGGAAGCGAGATTCGCAAAGAGCTAGGATGAAGATCTTTGCTATGGCTGTTGGCTTACAGTTGCTTAAGCGTGCAGAAAGGGGCGCCGACGGGGAGAGAGATGTTGCTGCCTGTCTTCCCCATCTTGTCATTCTCAGGTCTGAGCTGTGAAGCAATATGTAGGCCTACAGAGACGATCTGAGGCCCTTTGGCATGTCCAAATGCTCGAATCGCTTCTCCTCAAGCACTTCCGATGGAGGGACAATGTCGAAGCCGCTGATGGGGAAGCGCATGGGAGAGCACGGGTCCCTCCGACACGGCTTCATAGCTCATTTCATAAGTGTAGCCATGATGGACCTTTTCGTTGGGTGAGGCTAGTGTAGTCAGGAATGCAAGCAAGGATATTCCCTCCAAGCTTTGAGTTGATCTGCCCCACCAGTAAGCTGTCAACCTCCCGAGTAGGCTTGGACCAAGGGCGTACTCCATACACATCCATAAGTTCACAACAAAGTCCCCCAGAAATTTTCCTGGACAAAAATCGTCGCCTCTGGAGCAGAGACGTGTCGCTGCTGGAAGACGCGTGTACGCGGTCAACAAACAGGGTGGCGCGGAATGTTGACTCTGGCGGTGGACGAAAGCAGCATGTGAGGACGGGTTGCACGAGATAGCCGAGAAACGTACTGTGTAGTGTTGTGTACAGTACGTCGGCGGAGACTGACGGCGGGAATCATCACCTGCATGCTGCCGATCATACTGTGCGCCGTGCTGAATGCCGACAAAATCTATGCGAGATGTGGCATGCATGGCCATACAAACCGTGGTGGTCGCCAATTGACCCGTCAATTATTCATGTCGGTGGTTTCGCAGGGTGACGTACACTCATGACGAGTGGGTTCTTGGCGGGCAGAATTGGAAGACAGTGGCGCTTCGACCGACAGACGATACCTGTGAAAGCTTGTATTGAAGTCATTCGAGGGAGACTAAAATAGCAATGGACTCTCTCTCCGTTGGGCTATCACCCAAAATGCGCCCGTTCGCGGAGGCTGGACCTCCAGACTGGAGTGGAATAACTTACAATCGCATGCAGATGATATGGTCCAAGCCGGAATAGTGCCGAAGTGGCCAGCCATGGGGCGAGGGCTTGGCGAGTCCCACCGGAATCCAGATCCTGGCGATTGAGTGGCCCGGGACTGACTGATTTTGACCAGTTGCAGTTTAGTGTCCCATGCCCCTTACGTGGAAAAGGGCCATGGCGTACTGAATTAGGACTGAATTGGGGTTCTTGGGGTGTTGTTTGTGCCCTTTATGAGTCTAGCACCGTCTAGCACTGCTGCACTTCCAGGTCCGGCCTGAGCCTCTCCCACTGCTCTTATTATTATTCGTCTTGATTTGTCCTGTGGGCTTGCAAAATGCCCGCTGCCATTGACTTCATTACCTTAACTAACAATTACGGAGTAGTTTAGTTATAATTCGATTGTGCTGAACAAGACAAGGGAATCCATCTGGTCGTCCGTCGGCTGTTCTTTCCTTTCCCTTCTTCTTCTCCTCCTCCCCTTCTTCTTCCCGCTCCCCTTTCCTCCTCTCCTCTCCTCTCCTCTCCTTATCTCCCTGTCTCTTGAATCCCTGTCCGTCCTTGCGGTCGCTCGCCTTCAAACCTCGCGAGAGGTGAATCCCCTCCCCCTCTCCCCTGCCCTTTCCTCAATGTCGAAGAGGCGGCTGTTTCGCTGGCCTGCCCGCCGCACCGCCGCTCTCGGAATTTTGGCGCTGCTGGTCACCTCCGTTCTCTCATGGCTCATCTGCGGCGGTGATTCTGACGACCCTCAACCAGGTATGTCATCGTTCGGACCTGCCTCCGCCCCAGCCTCTTTCTCCGGGACACCAGGTTAACCGCACGCAAATCAACCACCACAGTAGAAGAATACTTCAACCCGATTCACGAGCAGTTATCCGAAATCACCAAGACGTACGACAATGCGACCAGCGAGATTGGCTTAGTATTGGCTGCGACGCGGGCGGAGGACTTAACTTGGCTTTTGGATTACTGCAACGACCAGTATGGCGCGCCACCTCCGGGATCACGAACCTTCATTGTGCTTTGTGTTTATTTGGCTGACGTCGGCAATCCTCCCGCAGCGGAACAATCCCATTCATCTACAGCACCGACGTCGAACCCGCGCCAAATCTCCTAGTTCCTTACACCATCCGCGGTCGCGAGGCTACCGCTTACCTCTCCTTCATCGTCGAGTTCTACAACCAATTACCGAAATACACGATCTTCATCCACTCTAACTACGATCAATGGCACAATGACCTTTTCGGCCCCCACACTGGACCGGCACTGCGAAACCTCCGCTTAGAGGCCGTCGACGCGCAAGGCTATGTCAATCTGCGCTGCGAGCACGACCCCGGCTGCCCGACGAGTGTCCACCCGTGGAGTCCCACGCAGATCGATATCGAGAACGACGATATTCGCGCATTCTTTCCCCAGGTCTACCAGACGCTTCTCAATGTCCCTGCGAAGAAGGTTCCGGAGCACATTGGCAATGTCTGCTGTGGCCAATTCGCTGTCAGCCGCCAGCGGATCCTTGAACGACCCCGATCGGACTACGAGCGCATGTTGCGGTGGGCCGACGAGACGGAATTAACAGACAGCTTTGGCGTGGGATGGGTATACGAGAAGATTTGGCACATCATCTTCGGCATGGATGAGATATAGTGAGTGACGGTCGCGCGGGCGCGATAGTGGTTTGATTGCAGCGGCGCAGAGGGACTAACCTGAAAATTAGTTGTCCTCGATACGAACAATGCCGATGCGACGCGTACGGATGGTGTGGGCCGCTGGCCTCGGGCGAGACACTGCAGGCAGTGCGTGCGAACCCGGGCTCCACAATGGGGCCGTCGTTCTAATCATAATGGATGAATCTGGTTCTAAGCGTTTAATGCATGATGTATACTATCATGATTGGGGACATTTCAGGTTACCCCAAGTCGGTCTGGCTACGATTTCTCAATTGCAATCTAATTGTACAGTTAGATGATGGACTGCTGTTTCGTTATGTTCGCTATCTCAGGGTATATTTGTTGGGTCGTGCTGACCAACAGTTTCCGGAAGTCTCGTCAATCATGCTTCGCCACGCGCCGTCATACGCGACAATGAGTTGATTACTCGTGGTTGATTGGTTGCTGGTGCGTCCCTCGCACAGGCCCAGCGTCCAACTCATACAATCCTCTATGCGCGACCGGACTGGCCGGTACTTCATGCACGTTCCCACTATCCAATAACGGGACGTCCGTTTCAGATGGCCTCCGTCGGGGGATGGCATGCAGGAATAACGCGTTTTGGTCATCAGACGTCGGAACAGAGCTGGACGAGCTTTCTGTGCCGGGAATCAAAGCAGCCGGTACCGGGGGAGAAGATGGCGAGATTGTTGAAATTGTGCGACGTGCGTCGGTCGACAATGATGGTGGAGGCGGCGAGAGTGGTTTCCGTGGGATGTTATTCAGATTTATCGTCTGTTCGGGCTCATGCGGTTCCGACACTCGAGGTTTCAGTTTCTCCTCCATATTTGAGATCTTGCGATCATGCGACAACCCTACTCCAACAGCCGCGTATCCAGATTTGCCCTCGTCTTGGGCCGCGTTCCGTCGTTTGCGCCGTGATCGGTTCCGACGCATCAATACCCATACTAGGAGGAAAATCAGCAGAACAAGCACGATCACGCCGATCGCAATGCCCGCTTTGGCTCCCGAACTTAGCCCGCTGTTGGAGCCGTCAGAGCAGCTATAAGATCCCCTGAACACGCCATTGCTGTTGCTGTTATTGTTGTGGTCGTCGTCGTCATCGTCGTCATCATCCTGACTCCGGAGAGAATCCAAACTCGAGCAGCGAAATGATCCACCGCGCGACCGGATATTCGTCTTGCCGTTGACATGCTTGAGATCGCTAAATGATATCCTTTCGCATTGTGAGAGTCAGCCCTGCTCTGATTGCAATCTATGGTCCAACCTATCTTGAACGCGATGCGAACCAGGGAAATAAAAGAGGGACACTCACCGATCAAATTTCCCACTCAGGACCAACGCTCCGTTCACATACTGCAAATCATCCAACACCAAATCTCTGAGCTGGGAGTTGTCCTCGACATCCAGCTCTCCGCTGACCGTTTGCAAATTTGACAACGTCAGGGTGCTCAACTGAGCATTATTCTTGATGGAAAACTGTCCGTTGACGGTTTCGAGATTCGCCGCGGAGAAAGCCGTCAGCGCGGAGACATTTTGGATGGTTAGACCTGCGTTGAGCGTCTCAAGCTGTTTGAGGGTGATGGTGCCGGTGACGGATGGGGAGATGGTCAAGGTGCCGTGGATGGTGGAGCAGGAGGAGAGACGGTTATCGGCATCGGCCTGCGAAGTTATTGTTGTGCTGGAGGTACCTTTTCGTTTCACCTGTGAGCACTCGATCTTGATGGAGTGTATGTATAGTGCGATCACGATAGAGGATAGAGGATAGAGCATAGAGCATAGAGTATAGAGAGTGATGACCGGCGCAAAACTCACAGTTGGTATTGGAATCCGAGTCAGCCGCGACGGGCGGAGATACCAGGCATAGCAGGTATAAGAACACTGACACGGCTTTCATATTTGGAAGTCCAGTCAGTTCGTGAAATCCAGGCGATGCCTCACGAAATGGAATCAATATCTCTGGGTCGCGGATCTAATCATTGGGACATTAATTTGTTGTTTTTGAAGTCTCGGTGTTTGGATTAGGTGTCCAGCAATCCCATCGAGTCAGACACTCACCCTTAGGTCCGAAGCGGGGACAGCTAGAGGTTAAGTATTAGCTCCAAGCCTCCAGCAGAATGCAAAGAAACGGCAGAGAAATATGACAGCCTAAATCTCCTACTGCAGGGTTCAACTAAGATACTTTCGGGGATAATTCGTCGCTATTATAGTCTAGTCTAGCATTCTGTGGCTTTATTTTTCCTGAATTTTGATCTGTAGTTTCGATGGGTTGTTTGTAATTTGCCGAGACCTTCTCCCCTTTGCTGGTAGCGGCCGCCCTCTAATGGTGGAGAGTCCGTCGGAACTACCGGTACGGTGATAGTTGCCGTAGTTGATCAGATTTTCATGCAGACGGAGTTCGAGAGGGGTAGGGGGAGGAGTATTGTGTCATACTTATGGCTGCCCAGATTTCTTTTGAAAGGGGATGGATGGATGTAGGCCAACATACCTCGCTTGGCCAAACTTGCATTGCAATCATAGCGGCAGAGAGAGAATCCCTGTCACTTTGGCACAGTGGGAAAAGTATCCAAACCAAGTATCTCCGAACACTGCCTCTTTTGCTGCAGTGCTGCAGTGCCGATCCCCACTTTTTTTTTATCTGGAGCGTGGACTTATTCCAACCAGGACCTCCCTCCACTTGAGCGGAGTTTTCTACTTGTGTAGTTAGCGTAGGTCGTCTAGGGTTCAGGTTTTTCATACTGTGTGGTGGTGTCGACTACATACCTTTATCGCCGAAGATTTCAGTCAAAACCGGGTTAGAGCTCGGACATAGATCTAATCACTTAAGTTACTGGTAGTGCAGCACCGCCGAGGGGGCGGGGAAAAAGCATCTAATTTGCTGTGCGGCTCGTGCATCGGGGGTATGCGGTTCTATTTTTATCTGCGCTGGACATTCTTCTTGTGCTTGTTCAGGCACCAGAGTTTTGCGCGAGTCAGGTGTTGGTTTGTGGATTTGCGCCGTAGAAGTAAACATGGGGAGTTTGGGATTCCGGGGATGGAGAATGGTTTGATCGCTTCGACGCTTTTGGCTTTCTTTGTGGCTGGGTTGTGTGCTTCGCCTCGTTTCTTTTGGGAGTTACTAGCTACTGGTTACTCAGTCGTAGCGATTGTGGAAGGTTGGGGGGGTGCTTTCCAACCGGACGTTGGATTGTCGACATTGTCTGCGTGGGTGGGGATTCGTTCGGTCGCGGTCCTCAGATTGATCCTGTCCCTTGCTGTGCGTGTTAGCTGCATAGAATTATGATGATGAGTTGTATTGCACTGTACTGTACTATGAGTATCGGGATTCGGGCGCCGGTGCATGCGATTCGCACTGGGCGGTCGGTCGGTGGATGGAAGGATGCTGGCTGGCTGATGCAAGCCAAGCCGGCTGGCGGATGAGCTTGCCCTGTCCGGCGGGTCGGATCGGGGGCTGGTCCCTGATGCCACAACTTTATCTCGAGGTTCGTTCTGGAGTATACATGGACGGATCAGCAATCGAACAAGCTTCCAGGAACGTGTAGCCTTCTAGACTTGCTTGCTTCATATGCTCATGACTGAGATCTCTGCTCGGCGAGGTTGTTTCCTGCGGTCGACGCAGGGGCGCTTGGTTTGTGGTGGTGTAGAGGCGCGGTTCGTTGGTTCGGTGGATCTGCGATTCGGATATCGCGAGGGAAATCAGTCTGCAGAAGCGTGTAGCTTGGGCTCCCACCTTCTCTTTCTCTTTTCAATCAAGTCTGCTTCACATTCGATTGGATGGGTTCTTGCGGTCGGCGCAATGTTGTTCAGTGTGTGACGTTTGTGGGAGTGGCTTGTTCGTTTCGGCAGATTTGCGATCTGGACCTCGCGAGGTGTTTTGACACTGTGGCCACGTACAAGTTAGCTCTCTCGATGCGTATCAAAGCTGGCAATGCTTATCAACTTTCAGGTGCTGAATTCATTATAGCTAGCATCAGAGTAGATGGAGAGTCCTCGAGAGAGAGCTGCCAGGGCGCGTGTATTTCGTTTCCTTGGCGGTGGACGTGCGTTGCTCAGGTTCTTTGCCTGACCAGAGCACCTATAGAAGAGGTTGGCATTGCTTGCGTTGCTTGCAATGATCACGAGGGAAAGGGTGATCTCTTGCCTTTCTGAATGTGGGCATGGTGTTCAGGTTCTGAGGCTTCGTTGTGTAGACAAATCTGGCAGTAGGCTTTGGAACGCTGTTTGAACTTGCTCTCGACTGTATAGCCATATCATACTACTCTTTTTGGCTCCCTTTGGAGAAACAAGAGAAGACACCTCAAGTAGGCACTACACTACAAATACTACGTTCCTTCTCGCGGCATAGAACTTCTTTAGTATAGGTGGATTGGTTTGTGCATCGCTCGAGGCATACCTCTTTCCATAACCTACTGCTAACAAGCGAAGTACACCCCCCGGCCCCCTACCACCGGTCATGTATGTCATGTCTGTTCTTGGATCCTTCTACGTGATTCTGTGAAATGTGTTATATCATATTCTGCTCCAGGCAGCCACTTGCTTATCAACCAGGCAGACCTTTGTTCGACGTAGGATCACCTTTTTTGATATCAAATTAAACATACCAGCCAATCAGGCCACCGGATCACGCTGGTCCCTTATCCTTCTTCTACTTGATTCTCTGAAATATGCTATATTCACTTGAGAAGCTCCAGGCAGCCGCTCGCTTACCGGCCAACCAGATCGTTGCTTGACCCTTCTTTTTGATATCATGTGTTTCATATGAGGTTGTTGAACATTCACTGGTGGTGATTCCAGCCGCCCAGATCACACTTCTCTCTCTTTCGAAAAACATAAATACCCCCTCCCCCTCCCTCCTTCCTCTTCCTTCCTTCCTTCCTCTCTCTCCCTTCTCTCTTCTCTTCCCCAACCCTTCCTCCATTTCTTTCTTCCTCTCTCAACTCTGCATCCGGGTAGGCTGGCGCTATGTACCCTCGCTGGCCAACACCAGTGTCGATTACCTTCCAACCTAGACGGACGCAGAGTACACCGGGTCTCGAGGCTCTGGGAGCAGGCGACGTCTTCGTTGAAAAACCAGACGACCAGCTTCACATCCTCGCCACTCATCTCTTCCCAGTCTTTGTAGCCCCCTTCCTTTTCTCATCTCGTCCATCTGTGAAGTCCTCACTCATCGAGCGTGGATGGCGAGAGTCGAGATGTTTTCAATCTTTGGAACCCTTTCTGAAAGCGCTGAACTTCAGTGTTTTCAACCCACACACTCTTTTTCTTGACCAGTCCCAATGATGATGTTGGTCTTTACTGCCCCTCACTGCAAATTCCAGGTTGCTGTGATGCGGTATTGACCTTCTTGCAATGGTAACACCAACCCTGCTGGATCTGAGGAGGCCTGCCTGGTTCCCCCTTCCCACCTCCGCCCTCCCCTATCTTCTCTGCCCTCTCCACTCTTTTTCTTGACCATTCCCAATGATGATGTTGGCTTTACTGTCTCTCACTGCAGAATCTAGGCTGCTTTGACACAGTACTGACCTACTTGCAAAGGTGCACCTTTGCTTGATCTGAGGAGGCGTGCCTAGTTTGTGGATTGTTGGCTTTTCCTTTTCCTTTCACACACATTCCCAATGATGATATTGGCTTCTACTGCCTCTCGTTGCAAATTCTAGGTTGCACTGATGCAGTTTTTGCCGTCGAGCATATGGAGTTCAAATGCTGCTATTCGCTTTGCGAATGGCAGCCACTGAACATACTTGCTTCAGATCTGAGGAGGCTTGCCTAGTTCGTGGGTTGCTGGCTCTTTTCCTTTTGTTTTTCCTTTGTCTTTCCTTTGTCTTTCCTTTGTCTTTCCTTTGTCTTTCCTTTGTCTTTCCTTTGTCTTTCCTTTGTCTTTCCTTTGTTTTCTCTTTGTTTTTCTTCTGTTTTTCCTTTTCTCCTGTACCCCGATGATGAAACTCACTTTTGGTGCAACCTTGGACGCTGATCCTACCCTCTGGCGAGGCGACCGGTTCCGACTGGTTGCTTACCTTGCGTGGTGGGATTGTAGGCTCGGGCTTGCTTGCAATCTTGGATGCTGATTCTGCCCCCTGATGAGGCGACTGGCCGCGGCCGGTTCCTTGTCTTGAGTGGTAGGATTGTAGGCTCGGATTTGCGTGCAGCCTTGGACGCTGATTCTGCCCCCTGGTGAAGCAACCGGCTCCGGCTGGTGCCATGCCTTGGGTGGGATTGCAGGCTCGGGTTCGCTTCAATCTGCTCTGAGGGGACCACCTCTTCTGTTTCTCCTTTCTCTTTTCTTTTTCCTGTGCCCTCGATGATGATAAATCGCACTTGTTGCAGCCTTGGATGTTGATTCCTTCCTCGGCGGGGAGACCGGTATCGGCTGGTTACTTGCCTTGAGGTTGGGATTGTAGGCTCGGGCTTTGCTACTGCTCTGATGGGGGCCGCTCTACTCACCTTTTCTTGTCTGGCTTTCTGTTTGGTGATGTTGCCGTTCTCGCGTTCTTGATGGAGTTCGCGGGCGCTGGTGGTTGCAAGCGTTCAATGTTCTGATAGCATTTCTCCTTTTCTTTGTGGTCCGAAGATGTGTATGCTACATGATAATTAGACTTTGAATCGAAACTTCCATTCGCTTGGATACTTGCAATTTTCATCCTTCTGAGTATGTAGAACAAGTCTGACTACTGCCTCGTGGGCGGGCAGTCCGCGATCGAAATCGAAAGGTACGTTGTGACTCCACTCAAGAACGACTTTGGCGCGAGCTCAGGCTAAGTTTCTTTTCTTAGATGCAGAGCATACGCTCGGTCTACGAGACGAAGCTTACAATTTACTCCCAACGAGGAGTCGGCAGTTGAGAACGAACGAACAAACGGACGGACGGACGGACGGACGAGCAAACGGACAACCGACCGACCGACCGAAAGGGAAAGACAAAGATTCCTTGAAGCGTAGAGGAACATGATACCACAATGTTGTTGAAGGCAGACGCGTATGCAAGGATGACTGACTATGGACGGGGAGTCTTTCCGGTCGCAGAGAGTGGAACGGCTCGGCGAGCGGTGGAACTTTTCCATCGTGGCTGCGGAGAAGAGGAGTAAGATAATCCTTGGGTTCGCAATTCAGCCAAAGCGTGGAGGATTCGTGCCCGCTCTACCGTTCTACCATGGGCTGGCTTCTTTTCGTGATCTCCAGACACCGCTGGTAAGCGATGAGGAACTAGTCATAACGTCATGAGACTGTGAATCTAAAACTTGTTGCTAGATATACACCCAAAGCCCAAAGAAAAACAAAGGCATTGCAAAGCGCCCACCGACCGACCGATCGTCTATCCGTCTCCCCAGGTAGTATCTAATGTTTGGAGTTCTTTCCACTGGGTTTCGAGCTCGCGGATCACCCAGCCCGTGCGCCAGCCTACGTTCTTCTCCATGCGGCGTAGGAACTCCAGGGAGCCTTGTTGTTCGGCTGCGTGGCGGAGACAATATCCGTCTGTGAGGTGGGGAGTTAGTAAGAAAGGTAGAAGAAGAGGGCGGGAAAGAAGCGTACAGCGATGAAGAAGATGGCAGGCCATGAAGTATGCGTTTTCCACGGTTTCGTTGGACATCGAGAGGCCGACGACCTTGACGAGGTGGGAGGAGATTGTTCTCTGTTTGTGGAGGTTAGTTAATTTACGAGGCAGACGTGTAAGGAAAGATGCAGGGGAAAGACGAAAGGAACGACGAAAGGAACGACGAAAGGAACGACGAAAGGAGCGACGAGAGGAACGACGAGAGAGAACGATGAGGGAGAGCGAAGAAGGATGATGAGAGAAAAGACGAAAAGAATCACGAACCTCCTCTACGCGCTTGAGTCGTGCAAGCTCGTAGTCACTGACTACACTCCAGTGTCGGTCGGAAGCACTCAGAAAGATGCACGCCGTATGATAATATTGCAGTCCCACAGCTAGCAGTTTGGAATCAAAGGTCAGCCAAGCTTCTCAGACATAGAGGACAATAGCAGGTCGTTGGCAAACTTACCCGCCTGCGGCGAGATCATCCACATCTCAGGAAACGGGCGATTCTCGCTCGGATTCGCATCCTTGTACTGGAGTGGCTGCCAGCTGACCGGTCGCGCGTGGTACCATTGCTCCACGCTGTCGACCAGATGCTGCCACTCCGTCTCGTCAACAGGACTGCAGTGCGAGCCTGACCACAACCGCAAGATCTTGGCGCAGTAGAAGATAATGACATTCGCACAGGAAGCGTCATCGCGCCGCCGGAAAACAACGGAACGCTCATAGTTCGCCAAGTTGAGTTGCATCGGTTGGTGCTGCACGACGCAGGCATAAATGGCCTGGCGAAGGAACTGCCAGCTCACGGCTTCAGCGAGCCCGCCCGAGGACGCAGAATTAGACATCCGGTTGAGAAGTCGATTGGATCCGACCCAGTGGCACTTCTCGTCGGTCGCAAGCTCGAGCTCTTCGTACATCCGTAGGATCACAACCGTGAAGAGGAGGTTGTCATCGTAGGTCTCTTCTGGAAGGGCGAGAGCTGCGATCAGGAGTTCGAGGCATTGGCCGTGGTACTCTGATGCTTCCCAATCACTGGCCCCTTTCACAATGGCGTCATGTCGAGCTGCAAGGGCGAGGACAGCTTTGAGAACCATCGGATATCGGAGAGCGCGGCGAGGGACCTCGGTCCCGAAGTGAGAACGGAGGTCGCAGATGTCGGCCTGAAAAACGTTAGCTTCCATGCAAAGTGAAGATGATGGAGGGAAAGAAAACTTGGTTGAGCATACCCATGGCGCAAGCTTCTGGATAAAGAGACGGAGAAGGTGGGCTTCGCGAGGTGACAGTGACGACGAGCTGCCTTGTCTGGAGCTGACCGCACTCAGCGGCGATGCTGCGCTCGTCCAAGTACTTGCGGATGCTATCGGAGAGAGCATGGGAATGGCTTGGGGTGACAGGCTTGAGGATTTGCCGGGAAACTGTTGAACTTCAGTGACTGGGGGCGTCGTGGGGTTTTGTGCTGGATTATCGACATGATGATGTTCTCGTAGGCTCTCATCCTGAGAATACATAATCTCTGGGAAGGGTAGATGAGAGAATACAGTATAGGACTGTGGGATGTCTTGCGGCGTCTCATTTGAGGGGACAAGGCCATCCCCTTGACGGACCGGTGAAGTGTCGCTTGTATTGTCATCGTCAGAGTCGTCAGATGATTCGTGCACGAAGGTCACTGAGGCAAAATCAATACTGCGAGAAATACGGATGTGCAACTAAGCAGAAGGGCAGGCACATACACGAGTGAGGGACCTTCACCCAAGTCTGCTGGGAGTCCCAGACCAGCTCAAACTTGGATGCCGTGCCATTGCTCTTCTGGTAAACATGACGGACAGATTTGAAACGAAAAGGCGGATCTAAGCGACAAGCTCGCCCCAGGCGAGTGCAGGCGTTACACGAAGACCCCCCTGCGCGGGTAGTACATCTTATATGACGCAGACGACAACGTTCACATCCCCTTCCAATTCTCATGGCAAGCAATTGCGGGGCAGAGGCCCTTGAGCGTTGATCGCTGCGGGGAAGGTATAGTAGGCAAAGAGGGACATCGGCGTGTTCGTCGGGTTCATCCAGGCAACTGGATACAAGCGGCAACGGGAATCACCAGGGAGAGGAAAGCAAGTGGTCGCTGATAGGATGATCTAAGGGAAACGAAGAGAAAAATGGTGAAGAAGAACAGATGTGCTGGCGAAAGGAAAGGGCCGTCGGTTATTGATCTTTTCGAAATGCGAAGAGACCGATGATGGCCTGTGCTTGGGGCTTGCTTAGTCACACTCCCCCGCATTTCCCCGGCCTCTCACAGCTAGCCAGTTCAGGAGAATGCGTTTCCACATATTGACGCGAGCCAAGCCTTGCTCCTCTGGCACCTCGTATCTCTCACCTGATCCAGTGACATTGACGGATCAGCGTAGCGTGAGGTTGGTGCGCGCCGAAGCTCGTCTCGATGACCCCTTCTTCACACTGGCTCGCAAGATCATACCCTGGGAAAGCCAATCTGTCTCCCGAGTCACGAGTGCTCTTGATGAGAGAATATCCTAGTGTGGATCTAGCTCGTGGTGATCATAGCTTATCTCTTGGTTGTAAAGTCTGAAGACATGCAGGCCTGCCCCTCCCTTGCTGTAAGTATTTTGATCCGCTGCACTGCGTTTTCTCTAAGTTGAAAAACAGGTGTCAATAGGCAGTGGTTACAAATCACCGGGTTTTCCGAGCATTGCAATGGTTGCAGAAGCCGCGCGAAGCGCAACTGGCAAAAGGCGATATGCGTAGCTGCACGTGGAAGATCGGCCTTCAATATACTGTTTCTGGCTATGCATCAGACTGCGCTCATGGGTGTCACAGGACCACTGGGCTACAATATGGTTGCCATGGACAGTCTCTACCAGAGATTGTACCAAAAAGACCATCATTGATTCTAATTCATCAGATACTAAAGTCGTAAAAAGTGGTATAAACGCAACCCCAACTACCTGTATGCTATCGTCGAATTCACACTTTTGTATTCCTCGTTTAAACGCTGATCGTCTTGAAGACACTGCACAGGTTATTAGCATCCAACCCTCAAAAGAACATCCGAAAGCATGACTTACCCAAAGCCACCGCCACCGGTAGCCATGATGGTGCCAGGCATCTGGGCCTGCCAGTGTACCTCCTTGACTGAGTCCATGTAGTGAACGAACAACAACTGCGGGGGGACCTCTTGCATTGCAGCATCCCGGTTCTCCTCTTCATCCAACTCAACGGCCAAATCCCACAACGTAACGGTGTTATCAGCAGAACCGACCGCGACAACACTGTCGTCGGTGGGGTGCCACTCAATACTCGTGACAGGCTCGCGGTGGAAGTCGAACGACGCGACCGGAGAAGCCTTAGTCGGGGCGGAGGAAGCGCTGGGCTTCCAATGTCTCAGATCCCAGACGGCCCACTGACCGTCATCAGCGCCGGTTGCGAGCAGGTGGAAAGTCTGGTTTGACCAGCTCATGACGTTCACATCGGTGTTCGAAACCTGCACATCAACGGCGGGCTTACGCGACTTGGACCGAACATCCCAAACCTTGACGGTTCCGTCACTGCTGGCGGAGGCGAAGACGTTCTTCTCGTTCGGGGACCACTGGAGTTCTTCGACGGAAGATCTGTGACCGGTGAAGGGACGGGTGTCGGTCACCCAGCCGCCTCCCTCGGTACGAGTCGTCACGTAGATCAAGCCGTCGTTGTCACCAGTCAACAGCTTGCCAAGGGGCTGCAACGGAGACCAGTCAAGGGCGTAACCTTCCGACTTGTGCATGCGCAAGGTAGAGAGGGGCTTGGATGCCGAGGGAGGGAGCATAGTACCGGGGACATCGAAGCTGGTGAGATGAGGGGTGACATCGTGGATGACGACTTGCGAATTCTCGAGCATAGTGGCGGTGATGGTCTGAGGGGGCTTGGAGTAGTCGCCCGACTGGTTGGGAGTCTGGTGAGCGCGGATACGGTTGGTCGTTGATCCGAGAGGGATGCTCTTGTGCTCAAGGATGGCTTCGCCCATGTCGTCGTCGGAATCCGAGTCGCTCTCGGAGTCCGTCTCATTATCTTTCTCCATCTTGCTCAATCCGCTCAGCTTAAGAACCATCAGCTCGTTCTCCTTGGCGCGCTTGCCCTCGGCTTGTGTACCCGCAACGGCGTAGACGGTCGCGGGGTAGGTCTTGCGGTTGTCGCCCAGGTTGTCGCGGACGATATCGAAGGAGAGACAGGGCCATGGTGTGCTGAGGGTGTGAAGCATGTCGTACGTGGTCGGGTCGGGCGACAGGACCTCTCCGGGAGCGAGCTTCGTTCTTCCGGGAATGAAAGTCTGCTTGTCGACATCCATGGCTTCTGCGGGGAGCGAGTGTTGTTAGGACTTTCTGGGCGCTCCAAGTGGTTCAGTAGGATATTGTAGCGTACCTCTTTCCTCTTCCTCACGCTCTGCATCCGGACGACCATCCACACCGGCCTCGAGAACCTCATCTTCACTTTCGAACTCGTCCTCGTACTCGTCCTCGAACTCTCCCATCTCATCGGGGGGGTTCTCGGTGATCGGGCGCTCGCCGGCCTTGAGCGCGGCGGACTGCTCGTCGGAGGCGTCGGCAGATCTCTTCGACATTGTGTATAGGTTGATGTGTAGGAGATGTCCTCGAAGGAAAGAAACAGCTGTCGACGAGCCAGTCGTGCAGCGGGACGATAGGAAGAGGGAAGAGGAGCCTGGAGGGGGGTGGAAAATTGACTGATTAGGGTTCGGAGAACATTTTTTCCATGATTTTTTTTTCTGTTTCTGTTGCGCCGCGGCGAAATTCACGGGACAAGCACACTTTACCTATCGCGGACTAGTGGCGATCGGAGAATGGCTGCCCGCTTTTCTGCTGGGCGGGCGGCTGTGGTTGAAGTTGAAGGCAGACACTGAGAAACTGAGAGCGACCAACCTCCATCGAGAGCTGCCCTGAGGCTTCGATTTCCCTTCTTGCCGCTTGCTTCCACACCCACTTCGTCCACTCCCACCCACCCACTCCCCCCCTCAAGGGGCTACCAATTATTTCTCTTAGCTCAACTCAGCTCAACTCAGCTCTGCTCAGCTCATTCCTCCCCGTTAACCGTCAACCATCCCCCCCTCTCTCTGTTTACTTTTCTATCCAAGGCGTTTATCTAATTTTCTTCTTTTCATCTCTCTGGTTTGTTGCTCCGTTGCTCCTCAAAGTCTGGCCCCTGCTTTTGGACCGTTTCCTTCCTTGAAGCTCCGTCGTCCCATGGCTGCGTGCCTTGGCTGCTAGTGCACCTGTCACATTACCTGGGCTCCTCCTGCAACAAAAGGTGCATACTCATTGATCACTCTATCAACAATAACTACCCCTCCCCCCTCCCCCCCGTTTCTCCAGGGACCCTCCTTGAAGAACTTTCCAGCCCTTGCTACTCATTGTTGACTCGCCAACATGGCGCTAACAAATTTGTCTGACAATCCGGCAGTCCTATTCTTTGCGACCGAATTTCACTACATGCGTTCCGACCAAACATCGCTCTGATCTCACACCCACAAATTTGGTTGGTCTTAGCATCCCCGCTCCACCGTCTCCGTCCGGACCTCGACCGTGTTTACGTCCAGCGCTAACCAAACCACGCCATCCAGGAACACCCTCCAGACCTCCATCCACACATCTCCCCGTTATGGATACGTCACAATTTAACATGGCTGGTGCCTCCGAGCCCGCCGACCAGCTCGAACAGGAGCAGGCGCAGAGCATGGATCTCCCTACACCCACTCAGCATGGAATGGTCGCCGGGGCGGACGAGACCATGATCGCAAATGGTTACAGCAGCGACTCCCGCGCCCACTACTCTTCCCACGACTTCCAGTCCCCCGCCCGAGATTACCACTCTCAAGACGGCGAAGCCCCTCGATCGAACTATCCCTCGCAATTGCCTTCCTCCTCAAGGCCTAGCTCCGGCCACTCCAACCATCCAGACCGTCTCGTATCACAACCGTCACAGGATGTCAGCCACAAGCAAACATCGTCGCAAGCGAAGAACAGCGTGGTGATCAAGGTGGGGATGGTGGGGGATGCTCAGATCGGAAAGACGAGTCTCATGGTGAAATATGTGGAAGGCAGCTGGGATGAGGATTACATTCAGACTCTCGGTATGTGGGGATGAAATCGTGTTCACCCCCAATTTGCGAGCCGTGCTGATGTTGGATGACAAGGTGTCAACTTCATGGAGAAGACCATCTCGATCCGGAATACGGAGATCACATTCTCGATCTGGGATCTTGGTGGCCAGCGCGAGTTTGTCAACATGCTTCCGCTCGTCTGTAATGACGCAGTGGCTATTCTTTTCATGTTTGACCTCACGCGCAAGAGCACCCTGAACTCGATCAAGGAGTGGTATCGCCAAGGCCGTGGATTCAACAAGACTGCCATTCCCTTTTTGATTGGCACTAAGTATGATCACTTTGTCAACTTTCCCCGGGAGGACCAGGAAGAAATTTCCATTCAGGTGAGCTACTGCGGGTCACTAGTCTTGAAACGTTTGCTAACGGCGCACAGGCCAAGCGCTTCGCCAAGGCAATGAAAGCCAGCCTGATTTTCAGTAGCACCAGTCATAGCATCAATGTCCAGAAGGTCAATCACAAATCTTTCATATGTTCGTACTCATCTAACCCAGACTGCAGATTTTCAAGATCGTTCTCGCCAAAGCTTTTGACCTGAAGTGTACCATCCCTGAAATCGAAAACATTGGCGAGCCTCTGTTGTTGTACAAAAATGTTTGAGAGACATGACAAAACGAAGTGGGATGAACGATTACGTGCCTAGGACGACGTGATGTTGATGAACGAAGTTTCCCCTCCTTTGGGTGCTAGGATGCGTTAGCTCCTTCTGCCGGATCCTCGAGGATCAGAGGTAGACTGGTCCGTGTTGGTGTTCTTTTTCAAACCTGTTTTTCTCAATCACCCTCTCTTATTTCCATTTTGTCCTTCATAAGCATTGGGGTGCGCCTGGATTTTCCTTCATTTCATCGCTTGACTTACTACTTTCACAGTGTGTTAAATTCCCCACCTGTTCACCTGCTCATTATCTCATTGTTTTCAAGCGCTCATTTGCGGGCTGTGTCTGTCAATATTATTTTCCCGTCTGGGTCATTGCACAATAGAGCAGGAGTGCTCGGTCCCAGCATTGGTCTGATATGTTCTTCTGTTCGTGTCGTTTGCAGCTCCTTGAGGAGATCGTTTTCTTTTGTTGATAATATAATTTGACCTATGTCAGTTTGAAAAGAGTAGATACTACCGACGTAGGCACCCTGCAGACTCTGTCCTAGGGACCATCGACTGGCCTACTACAATCTTCATATGCCGATCGTGGGTTGAATCAAAATTGTCGGATATGCACAACGCACAGGTCTAGCTTACACGGGAATCACATTCATCTCATAGAATCATCTATTGTACTATGATAGTCATCAAAGACTTAGACTAAGCTGTTCCTCAGTGTACAACGTATAGCAGAATCGAAGAATGGCAAGATACTAGCTTGTTGTGGAGTACGATAATCAAGCTACAATGAGTGGCTGTACAGTAGCGCTTGTCTTATCGCAACGTGAGTTTCGGACCCGGGTTCGGCCTCGGCCTTGCTTTCGGACATGGCAATTCTCCGCGCCCAGTTCTCGGGATTTTCAGCCTTGTTTGTTAGCTGGACTCCACAACCATAGCTCTCCATGCCTGTCCCAGCCTCCCAGAGTCTGCTCCACTTGCTTCAGGAGTTATACGAGCATGAACGGTCCCTGTTTCACGTATCAACGTATGGTCTTGGTATCCCCGAATTACCCGGCCCCCTAAGCTTTATCTCCGTCGACTGGTTTAAGATGAGGAACTATAAAATCGTTATCCCAACGAAGGATGCCCGGATAAATGCAACCATCCTGATCAAGACACACACATCACAAAGTTGCAGACTTGAACCAAACCAGCACAATGAGCCATTCCGACCTTCTTCACCTTGTTAACTCTCTGGCCAACTATCCAGCACTGGAGACCGTCGATGAGCCCACGCGAAAGCAGCTCCTCGAGAGCATTGAGAAACTACGACGCAAAGTCGAGACTCCGACCGACTTCACAATTCGAACTGTCTTCGGGGTATGTTTGTGGTTGATCTCACGAGATGAGAGTCGAGACTGACAAACCACAGAGCCACCAAGCGATGGTACTACGACTGGCTGTGGATCTGGGACTTTTCGATGCCATCGCTCAACAAGGCGGCACGGCCACCACAGCCCAGCTAGCTGAAGCCACTGGAGGCGACGAGCTCCTCGTCTGTACGTTCAATGTTCCCAAGAATATCGCCTAGTCTCGTCCTCAGACTAATACCACCTACCAGCCCGCATCATGCGCTTCCTTGCCGCCATCAACATCTTCGAAGAACTCGCCCCATCAACCTACAGAACCACACCTCTGGCTGCAGCATACACCTCACAATCTCCTCTCTCCGCCATTGTGATTCACGCGTACGTCCGCCCAAGTTCCCTGCCTCCTACCCCTAAATCACCCTTCTAATGCGAGTTCAACAGAACATACACCCTAGTAACAATGTCCCAACTCCCGGCCTACTTCGCCGAAACCGGCTGGAAAAGCCCCGACGACGCCACGAACGGGCCCTTCCAACACACGCACCGCACCACGCAGACTTTCTTCGAGCACCTCGGCACCAACCCGCACCTCCAGCAGGCCTTCAACGCAGTCATGTCCCTGGACTTCCGGCGCAGCAGCTCGGCAAAGCAATGGTTCAAGCTGTATCCGATCGAATCGAAACTCTTCCCTGCGACCACCACCACCACCACCACCGCAGACGAAGACCCCAACCGCGCAGCCCTAGTCGACGTCGGCGGCTCCCAGGGCAAAGACCTTCTAGCCTTGTGCCAGCATCTCTCCATCCCACCACCACCACCAGCATCAACAACCGACCCTTCTCTCCAGACCCAACCCCAGACCCAACCCCCCACGCATTCCCAACCAAAACTGATCCTCCAAGACCTCCCCACCGTCATCGCCTCCATCCCCGCCTCCGTATCCGCCACATTCCCGGGGTGCGTCACCCTGCAGCCGCACAACTTCTTCGATGAGCAGCCGACCCGCCGCGCGCGGGCGTACTTCCTGCGCACGGTCCTGCACGACTGGCCCGATCGGCAGGCGCTGCAGATCCTGGGGCGGCTGCGCGACGCGATGGCGGAGGACTCGGTGCTGCTCGTCAATGAGGCGGTGGTGCCCGAGGCGCGCGCGGGGTTGATGGCCGTGCAGACGGATTTTATTATGTTGTGTAACTACGGGGCGTTGGAGCGGACGAGGGCGCAGTGGGTGGATCTGTTGGAGAGGGGTGGGTTTGAGGTCTGTGGGGTTTATGGAGAGGACGAACAGCAACGGCAGCAGGGGGGGCATGTGGTGTTTGAGGCGAGGGTGAGGCGGGCTTCTTCGTGAGATGGGTTTGGGATGGGTCTTGGGAGAGGGGGATGTGGGTGGTTGGTGTTTTGGGCTTAATGATTGCTGGTTTTTTAGATATCAGGAGACAGATAAACTAACTGAAGTATGGCAGAGCGTGGGAGCCATTGAGTCTATCATTACTAAACTCAATGTTCGTGCGAGAGTGATACTATATCATGTTTGCTAAGTGTTTTCTTTTCTTTCCTTTTTTTCTGTTGCTGACTTGGTTTATCTTCTACTATATCCTCAGGGAAATGGACTGATGCCCCACTAGCAAGGCACCTCCTTTGGCCGAAGAAATACCTCGCCGGGCATCGTGCTCGATTGTGTTTGGGCCACGATAGCCTGGTGCCACTCATCGCCCAGTATATCAAGATGCAATATGCTGGTGGAAGAAGTCCACGTAGTCGAAGAAGCTCCGCTTGTACTGCCGCTCGAACCGTCCGTCGGTGCGGTTGACCGTCTGCAGGCCGTACATGTTGGCGTAGCTGCCGAATTCGTCGTTGTCGAGGACACTCCACGCCAGCGCGCCGACGACATTGATGCCATCCTCGTGGATAGCCGTGACGACCTCGCGCAGGAAGAAGTGGTAGTACAGGGTGCGCTCGAGATCGTAGCGTTGCGCGTTGAGTGAGCGGTTGGCGTCGGCGAAAGGGTTGAAGCCGTACTCCGATATCAGGATACCCTTCGGCCGGAAGGTGCTCCAGAGGTAGCCGAGCTGCTGGCGCACGTACTGCGGCGCGATGTAGGCGTAGTCGTTGGACGCCTCGCCCATGAGCCAGCCGTTGGCCTGGACGTTGGTGAGCGTGGCGCAGGACGGCCAGAGCGGGTTACTGGAGTTGGCGGCGCAGGCCTCGATGCCCTCGGGCGCCGGAGAGGCAAACTGCGCGGTGTACGGGTCGATAGAGATGAAGTCAACAGTGTTCTTCACCGTGGCGAGCTCCTCGTCTGTCAGCGCGTCGATGGTGATGTTGGGGGTGCTGAGCACCTCGGACGGGATTTGCTCGCCGAGGAGGAGCGGATTGCCCATGATGCCGAGGATGAAGGCCTGATAGCGCTGGGCGCTGGTGGTGTGGGTGCTGTTGGTCGGGTCAAGAGGTAGCGCGAGGTTGTTGGCGAATTTCAGGGTGATTTGAGCCGTGCCGCCTAGGGTCTCCTTGTACCAGTGGTAAGCGGCAGCGTGTGCGAGGAGTATGTCCTTGAGAATGCTGTATGACTTTGCGACGCTGCCCACGGAGATGTTGGGCTCGTTGAAGGTGACCCAGTATGGTACCCGATCGGCGTACCGAGTCATCACTTGTTTGGCATAGTACAGATAGTGCGAGGTCAAATTGCCCATGTCCGCAACCACAGAGGGCGGATAGTCGGCATGGACCAGGGTCACGATAGGGGTGACCCCGTACTCCAGACAGGTGTTGATCACGTCATCGTAATGAGCCAAGCCCTCGGTATTCACAGGCGATCCAGCCACTCCAAAAGGGACAATGCGGCTCCAGGGGATGGAAAACGAGTAGTAGGGAACACCCAGCGCAGCCAGTCGCGCAATGTCTTGTTTGTATAGATAATAGTTCATGGTGGCCACATTGGCATCGCTAGCACTATCGTTCGACTGGAGCGCGCCAATGGTGTCTAGAATACTTGGTCCTCGGCCTCCCAGCTGAAGGCCTCCTTCAATCTGCCATGCACTGCCTGCAACGCCCCAGATGAAGTTTTCGGGAAGCTTCTTTTCCGGGTTCGCCAGGTACGGAGTCAGAGCCGGTGGAAATACCAGCTCACTGCTTGGAACCGGGGTAGGAGAGACTGTCGTTGTAAAGGGAGGCCCTGAAGAGTAGGATAACGACGCCCAGAGCTCATTGTATGCTTCCTGGTCATACTCAGTCTCCGAGCCGGGATCAGCCGTTGTGGTGGGCTCGAGGCTGTAGGTAGTGTAGGTGACACCTGTGGGCAGGAGGCTCGATGCTTCACTGAAAGGTGGAGCGAATGGGGTAGCAAAGGAGATAGGAGAAGGCAGTGGTGTTGCATAACGGTTCGATGTGAGCTGAGTATAACTGAAAGAGCTGTACCGGTAGGCTGGAGTCTTGAAAGATGCAGTCACGGTGGGGGAAGCATGTGGCGAGCTGGAGTGTGCTACCAACGCGTCTCCCAACTGGCTCCCAACCAACGCCGTGGTCAGAAGCGTATCTTTGAGCAACATGGTAACCGGATTGACCAGGTCTACCTGGTCGATGGTCTCAGTCGGAGTTGCAGGAACTCTCTCCACCGTGGGACTAGGTAGGTTCTTTCCCGTATTTATAGTCATGGCCGAGCACCATTCTCTCCCGAGCCCACCCGCTATAGCAGAGTCAGGGTCGCAGCAGAAAAAGATTGAGATCTGCAGAATGGAGTGTAACCTTGAAATGGTGCTGTGTGGGGGTGAAGACGCCCTTGTGAGCTGTGGACATGGCGACACACGTAGCTTCTTCCCCCACACTTCCCCGCAACTTCGGTGAGTCGAGCAATGTCAGACCATATCCCGAGGTATTACCGATGATAAACCGAAAACAAGGACCGTCGGGAAATCCGGAGAGGTGATTCAAACGACGAGGGCTGAATGTGGATTGTGGGGAGGTGTTGCGGGGAACCATCATCAGACCCTGATCATGGTGGATTGCTTTGATTGCTAATTGCTAGAATCGGCAAGTCGATTTCGGCCCCACCCCGTCGGACAATTCCAGTTGTCACCCGAAGGTCTTCCCCAGTCAGAGATGACCTTGGTTTTCAAGTCTCCTCACGTCATTATATCAATGCTGGTTTGAACCAGCTTGAACGGTCTCTGTCCACGCTGGCACATGTTTTACTTTTGGTGCCTCTCGTCCATGTCCATGTATTCTCCTCACCCCAAGGGCAGGTCTTCCTACATTCGACAATGAATCAAGCAGCAAGCAACGAAGTTCCTGACAAGCAGCTTCCTACAGCATCACATCTACTAGGAGAGTGAAAACCATCATCTCAGAGCTTCAAGTTCAAGAAGCCTGACAGAGGGGGATGCCTCCCACATTGCGTGATTGGTATGCATACCAAGACTCGTCTGCGCGCATCTATACTCGAGAGCGGAGGCTGCATCAACCTTTATAAACTCGTACTAACCCACCTTTCCCTCGAATCTGCGAACGAAAGATATCTCATTATTATCCGACATGGTCTGATCCTCGAAGGTCGGATAAATCGAATCGATCTCGACCCCGCAAATGCTTTGACTGCAGCCCGCAAATCAGGGTCTGGGCGACGCGCGCCTCCGCAGGAAATATGCCCGAAGCAGGACAAGCCATGCGAGAGTCAAGGTTGGCATCCAAGCTGCCGGTAACTTGGCCATCATGAGTCCAAAGAATAGTCGCTGGGATAACCAAATGCATGTTGGAATCCCACCAATCCCCCGTAGCAAATATTGCCGGATGGCTCAAATTCACTGCAAGCTGAAGCGGCGCCCAACTCCCTTGACATGGCTGTGGCTTCCCCGCTGATAGAGGCATATAATGATGGGGATACCCCGGATTCTCCACAATCTCCACGGCCTCCACAGCGTTTACGAAGCATTATCAGATCTAGGGTCGTTAACAAGATGAAACCGAAGGTCTACCAATTTGTGGTGGCCCTTTTTGCTGCCTTCGGATCCTTCCTTTACGGTTATGACCTGGGTGTCATCGCCTCCGTCGTTGCGTCAGACTCTTTTGTCAGCAAGTTCTTGACTCATAATGGGAGCGTAATCTCTGGAACAGTTGTGTCCTTGTTCACAGCTGGTAAGCCACAAACCTCCACTCCTAATGTGCTTGCAATTAATCCTGTACAGGTGCGTTCTTTGGAGCCCTAGGAGCGGGCTATACTGACCCACTCGGTCGTCGCGCAACCCTCGTGTTGGGATCTGTGCTGTTCTGTATCGGAGGCATCCTCCAAACAGCAGCCGTCAACGTTGGCATGTTGCTGTTCTCACGCATCTTTGCTGGTTTCGGGATAGGTATTCTTGTCGAAACCGTCCCTATGTTCCAGGCAGAGATTGCACATGCCAGCATCCGAGGTATTTTGGGGTCGCTTCAGCAGACCATGCTGGGCATCGGTGCATTATCCGCGTCCTGGATCGGATATGGCTGTGAAAAATCTTGGGCCAATACTGGCGATAGTGTTCAGTGGCGACTTCCGTGAGTGACACTACCTCAATAGATTAGCAATTATCTAACAAAACACTTCCGGACAGTCTAGCACTTCAGCTGGTTCCGGCTATTGGCCTAGCTTCATGCATCTACTTCTTCCCCGAGTCACCTCGCTGGCTTATTGACCACGATCGTCACGAAGAAGGATTGCACAACCTGGCTCGCCTGCACGCCAACGGTAACATTGACGACCCATATGTCCGGGCAGAGTATGAGTTGATCCAGCGTCAAATCGAGGAGGAGCATCAGCACGCCGCCAAGTCCTATAAGGAGTTGTTTGCTAACCGTTCCAACACACGTCGCATCATTCTTGCGTGTGCCTGTCAAGCATCCAGCCAGATGTGAGCCTCTATCCCACTCACCCTTCAAGCATCTCGTCTTACCATCTCTCAGGACCGGCGTCTCCGCCATCCAATATTTCTCCCCAGCCATCTTCGCACAAATCGGAATCTCCACCTCAAAAACACTTCTCTACCAAGGCATCAACTCGATCATCGGCGAGCTCGCGCAATTCATATTCTTCTTCCTCATCGACCGCGTTGGCCGTCGCCCATTGCAGATCGGAGGCAACATCGCCTGTGGGGTTGCCTTTATCATCGGCGCCTCGCTCCTGTCGCAGTACCCTCCCGACTCCACCAACACGGCCGCGCACTGGGCCTTCATTGTTGCCAGCACCTGGGTCTTCAATTTCTGTTTCTGTGCCTCGGGGACCATGTCCTGGATTATCCCCGCTGAGATCTTCAACACCGCCACCCGCGCCAAGGGCATCTCGCTGGCGACCATGGTCTCGTTCGCATTCAACACGATGATCGCGCAGGTCACGCCCATCGCGCTGGAGCGCATCGGCTGGCGCTATTACTTGTTGTTCATCGTGTGTGACTTCGGCAATGCGCTGTTCTTCTATATGTTCTTGCCGGAAACAAAAGGGCTGTCGCTGGAGGTGATGGACGATTTGTTCACCAATGCACCGTTGTTGGTTCCCGGCAGCCGGTGGGAGGTGTCGCCGGAGGTAAATATTGAGAAGGCGTTGGCGCAGGAGGCTGCTGCGGTAGAGTTGGCGGATCGCTTTTCGGTGAAGGGGGATGAGAAAGAGGGGCCTGTGTCGACGAGGGTGGAGGCGGTTTGAGGGGAAAGCCCAATTCTGTCTATATCAAGCTCTGTCAGCTTGATTGAGTCTGCATAGGTAGCTAGCTATGTAGGCGTTTCCGGGAGCAAGAACAAGAGCTCACCCGAAATGCCTGAAGTCTCTGAATAGTTGAAGCAAGTTATGAATTAAGCAATGGCGATCGCCCTCGCAATGGCCGACTTTGGCGTAGCTCTTACATGTAAAAAGATCTATTCTGGACGGTTGATGGGCGAGCTCCTACAGTATGAAACTAGAAAGGGGCTATCCCCAAAGGAATCGGTACCGCAAACGGGCACGAGAGTGATTGAAAAAAATCTACCCAATATGCTGACACCTGGCACTGTGTTGTAGTTCGAGTACTATACCTGTAGATGCTAGTGCCATCACCACACTACCTGCAGCATCAGCATTTTCCTCACCTACCGCAGGCTCCCCTGCCCAAGCCCTAACTACCTTTCGGTCCCCGAGCAGGTCTATGATAAATTGACTTGGCTGAGGTACAGCAGGAGGTGATTCTATCAGCCTGCTGCAATCAAAATGTCCATTAAAGAATGATATGGATACTGTGAAGTATAATTCAGAGCTAAGCCTGCGACTCCCTGGCAGTTAATGCAGGAATTATACAATCAGCCCTGGGACTTCTGTCCAGGTGAAGAGAGCTAATAGACATTACAAGGCATACACATTGAATCTGTACATGGTAACCTACCTCCTGGATTCACAATAGCTAATCGATGTCCTTGCAATCAATCATGTCTTTTTGCAATCTCTAACGTCTTTGTGTACCTTCCATCCTGCAACTTCAACATCCACCACTTTCTTATACTATCCATCCTTCCAGCATCGAAGATATCCATGGATCTTCTATACTAAACCAATTAAAGTGACCATGCGGTAGCCTTTTCTCATCTGGAATTGTCTTTGATAGTCAGAAATATGTCATCAAGCACCCCAAAAACAATAATCATACTGGGATTCGCTAGAGCGATTCAAAAAGCTGCCCATCGTTACCGTGACGAGCCTAATTCCCGAAAGAGTTCAGCGCATATCTCTTGTACTTCGAAATGATGATTCAACTTTGGATGTGAAAGACATCAAGCCGTTGAGTTCTCGATCCTGAAGAAACGCGTTGGCCTATGCTAATTCTTGATGCACAACAGGGAGACTTCAAGCGATTTCGAAGTCGCCATGACGGCTCGATGTAGATTGAGACGCTGGCTAGTTGCCAGATTGATGCCATACGTCTATCCACCCATGCCGAACAAAAAGGTGACATCGGGTCGCAGCCATGGACTCGGGAGTCTACCTCCTGGGCGGGTTCGGTCAACCATCTGTTTGAAGGCCATTGCAGTTACCCTGGCTTCTACTACTGCGACTAGCACTGCTATGGTTGCGTCTCTTTCGTTTCTCCCAAGCACCACAGAAAAGGCATTGGTTGAGGGGTGTCTTCTGATCGGGATCATCTGCACCTGGGGTTTGATCTATATAGTCTCCTACTTCTGCAAGCGGAGCAAGTCAAACCAAGGGATAACCATGTATGTGGCACTGATTGATGTGGAATATGTTGGCAGAGTTTTCTTGTATGTATCGTTGTATATCTTAGGCAGTATAGATTAGAATACATTTCTCAACCTCGGGCTCATGATCATCCAGCGTAGAACTACCATGTTGAGCCAGGTAACTATCTCTATATCTCGTCGGCTGGTAGCGTGAGTAAGTCCGGCTATTTCACAATGATCCTTTATCCCGATATGCATACACACAGCAAAGCGCATTTTCACCTTCCAGCAACCTAAAGTCCCGACCTTGGGACGTCGATGGAGTATGAAAGGGAAGAGCACTTGTACCTTTGACCGAGAACTCTTTCGTGGGCTAGCTACGCCTTTTAAATCGGTCCCAAGTTGGAAAGCGTCTGTAAAGAATAACAAACATACGTTCAATCCATTCTTTATACGAAGCATAACTTCTTTGATAGCATTGTATCGCCACCCTCCCATAAGCCGGTATCTTTCCCCGCAGCTCTTTATGGAATCCCTTTATTCCAGAGGTAACAAGTACTAGAGCGCAGATGGACGAACCATCTTCCCCCTCAAGCACAGATCTATAAATAGGACCATGAACCCCGACCTCAATTGAAATCATCATCCCCACCACCACCACCACCACCACCACCACCACCCATTCACCCAAAACCTTTACTTACCAAACACTCCAACAGCGTTTCCTACCCGACAAAAGCATCCCAACATGACCCGCGTCGAACCAACAACCACCCAGACCACCCCGCACGGGGTGATCGAGATCCAAATCATGACCGGCGGCCATCTCAACCTCGTGGTGCTCCGGACCCAGGACCCCCGATTCGAGGTCGATGACTGGGCGCCGGCCCTCCAGCTGCTCCAAGAGCAGTGGAGGCGCAAGCGCCAGGACGAGCACCTCGAGTGTCGCGACCAGCCGATCGGTGGGATGATCTGCGTCGGGCCTTACATTCGACTGTACATCGAACCCTTGACTGCGGACGGCGGCAACGGCCCGGCCCGGCGCTTCGAATTCCAGGGCCGCAACGAGTTCGACGACTTCGGGCCGCACGTGCAGCCCTTCGAGGGGATGCCCCCACTCGTCTTTCTGGAGTTCATTCGCACTGTGCGCGCGGGCCGTGTTGAACGTGATGTGTCGCAGCCGGAGGCGGAGGGCGATCTTAAGTCCGATACGAGAACCGGTCTTCAATTGATCGGTTTGCAATTGGAATTGTTGGAGTGTGTGAAATGGCTAAGCCTGGAGCACTTTGAGCCTGAAGGTGAAGAGGAGAAGGAGGAGGAAGAGGAGAAGGAGGTGAAGAAGGAGGAGGATGAAGAGAAGAAGGTGAAGAAGGAGGAAGAGGATGAGGGACAGGCCTGTTAGGGATGTCAGTGTCAGTGCTCTCATGGCTCGTAGCTTTCAGCGCACGTGTTCCTTTCTCTTCTTCTCCTTTTCTAACGTAAAAAAGACCAAAAAAGAATCATAGTCTGAGATATTATATATGAAATCAATATGAATGCTCACAAAGGAAAATCTAGTTTGTCCTTCAATCGTCAGAATTATGTTAAGACACTTCTAAACAGAGAGCAGGAACTTGCGACCGGAACTGATCGCAGCCCTTTGGTCTGCTTTATCTTTCCCTTCTTCATCTAGTCAGCATCGATGAAGCTATTTTGCTCAAGATTCATATGCCTCGTCGTCTCCGGTTCATCTGGGTGTTTCCGCCAACTTATTCCACCCTCGTTCGATCCACCCTTCTTCGAGACAAGGAACCTCTGGTATGATGCCCTGCACTGGACGAGCCCTGGTCCCCGATAGCGAGAGCGTCATGTCAGTCCATCGAAACCGGTAGAATCAATCTCATCACTGTGATTATCTGTAGACTGCGCCCCCAAACTGCATGGACGCACGCCGGAACAGGGCCCTATCGGCGGGGTTTCCCTCAAGATCGCACAAATGCTTCGCAATGCACTGTGAATCAAGACACTCACTCGCGAGGGTCATCGAATACTAACATGAGAATGGTGAGAGGATGCGCCGCCCAGCTGACTTCGCTCCGGGTGAACGACGCCTTCTGGTCGGGTTGTGTCAGGTCTCGGCGGAAGTTGATGCATCAGGAGCCAGTCATGTTCCGGCAGCTACCATCGACATAGTCAAAAGGGATTAGAGATCCAGTCGAAAAAGAATGCTCCCAAAGACTTCAACTTGTCGTGAAGACTTTCGCCAAGGCATTTGACATAGTTGTAGCAAAAGCGGGGCCCCGCATCATCGGCAGGTAGAGTAGTTGCAGGGAAGAGGGCGGGTGCCACGCCACACCAACCGCGTAGCTGTGTATGCCCTCAACCACCCACCCAAAAAAGCAAACCACCACATAGGGAAACAAAAAGCTCACACTGCCCAGATGCAGCCCGGGATTGTTGAATCCCTCCAGGGGGGCACACCTCTCATTCCAGTGCTATGAAACCCCCTTTTTTACTCAGGATTTTCTAACCAGTCCTCCTCCCTTAGCACTAGAGAGGGTCGAACCGTCCTGCCACCGGCCAGGTCTGATGCAGGATGATTGCCTCCTACGGGATTCGAACTACCCCATCGGCCTGCTGGGCTACTCGGTAGAGACCGTGCTATAATGATCACGGGGCGGAGCTGATCCCAAAGAGGTAAAAGGGGTCCCGAGATAATGCCGTGAACCTCTTGGCTGGGTTTCTTATCTGGACCTCGTGGTACTTGCGCGCACTTCCTTGCTTGGCTGGTATTCAATTACGGTTATGCATGGTGTATATGTCTAACTTGCTCTGCTTCTGGTTCTTTACATGTCTATATTAACGACGCCAAATCTGCTAGGTGGTCTACAAGCAAGCTATCATCACCCCGCCTCTCTCATTACCTAGAAGAGCCACGGCAAGCACCGGATGCTTCGCAGCCGTTTTTCGAAGGTTCACTTGAGCAGGACGAGGTGTGATCAAGATGACCTCCCCACTCAACTCGATATTCCCCGCGAGTGGAATGCTTACTTTTCTCATGTTTGAGGCACCCGACGAAAAGCTCTACCTCCAGCCAACAGACACAAAAAGGCCATAAGATATGACCCGATATAGCGTCCCGATCAGCAGAAGCAGTCTGCGAGCGTGTCAGTCCTGTGAATACAATCATTATGTTATGTGGATGGGCTATGATTCTTACCCGATATCAAACCCAGTCCGGTTATTCTTGTAACCAATAAAATCCGAGGCGCCGTCCAATTGATACAGGTAGGCAAACGGCGAAGTGTTCTCGTTGTAGAACGCCTCGGAAAACCATGTCTGTATTCAGAGATCAGACGCTGCACACACATACACACACACGACAACTCAGTCAAATGATGACTCACTGCAGGCCACAGATACCAGAACCATCCTAGATGCCATGTCTTCACCAATGCCAGCCGGGGTGCACAGCCCCCGAGGGCAGAGATGACAAGGCAGCTCAACATGCAGACCAGTGGGCCGTCTTCACGTCGTGTTATGGCTGCCACGATGCAGCCGAGACCGTACATGCCTGTTGTCCTCGGTTAGCTATCCGTTCAAGGGAGCTACAGAGAGAAGGGGGGAGACTACGCACAGTAGAAATACAGAAAGTCAATCGCCAGCTGAAGTCCGAAGGATATCGTCGGTGTCGCTAGGATCATATAGATGGTAGTGTAGTGTAAGGACGACAGGAACATGCGCAGAAGCACGGAGAGGTTCTTGCCCAGGAAATAGGCGCTCCGGGAATGGCCGGATTGCTGTTCGCGGCGGAAGATCAGTTCTGGAAGTTTTGTCAGCAGGTGCAGTATGGAGGAAATCTGGCTGAACATACTCTCTTCCCCTAGTAGCTTGACACCTGGAGGACCGGCTGCACAGGCTACGTGCGGAGGCAAGTGTAAGCGGATCTCATTCAATTCGATCTTCGGAGACAGCAGCGAGCACTCACCTATGCCCAAGCACGAAAGCAACGCCTGCTCGGCAAGCATGCGGTAGTTCACGGCGCTGGACAGCAACTCAAACGGAGGGTGATAGATCCCTTGGAAGATGTGGCCGTGATACTCGAAAACCGTCAAGCCGATCATGACCCCGATGACGGAGCCCGATACAATCTCCAAGCAGAAACTTGCAGTCTGTCGGGTCTGTTGCACTGTTCCGCGGCAGAACGAGAGCCAGACTTGTCGCGCCCACGAGGCTTTTCGCTGCCGAATGGAGAGGAGAATATCAGGGACTTCTTGCGGAGTGTCGGACGCTCCGGCCGCGTCAGCGTCAGAAATGCCTGTTACTGGCATGCAAGATTTCCCTTCCGTGGCTGGCAGATCTGTATCCTCCCACGCGTGACTAGGCAGAATATCCATGATGATATCCGCCGGATTGCAGAAGGAAGGGAACTCATAGCCAAGGCCTGTGAAGTAGGCTTTGGCGGTGGCAGCTTCGCCAAAATAGACCTGTTTCCCTGAGTTCAGAAGCATGAGGGTATCCAGAAGAGCAAAGATCTCAGCCCTGGGCTGATGAATGACACAGATGACCATGATTCCGCAACGTGAGATCGAACATAGTAACCTCATCAAGGACAGTGCCGCGGTCGCGTCGAGGCCCGAGGTCGGTTCGTCGAGGATCAACACCTTGGGAGCGGCGGCGAGTTCAAGGCCGATGCTCACCCGTTTGCATTCTCCCCCAGACAATCCTCGTTGTGCAACACTACCCACCATTTGATCCTGCACCTTCGCAAGTCCGAGACAGGCAATCAATGATTCAACATAGTCTTGAATTTCATGGTCGCCCAGCTGCCCGCCCAGCATGACGCGTGCCGAGTGAAGAAGGTTCTCTCGCACGGTCAGCTCAGGAAGAACAAGATCATCTTGAGGGACAAATCCCATCAGCGCTCGCAGCCTGTCAAACGGCAATTAGTCCCAAGAGACAGAAGAAGTAAAGGTCATGGTATCTGCACATACTCTGCCGGCTTCATCCTATAACCGTTGAGACAGATCTCGCCAGTGCTAGCCTTATTCTTTCCGCCCAAAATGTTGACAAAACTCGCTACGAAGAAACACTTAGCCTCGAAAACACCCCCGAGCAATCAAATCCCCCCCTTCTGCGCAACCTACATTTCCCTGAACCAGAGGGGCCCATGACCCCCAGAATCGAGCCAGCTCTACATGATCCATGCAGACCAGCTAGAATGTCAGTCGGTCTGCCTCGGATTCTGAAGCTCAAATCCGCAAAGGTAATTTCCAGCGGCCGCGCTGCAGTATCGTCCACTGACAGAAAGGGAAAGCTCAACAGTCGCGGCACACCTTGCTCCTCTTCCCCCCTTTCCTCCTGCGGCTTCTCAACTATTCCTACTTTGTCTCCGCGCCCATTCACATTTGAGAGCCTCGACCACGACCATAGTCTCGTCAAGTCGGAAGACAGAGAGAAGCGCCGCATCCAGATCAGAACCACCACGATGTCCAGCAGAATACACAAGAGTATACCCACCAGATCACGCTGATGTGAGCTTCCTTCCGGACAAAGGGATAGGGCCCTGCACTTGATGGGGTTGGCTGTCCCCACAGGGCAGAAGGAGCCCTGCGGACAAGGCACGGGCGGCGCTCCCCCGGGCGCGCAGTAATTGCCCTCGGGGCATATCACGGGCTCGAGCGTGCCCTGTGGCTTGTCGCAGAAATTCCACCCTTCTTGGAGTCGTTTGATGTGGCAGTCGAACGTCGGGGTGCAATGCTCGGGTGGGAGGTCGCCCTCGCTCGATTGGCCTGTACACGAATCGTGAGCTTTGGTTTGCCACCAAACTGAATCAGGCTGTAGTATAGGGCATCGCACAGTAAAAGCCATCATTGCAGGTGGGTGAAGAGGCGAGCCAGGCCGCTTGCTGCCCTGAGAAGCAGGTATCATTCGATGGCGCCGGGCCTATGCCGCTAGACATCGAGGTGTTCATGTGCCTGTATTGAGGAAGAGACAACTTTGTTTAGTCGTGTCGGGGTGAGCTCTGCAGGTAGGATATACGACTACGATCGACATGGAAAAAGGGGTAATCCCAGCAGTCGGGAACCTTGCATGATATGCTGCAAGGTCCCGCATATGATGCATCTCATGCATGCCAGATTAGGGGTGGGCGAGGACATTGCCCTGTACACTGGAAAATAACTACTCTATCCTGTGTCAGGGATATGTCAGATGTTGGACCCCGGTGTATCCAGGTTGACATTTCGACTGGTTCGTCTGCACATCGGTCCTCACTCCAGTTCAACATTCTTCAAGTTCAAGACCGCGACCTGCCGGCCGGCCAGGACTGTGCCAGCGCGTGCGAATGAATGTTGTTTTACTCCTTACATGTCAGTCAAATCTTATCTCGCATGGCGCTTGATGACTTGCTGGAACTCGTATCCGCAGTACCCTTGTACATTCCATGCCTTGATACGTCGAACCCAACAACTTTCTTGTTTCTTGTCTCTTCAAAAGGCCAGCTATGATGTTCCAGCCGTAATAATGCATGCTAAACGAGGCATGGTATACAAACACTGTCGGCATAGCCGAGTAATCCAGCCACATGATGCAACGCGTTTGTCAGGATACCCATATTGATAATTCAGTCAGTTTCCAACCACCAGGAAAACCAAGAACACGTTTCATACACCTTACCTCTGAGGCTTCAAATCGCTGACATATACTGTACATACAAGCGTACTTCACACAATAACACCCATGAATCAATCTACATAATCGTCATCATCTTCATCATCCTTCTCCTCCTCCTCCTCCTCCTCCTCCTCTTCCTCCTTACCCTCATGCTCCGTCCTCAACTCATAAAACCTCTTCTCCGTCCAATCAAACACATTATCCCACTCATACCCCCGCCTTGCAAACAACTTCCGAAACCAGCCCCGCAACAACTCATAGTCCGGCAGTTCATTGTACCGCAGCCCATTCACATGGTGAAAATACCACTCAAACTCCACCGGCAAGCCACGACACAGCTCCTGGGCCGTGATGCGGCTCTTCGCCTCCCCGATGGGCCGATGCTTCGAATGGCCCAGATAATCCCAGGGGAGCTCGCCCTTCAGGAACTCGACGAGCGTGTACCCGACACATTCCATATCGTCGCGGTAGGTTTGATCTGCAGCCATCACTCACGTTAGCCCCGACCCCATCAACTCAAACCGAAAACCGTTACCCCCTCAACCCCTCTCACATCAACCTCAAAAGCCACCAAGCAAAGGAGGGAAGAAAACTTACAATACCTCGAATGCGCCGCGCGGCTCGCATAAAACACCGTGCCGACGACATCCTTCTCCAACTTCCCGCGATACCACTTGACGTTGCGCCGGCTCACGAACTTCTTCCGCGCCAGCCCGAAGTCGTTGATGTACAGCGTGTGGCCCTTCCGGCCGCGCCCCATCAGCAGGTTCTCGGGCTTGATGTCCTGGTGGATGTACCCGGCGGCGTGGATGTGCTGCATGCGCCGCAGCAGCTGGTCCGCGATCATCAGCACTGTCTTGAGGGAGAACTCGCGGTGGCAGTAGTTGAAGAGATCCTCGAGGGTGGGGCCGAGGAGTTCGATGGCCAGCAAGCGGTAGTCGTCGATGGCCGGGTGGTAGAAGTAGACCTTCGGGATCCCGGGGCCTTTGATCGCCGTGTAGATCGTGTGTTCTTGTTCCAGGGTGTCGCGCGTGCTGAGATGTTCGAGTTTGAGGGCGACGGTTGTTTTGGTTTGGAGGTCTTGGGCTGCTGGGGTGTTAGTGTTGGGGTGAGGGGGAGGGGCTAGGATGGATGACCGTACCGAGGAAGACTTCGCCGTAGCCACCTCCTCCTAGGTAGTTGAGGAGTTTGAAGCGGTCTGCGACGGTGATGTTCTGGCGGGGTGGTTGGTTAGTGTGCTGTTGCTATCGCTGGTTTTGCATTGGCAGGGTAGCTCTGGGTGGAGGGCTTACGAGTTGCTCGGTCGGCATGAGGATTTTCTGTATAGTATGTTGGGGATATGGTGGACATGGTGATGATGAGAGATGAGAGTGGAGTGAAGGTTGTTGTGGATTAGGTGGGAGCGTTCTTTGTTGCGTTGGTTGATTCCGAGTAGAGTCATTTTGGGTGGTCATGGGCTTTGAGCTGTCGCGGATGCTGCGCTGGAGGTGCAGTGGGTATCACGCTTTGTTCAATTTGGCTATAATTACAACCACTCGATGAAAGGAGCTGTCGCGGTTGTGCTTCTCTAGTGATCAAAGTAGCATTGTTATACCCCTGAGGGCTCTGTTAAAGGGTGACTTCTTTCACAAAGCAACAGTGTCTTTGTCCTCCTCAGCTGCACACAATCTGATACATCTACTCTTTGTTCATCCTCATGATGCAGATAGGTTCATACCATAATGCAAGTACGCAAGGGGCATTAACTTGAGATTATGTCTTCTGTTCAAACAAAAGCATTGGAAAATCAAGCATGTAACGCGATCTCTCAATTTTTAACGAAACAACAATTCATAGAAGCGATCTCTCAATTCTCAGCGAAACAGCAATTTATAGCACTCATCTCTATGCTACAACCATACGGCATCTTTCGCACGTTCTTCAACATAGGAAGCTTCATACTCAAAGTCATAGACGAAGCGCACTTCGGCACCGCGGGCAAAGACCGAATGCCTTGCATTATCGAACAGAGCACAGGCAGTTCCACGCCTGCTGTGTACTCGGACAGCTTCGACGAGATGTACGAAATCGACCCCAAGTACTGGGCCGATCTTCCCTACATCTACCTGAGCCACCGGGCCATCATAGAGTTCCGCAAACGCGAGAAGGCCATTGCCGAGGAAGCGGAGCAAGAACAGAAAGAGAGAAAAGCGAAGGAAAACAAGGCAAGTCGCAGAAGGCTGCGGCTACCGCACAAGTTACGCAGCCTGAAGGAGTTCGCCAAGGGTGGTGGGCCAGATTTATCTGGCATTGGTAGTGTACGTTGAGTCCTTTCTCACCCCCTGCAGACCCAAACAAACCCCGATAAGCTAACGGGAACGATGCTATAGTTCGGCTGGTCTGGCTCGGCGGAAGCCTGCAACTCGGCCTCCCTTTACGACGGCAACTGCCGCAACTTCCTCAAGCTGCACGGCGTCGCGGCCCGCTCATCCAGCCAGAACCTCCCGCGCAACATCGTCACCCTGCGGGAACGACTCCGGAAACCTCGCGAATCCGTGAAACGACTGGACCCCAACGACCAGAAGGTCTGGCTCAAGGCGTGCCGGAATTTCGAGAAGCAGCGCGCCAAGTTCAACGACGCGCTCGACATCCTGCTGGGCGCGGCGTCCGAGACGGTCCTCACCTACGAGAGCGAGCCGATCACCGGCCTGGACCCGCTGGTGGAGGGGATGTTCCTGGCGCAGCCGAGCTACTTCGACTGCGGCGACTTCTACGCCCTGGACGAGGGCGGCCGCCTCGCCAACGACCTGAAGAGCTACATCCTGCCGGCGACGGACGCGTACGGCGTGGTGCCCAACTTCTTCGTGCAGCTGCAGATCGACGACGAGGACCATGCCGCCGCCGCCGAGCTGCAGGCGATGCACTACGGGGCCCTGGGGGCGCGCGCGGTGCACAAGCTGCGCTTCCACACCGCGCGCGCGGACAAGGCGTGGCTGGACGAGGTCGCGTACTCGATTGTCGTGGTGGTGTCCGAATCGTCGGTCAGGATCTACGCGGCGCATATGATCGAGGCCGAGGATGGATCCAGAGAGGCGGATTATCAGCTGACGGACCTCTATCGGAGTCGCTTGGATCGTGGAGTGGGACAGTTCCGGAAGGCTGTGACGGCGGTGCGGAACGCTAGGGACTTTGCGAAAGAGTGGAGGGAGTACTTCATGGAGATGGCCAGGCGGGAGGTGGAGGGCGATCCTCGCAACTTGTCGCAGGGAAGTCCAATGTCAGTGGATGAGAAGCCGAACGATGATCCTGGCGAGGGTCCTAGTAGGATGGCTCGTATGCCCTCACTGAGTGACGACCAGAGCTCGGCCAGTAGCGACAGTGCGGCGTCTGGCCTCAAACGGCGCAGAAGTGACTACGCGCTGCTGTATTCAGGCCTGGGCGAAGAGCTTCCACGCGTCAAGCGCCCTAGATCTGTGAGCAGTAGCAGTGATAGTCCACGGTTTAGTTAGTATATTTGATAGAGCGGGTCCTCAAATAGAAGAGAGAGCAGAGACGGTATAGAAACATTTCACTATGGAGAAGTGATCGAAGTCGAGATAAAGAACTGGGTAGACTCTGATCTAAGAAAGGCAGGACTTTTGTAAGCACACTGTTGATGTCCCGAGGTTTCTATACATTCCGTGCCAAATATTGAGATCAGAACTTCGACACGAATGGAGCTAATGTTTAAAGTTCAAAGTTTTCATCAATTGCAACGATAGCAAGCTCATAGCGCAGCTGTTCTGGCACTTTTTTTTCTTGATATCAGTGTTGCAGGATTGCGAACGTCCTGCCGTGGAATGACAATGACATGGTTGCTCGCTGCGTTGCTGCCGCTTTAACGGCCTTTCTGCCACCGCCTAAACTGAACAGTTTTGCATTTGACTTTCCTGAGGCTGTTCACCGCAAAAATGGGGCGTCGGCGTTGCGAGGTCTCGAGCTTTCTGCCGCGCAGGCGGTGATACTGGCGGTCAAGTCATCCTTCCTACACGCGTTCAGTACAGTTTTCAGGTCCACGAGTCGGTAGAATGTTGGTCTCTGTGGAAGCAGCACTCAAAGAGGTAAGCGGTGAGATGTATATTATTCTGCCACTGCTGCGGGTCATCCTTCCAACACACGTTTAGTACAGTTTCCAGGTCCAAGAGTCTGTACGACGTTAAGATCTTTTGAAGCAACACTCAAAGCAGGAAGCGGTGAGATCTGACCAAATTGTTCTGCCACCGCCCAGCAGTTAACATTTCTGTGTTCAAAGAGCCGGCTCTTCTTGAAGCACACTCAAATGGCAAGGCGGCAAAATGCCCGATCGCGTGGACAGCGATAGTAAGCCCCCACAGACATGACTATAACCGAGGCTGGTCTCACGAGCATTGATATCCTATGTTTGCAATTTATGTCTGATCACATGAAAAGCTACAATGAGGTATCTTGGCTTATATACTCATATGAACACCGAACAAGATAATTGGATAAGATACTCCACCGTACTGTTTTCATGGATAGCGATATGGAGCTTCTTGCGGCGGTGCGAGTTTACAGCTCAAGCTTGCGATCTCGTAAAGGACCTCTCGCCTTGGTATACCTCATGCATAATTCACCCATCTTAAATCTCGATAACAATTGGTTCCTTCCCAGGCTGTGAAGTAAATTGCTACAAAGTGTATATAGTAGTTCGCGCACTCTACACCAAATGCAAAATGCGGGGAACAAATGACGAGACCGCGGGGTGAGCCGGGTATTTCCTCCCCCGGGTAGAAATGTCCCTCACACCAAACACGATTCTGCATCTCCCTCCATCAACACCAATGCAACCAAGCATTTTATCCCGTCCCTTTTCCGTGAATTTACCTACGCGCTTCATCAACATGGCACCCAAAGTCGCAGTCCTCGACGACTACCAAAACATCAGCCCGCGCCACTTCGAGCACCTCACCTCCCGCGTCGAGTTCAGCTACTTCCCCGACACGCTGAACCCCCGCCTCGCCGACCAGCAGCAGCGACTCATCGAGCGCCTCCGACCGTTCGAAATCATCGTCTCCCAGCGCGAACGCACCCCCTTCTCCAAGGACACGCTCTCCGCGCTCCCGAACCTGAAACTGCTCCTCACGACCGGCACGCGCAACCTCGCGATCGACAGCCAGTACTGCGGCGAGCGGGGGATCCCCGTCGGCGGCACGCAGACCCGGCCCGCGGGGCTGAACTCCACCGTGCAGCACACCTGGGCGCTGATCCTGAACGCGGCGCGCCACGTCGCGCGCGACGATGCGGCGATCAAGCGCGGCGAGTGGCAGGGGTCGCTGGGGATGACGCTGGCGGGGAAGACATTGGGACTGCTGGGGTTGGGGAAATTGGGGGCTCAGGTGGGGAGGATCGCGGTGCAGGGGTTTGGGCTCGAGGTGATTGCGTGGTCGACGAACCTGACGCAGGAGAAGGCGGACGAGCAGGCCAAGGCGATGGGCTTACCGGCGGGGAGCTTTCGGGCGGTGTCCGACAAGCTGGCCTTCTTCCGGGCGGCCGACGTGGTGAGCGTGCATAGCGTGCTGTCGGAGCGTAGTCGGGGCATTGTGGGTCGGGAGGAGCTGGCGGCGATGAAGCAGACGGCGCTGCTGGTCAACACGTCCCGAGGTCCGTTGGTGGACGAGGCGGCGTTGCTGGAGACGCTGAACAGCGGCGCGATCGCGGGCGCCGCGCTGGACGTCTTCGAGCCCGAACCGCTGCCGGCGGACAGTCCCTGGCGCACCACGGCTTGGGGCACCGATGGCCGCAGTGAGGTCCTGCTGACGCCGCACACGGGCTACGCGGATGAGCAGATCCACGGCTGGTACCAGGAGGTCGCGGACAATCTGGAGCGGTGGTTGAATGGCCAGGAAATGACCGTCCGGCTGAACTAGTTTTCCATTCTATCTATCGCAAACAGCCTAAGAGGTTCTTAGACATCTGATGATGACGCCGTCTCCAGCCTGTCTTCAAAAATTACCTAGGTAAATCCAATTCCACCTGCCGCTATTACGTGATGGAGTCATCAACCGACCCATGACCAGACTCGGACGTAAGGCCGTGGAATTGAACCTCGGTCGTTCCCGCGGATTCCCATTCCTTCCCCCCCCCCCTCCCCCAAACATCTTTCCTTTCCCCACTATACCCCGCGCCCATATAATGTAGACCTTTCTGCTCCAAGAGCCGTCACAATGACCTCTCTCAACGAATATTTCCTAATATCCTTTTATAGAATTCCTCAGCTACTACACCCACCTTACTCACCCTCCATTGCCACCTAAAAACCAACCCAAACCAAACCAACAATGTCCTCCACCACCACCACCACCACCACCACAACGAGGGACCAACCCACCGCACCCCCACCCACGCACCCAACCCTGATCCACGTCCACCGCAGCCCCATTCCCTTCGCCAGCGGCGCCTACTCCCTCGTCTCGCTCCCGGCGGGCTCCCTCTTCTGCAAGATCACCGGCACCACCCCGGCCCGGAAAGCGTACACCTCCGTGCAGACGGGGCGCGACGCGCACATCGAGCTCAACTCCGACCTCGTCTACTGCAACCACTCGTGCGCGCCGACGGTGGACTTCGACATGCACCGCATGGAGGTGCGCGTCGTGGCGGACCGCGACCTGCAGGCCGGCGACCCCCTGACCTTCTTCTACCCCCAGTCGGAGTGGGAGATGGACCAGCCGTTCCAGTGCACGTGTGGGGCTGGGGCGCGGTGTCGGGGCGTGATCGATGGGGCGAAGAGGATGGATGCCGCGGTGTTGAGGGAGTATTGGTTGAATCCGCATATTGAGGAGATGGTGAGGGAGAGGGAGGGCAGATCTGTTTAGAGTTGGGCAAGGGGGGGAGGGGGAGGGGTAGAATTAAGAAATTAGAGAAGGAATAGGATGGATGGTTTTTTGGGCGGGGGGTGATAGAGATAGATAGAGTTGGATAGATTGGGGAATAGATATGGTTGATGTTTCGGATGTTATCATCGAGCCTGGAGTAGGAGTAGTCGAAGTAGCCGATTGTCGGCTCGACCATCTGGTAAGTGCAGCTCTCCTCTAGAGAATGGCATGGCGACAACGGATGAAATTCATACCAACTGAAAGCAGTGATCTATTCCAACTCACCCTCTAAATGCAGCAGCATATACATCTACCTAGTACCAAAATGCTATATACACAAACAAAACCTCCATTCCCCTACCCCCTCTCCGCAACCTAAACCACCACCCCTACCTAGAACAACCAAACACCCACCCAACCTAAACACTCCTCCAAATCTCCCGCAACGACACAACCGTACTAACCACCATCCCCACCCCGACCCCCAACGGCCCACCCCCCATCCACCCAAGATAAGTCCCCGGAATCAGCAAATCGCACCCATCAACAACCACCCTCTTGAGCAGCGTAGACGTATCAACTCGACTCGCAGTAGCTCCAGCCCTCCCCTTCGCCTTACCAGCAGCACCAGCACCAACACCACCCCGCTTCCCCCCAGCCTTCTTCACTCCCTTCCCCCCAGACCCAGCACCACCCCCGGAATACCACTCCCAGCCCGTTCCGATGAGTGACAGCGCCAGCGCATAGTACCAGAACTTGAACGCCTCGACAGTCACCGTTTTCGCCCACGAGACGGGGTAGATTTCCGCGGCGTGGAGCTTTTGGGCGTTGTGTTAGTTTATCCATATTCAACTCCGGAGGGGATCATCTCGGAGGGGGGGGGAGCGCGCTGAGGTGAGGCGATGAATAGTGCGTAGGGCATGGGAATCTGGGGTGTCAAGCCTGAGCAGCTCCCGAGACAACAAAGAAAAACCTCACTCCTCCATGACACGAGCTCCAATCAGGGTTCAGAAGGGCGAAGCCCAGCAAGAGAAATACACAACAGGGGGGGTTGAAAGGCAGCTCACCAAGGTCAAATCCTCGAGGAGGAAATACACCCCGAAGCAACTCCACTTGGCGACCTCGAGCCACCACAAGAAGCCCGTAGGCGATGCAGCGGCAGCGTGGCTCTTCTTGCGGGGATTTGGGACGTCTTGCCCCAGGAGCGAGGAGACGCGGTTGAAGCAGTCCAGGAAATTCCAGAAGCGGATGCAACGGCGGACTACAGTATGGTAGCACAGGTTAGTATTTGTTGTGGTTCTTCAATTCGATTCTGGGTTTTGTGAGGAGATAAAGGTTGGGAAGAGGGGCAAGGGGGGGGGGCAAGAAAACTAACTCAATGCTAGTTGGGATTTAGCGGCTGATACTCGTTTGGCCGTGGTGCTGTCCAGAGAGCCGATCTCTAGTGCCACGAGGCATAATGCCTGGATGAGACGGAGGGTCTTTTCGTAGCCTGTGTTGAGGCGGTAAAAGCGCGAGAGGCGGTCGAGCATTAGGGTGGGTGGGCTGGTGGTGCAGGGGTGAAATTATGATTAAGATTATTATTCTAATAAATGATGGGATGGAAGGAAGGAGAGAGTGGGTGGCGAACTTATTTACAGACGTTCATAAAGAAGTGATGAAAGAAAACGGGCAATCGGCACTGTTCGTTCACCCATATCAGATACGCGTTAGCGGATTTAGCTACCACGGCGTCTGCAAGGCTAATCAATGGCGATATCGGGATCGCGCATCCCGCTTATCTACATTCCTCGCATGATCGCATTCCACCGAATATTTACTGGCCCCATTGATGAACTAACAAAACTAGTCACCCGCTACACACAAGAACGCTGGTAATAAGCTCACACTGGAACTACCGTCCCTTTCCGCCAGAGATGTCCTGTCCCAGGCGGTATCCGCCAACCTTCTCCCACTCGACCTTCTGCCGTGTAATGGGCAACTGTCTGCGCAGTCCCTTGAACGAGCCCTCGGCCATTTGTACGAAAGCCCGGTTCAGTTCTTCTTGGTAGTCCCGCTCGGCTCCGGCAATGCGCGAGACGATGGCTCCCGCATCCAAGGACGTCACGGACAGGCTGATCGGCTTGGTCGTGTTGAGCGCCACGTTTCCGTCCTCATAGTAATGCACATCCACCTGGATCTTACCCGAGATCGTGGTCGACTCCGACGAGACGGGAACAGTGTAGATGGAGCGGAAGCGACCGTTCCTGGTATATCCGGTTAGAACGCGGGTGTCGGCGGTCGGGCAGTTCGAATAAATCTCACCAGAAGTTGTTAGGGGAGTAGCGGTTGGCGACGAGGACGATAGCAACGGCGCTATCCTCCTCAATGGGGTAGACTCCATACGAGCAATCCCGGTAGTGTTCGAGGGCGTGAGCGCCGAGAGACTTGAGGAGAGATTTGCTGATTCGCGACGGGTTAACGCTGCACTCCGAACAACAAGATGGAAGATGCAGCTCGAACTCACATCAAGTCGGCGTTCTGCGACTCGAGAACATATGATTGCGCAGCGGAGGCTTCCTACAATGATACCACAAGTTCAGCCGCCAGGCCACCCTACCACGCACGATGCAGTAACCAACCTGGGTGACATGATCCACTTCGAAAGACGTCTGGCTCTCCACATCAAAGTATCGGTTTCCTTCCAGCTTGTTGTATTCGGAGATCAAGACCTGTGAGCACACTGTCAGATCGTACTCCGTTCAGGGGTAGCACCGACGCAACCGCACCTCCTGACTGGCGCCTGGAAGCTTCACGGTCGCCAACTGTGTCTCATTGTAGCGCTCGAAGGCCGGGGCCAGAGAGGGAATAATATCGGGGCCGTCGGAGGTCAGGGACTTGACATCTGTTCTCGTTCAGTTCTGGGCTGGTTGCCGTGGGGAGTGAGATGCGGGGCGACGACGGGGGAAGTGACGAGAGTAGGAACGGGATGCAGCAAGGACTGGGCGTACCTGCGACAACATCTGCAAGCTATTTGAGTTCGACGTTAGCTTGAGCAGGTTCACCATAGCCTTTGGATTGAACTCTCGTGGACTAGGTATTGACCTACCTCTCCAGGCGGGGCACCCTCGATGAAAGAGGATGCGATGTCAACAGTGGAGGCCATGGGGGCTAGGCAATTATTATATGAGGTGTGAAGCTAGGTTGCAGGGAGCTAGTAGATTGAGGGGTGAACAAGAAACGATATGCTCGCCAGCGTGCAGTTGGGATGAATGCAACTGCCTGATGATTAGATCATGGACAGCTCCCCGATGTCAACACGGAGGTCTAGCGCGATAACCGCCGGAGGGTCGCACGTGGCCACTGAGAGCCAGCATTGCGGCTGTCGATACCAACCATCAAACGGCTATGTGTGTCTATCAATATACAATATAAGCAGTGCTCTCTGTCGTCACAGTTCGTGCCAGGTCAATGTGGCTTTCGAATATGTGTCCTTCAAAGTCGACCACAGACAATCATCAAACCCTTGCTAACCTCAGCTTCATTGCACTTTATTCATGCCTGTGGTTTCAGGCAGCGAACGGAACGGGGTAAGGCAACATCCGTGGATCTCCGCTCTTATCGACCCGGCGATGACTCGGACTAGCATTTCGATAAGCCTCGTCTTGTCTTCCCCTCACCTCGCTGATTAAAGGTCAAATATTACCAACAAAAGCTCTTATCCGGTGATTTAGCCAGGCCAATCATTTCGGTTCTACCCGCAGATTCGATTGGCCCGTCGCAGCACAGCTGGTTGCCCCTCCAAAACTTTCCTTGAAGACATCTGCTGTCCCCGGTATTGCCACAGCAAGCGACATCAAAATTGCTTATCCTACTGCCTGGCGAAACTTGCTCGGGTCAATCAGCCGCTTCTTGGCTCTTTGAGACCCTCAGAATCTAACTATCCGGCCATGTAAAAGGATCACCGGTCGGATGCCGCGCAAGAAGGCTGCAGACCGCGTGGGTCCGGTCAAGACCCGAAGTCGTGGCGGCTGTAAGGAATGCCGCGCGAGTCGAGTTCGCTGCGACACGAAGAAGCCCACATGCACTCGATGCTTGGAGAAAGGCTTGGTCTGTACAACTCAACTAGTGCTCAAGTGGGAATCCGAATTTGTGAGCCGTGGCCTTGCCTTTGGCCGAGCCGGCGTCTGGAGTAAGGCCCGCGCTACCGGTGGGCCTTCCCCAAAGCCGTCGCCCGGGGCATCGCCCTCTATCTTCATCGACGATCAGGAGTGGTGCCCTGTCCCGCTTATAGAATCGTGGGGCTTTGTCAATAGCGGGGTCGCGACATTTGATCAGCCGTACGAAGTCGACGTTGGATGCGACGAGTTGAACGCCCTGGTCGTTCGCGACAAGAGCTATCACTACTTTCCACGCTATGTCGGTGAAACCAGCCTCGATTCGCCGCTTTCAGGGAGCAGGCTGGAGTCTGTCCGATTGACTCCCTCGTTGTCGTTGTTTCCTCCCATGTCTGCATCCGAGGACCGATTTCTCTTTGACTACTATCTTCAACAGGTGTGTCCTCGGACCACCGCGAGCTCCAGACTCTCATCGCCCTTTGCGTCGATCATTCTGCCTTTCTGCTTGTCCGCCTCTCCGCTCATGTTTACCGCGATACAAGCCCTTGGGGCCTGCCACTGGTCGCGCTTTGATTCTATGTACAGTATCATCGGGCTTCGGCTTAAAGCACAAGCATTGCGGGGCCTGCGTCACCGGCTTGCAGCGGAAGGTCCCGTAATATGCTCCGAGGACCCTGAGGTGCTAGCCATTATGATGATGTTGTGTCTCTATGAGATCGTCGACAACTGCGATCAACGCTGGACTATTCATCTCAAGGGGGCGAAAGATCTGATTCGTCTACGCAGGCAGAGACAGAACTCTTCCCTGGCGAAATCCCGTGATGCCCTCGACCCTGTGTCTGCCTTTGCGGAGCTGTTTTTTGCTTTCCAGGATGTCATGGGCCGCACCGCGTGCGGGGAGGAAGTGAGTTTTGGGACGGATTATTGGCACGAAAACGAACGGAACATCGATCTTTGGATGGGATGTAGTCCTGAATTGGTTTCTATTCTGTCTTCGATCACTGAAATGAGCCGCACAAGACGAAGTTTGACCACCCATGCAGCCCGGGCATGCTTTTCGCAAAGGGCAGCAGCTTTAGTGCGCAAGCTCGAGAACCTTGTGCAAGAAGTCGAGGATGACGACGACAGCAACCTGGCATCGGCTGCTGAGCTGAAGCGTCTTGCCGCCGTGTTATATCTACATTGCGCCTTATATGGGGCGTCTCCATCCACGCCATTGGTGGTGGGCTACGTTCGGAAGATCTTACAGCTCGTATCGGATCTACTCGACTCGGGCTCGCTGGTGAGCATGACCTGGCCTGTGTTCGTGGCTGCAGTTGAATTGGATCCAGGCCAAGATGAGGTTTGGAGAGACAACCGTGGTGAGGCAGTGGTCCACGGACGACCCTTGGTCTTGCGGGCGTTAGCCGCGATGGCGGAGTCCAGCGTTTCCAATGTTGCCCGGACTCGAGCGGTCATTGTCAAGGTCTGGCAGGCACGAGACAGCGATATGGTCAAAGGCTCGCCTGTAGATGCCTCGGATGACCTTCAAGGTTGCAACGACTGGGAGTGGTATGTGGCACCGATTAGCAATGCGATGAGCTTGGCATGATGTGTGATGGGGGTTGTCCTCCCATACTTGGATATAATCAGCATGATCTTGGAGGAGTTACTTTGTAGGATAGTCTTGGGTTTTTCTTTGATTGACAGGTGTTTTGAGGATGGATAATTTCAGTGTATTAGTAGTTAGAGTGGAATTACCATGATGGGATGGATGTTCAGGGTCCCGACTCCGGGCTGAGGCATTACCTTTAGAGCCGCGCCAATCAGCAGCTACATTGAAGGAGGCGGGGCAGACCGGGAGTGATTCGCCGGATTGGGGCAAGTTGAACGTCAGCGCGCCGATCCGAAACCAGAAACGCGCCCAGCATGCCCAGTGCAGTGCTGTGACCTCGGAGTCTCAATTCACTCACTCATTCACCCAGTCTCCGAGTCCAGTTCCGATCATCGCCTTGTCTCGCCTGCCGCCCGTTAATCTATCTTCCTTATCCCGTACCCCCTTGTACTTCTCATTCGCATATATGAATCTATAATCTTGAAAGCTTTACATCCTCCAACACCATAACCCAAAAGACTCGACAACTCCTCGCCCCTTTCAGCGGCATTACGTCGATCTGCCCGAGTACGAGCGGACCTTGCGGTGATTCTCGAAGAATACCCGCCACCCCAGACCGGACCAGACCAGACCAGACCAAACCAGATCGATTGTCACCATGATTCCTCTCGTCGAATAATTCCAAGCTGCAGCATTTGACACGTGTCTGAAAACTGATCTCATCGCTACTATGTCATCATCGCAAGCCCCCTCGAGCTTGTCGCACAGCCTGGCCATACCTTTTGCGAGTCGGCTGAGCGAACAACTGTCTCAGCGGACCGAAAACACTAAATCAGGCATCGACACCGACCATGCGGTCGACAGGAGCAGGTCGCTAGGACCCCCTCTACGCCCATCGCCGGCCTCACGCTCTCTCTCCGACGCTGCAAAGCCGGTTTCCGCGACCCCCCACCATCCCATCGATTCCCGACCGCCGAGTAAGGATGATTCTTCGCTCTCATCCACCCCGGAGACGCCTCATCGACCATTTATGCACAATTTCCCCTTGAACCTTCCCTCCAAAACACCCGGCTCCAGCTCCAGCTCCTTGTCCGCGTCCAACCGTGCCCCGCTTTCCCCCAAGCTCGATTCCTCCCAAATCTATAGCTCGCCGGGCTCGGTGCTGCCCCGTCGCTCACGAGGCCTCGACTTCTCCCGTGCCTGTACCAACCTTCACCATTCCACACTTGCCGAAGCATCGCCAGACTCTTCGCCTACGGTCGGTGGGCGCGGAGTAAATATCCCACAACGTCGCGGGTCGTTGGGGTCGGCATCTGCTCATCCGTTCTCAACTTCGAACCCCGGCGACCGAACTGCGATCTCGAGCTCCGTCTCGAGCATCAACATGATGGAATCGGACACGAGCAGTAGCGAGGAGGATGACGAGCCTATGATCGGCGATCGGGACGACTTCATGATCACCAACACTCCGCAAGCGAAGAAGTTTGGAGGTGGAGTGAGTCCTTTCGCTGTGGGCAATGTGTCTAGTCCCGGGAGTGAATGGATGGGCGGCTATTCGCAGGCGGCGGCCAGCCTTATGAGCTTTCAGCGTGCTCGTTTCCGGAAAGGACGCAGCCGGCACAGTTCCAGCAGTGGCAGCTCTAAGCAAAGTCCCGGGCCGTTGTCCCCTCCGGTAATGAAAAGCATCGAGAATCCAAACGGCGGTTACTTCGCAGCCCGAGGCAGCGTCTCGTCGCGCCGAGGAAGTCTGAGCTTGGGGACGCGGGACTTGCGTTTGTCGGACGTCAGTGATGAAGGAGAGCATCGCGCTATGCGGGGACAGAGCCCCAATGCGTCAAACTCCGAGGGCGGGCCGCTGGGGGTGATACGTCGTGCTGTGACTCGCCGAGGCAGTCTCCTGGTAGGTGATTCGGCATCTTCCGTGGAGAGACCAGCTACTAATGGTATATTCCAGCCAAAAACCAAGACTTTCGCCCGCATCAGAGCAGCGTTGATGGAAGAAGGCGCTCCGATCGACAGCGAAGCCAAGCGCGAAGCGGAAGTAATCCGACAAGTCCGGGAGAGCGAGCCCGAGGTACCGCCCAAATCACCATTAGGGGCACTTCCATCCCTCGAATCCTTCATGCCATCCACCACCCCACACCTCCCCGAGGACCGGCCTGGCACTGCCGGGGCCACCGCAGCCAGCCCCGACGAGCCCAAGTTCAGTGACCAGGTCCATCGGAACTCGGGCGGGATCAACTTCTGGAACTCGTTCGACGAACGATACCGCACTCCGCCGCCCCCGCCCCGCCAGCACGGGGCTTCCTCGGTCTCCGAAGACGACCTCACCATGGACTTCACCCCCTCCACGACAACCACCCAGAACCACCACCACCACCACCACCACGAATTCGCCAAGCCGCACGAACGGCCCGGGTCGCGCAGCGAAGCCTCCTCGTCGCACCCCACGCA